TCTCCCCCTCCAAATAATCTTCACCTTTGTGCAGGAAGCATGCTAATTTGCCAGAAAGCTACACGGCATTTGCATGTTTTTCCATCTAATTTGGCAGCAGCGATGCTTAAAGCAGGTGCGATGCTAATAAGGCAACTCGAGCAATCAGCCCAGGTAGAGATTTGCGGATTGCACAAGAATTTGTTTGGAGAGACTTTCCATCTCCATGCTCAGCGCTAATTTTAGTTGGGAGAGGGGGCAGGGAGGGAAGCTGAGCAGATAAGCCTGGCTGGTAGGACGGCCACGGTGCTGGGTTTTGCTGTGAGCCTTTGAACAGAGGTATGCCTGTGGGGTACCGGGGGCTTAGCCCTGCTACACAGGGGCTGATGCTGCAGTAGCACCCCCCAAGTGTTAGGGCTTGGGGTTTTGCAGGGGAGGGACCTGTCTCAGGACATGGGCATGAATTTTGGAAGCAGTCCTGCTGGGTGGATCTGAACACAAGATCTGAGACCCTACCTCACCCTGCAGTGGTTACTAGCACCGAACATCAGACATTAGCAGAGAAAAACTGGGAAATCTGTTACTGTCAGACACCCATCAGGGCGACACAGCTGGCATCAAACCCTTTTTGTGCTGGACCAGCCAGGTGGGGAGAGGCAAGAGGTGGCTCCTCACCGGGAAGCCCTCGGGCAATGCTCAACCACCGCCCTCCTGCAGGTGCTCCGACTGCTCCCAGCTCTGCCCCGAGGTTAAATCAGACTTGACTTAAATTTCCTTCCACTGCAAGCGTTTCCTTCAGTTAATCGCTTCTCAACAATAGATAATCAAAACACTTGCCTGTATTTTATTTTTAAATAAACCAGGTGAGGGTCAAAAGCAGATAGAAAACAGACTGATTAATGACAGGGGTTGCTGTTTTGGTTTCTTAACTCTCTGCAGATGGAAAAGCAATTAATTTTAGGTCTGATTACGTTGTTTTGATTTATTCTTCACGGGAATCCTTATAAAGACTTCCAGTGAGTCATGCCCCCCCCCCCGCTTAACAGTGTGGATGTAAAGGAGGCCACAGCACAGCTTTCTGCGGGGGGGGGGGGGGCAGCATGCTTCCCTGGGGAGGATGAGAGAGGATGAGATGTGTCAGCTAGCTGAAGTAAAGCAGGAACCCTCATTAGTTTCCAATACCTTCTTTAAACAAGCAAGAGGATCCTGCATAGGGACACCATTAAAAGCACTCTCTCTCCCTCAAGGAAGCCAAATCCCCAAGACCTTGCACTCTTGCCTCCAGCCAGGCAAAGCCTCTTCCCACATTTCCTTGGAAGGTTTGCCTTAGCAGGGGGTAGGCAGAAGCCGTGGAAGAGCCCTGGGAATGGGGCACTGGCCCTGCTTCAGGAGCGTGTAGGTGCCCTTGAGAGATGCCCACAGAAGAGGGTGGCCTGTCCTCAGCTTCACATGGGGAATGGGATTGGAGTGGGAGCCAAGAGCTAGGAGAGAGATGAGAACATGTTGAGAGACCCAGCCCTGCAGCAGGAGGGCAGGAGGTGCTCCAGGCAGGCAGCAGCAGTTCCCCTGCAGCCTGTGCAGGGAGAGGCCCCTGGTGGGGCAGGCTGTCCCCCTGCAGCTCATGGGTCCCACATGGAGCAGATCTCCACGCTGCAGCCCCCCCATGGGTGGAGGAGCCCCCGGTGGAGCAGGTGGATGTGGCCTGGAGGAGGCTGCGGCCCATGGAGAGCCCCTGCAGGAGCAGGCCCCGGGCCCAAGCTGCAGCCCGTGGAGAGGAGCCCCCGCAGGAGCAGGAGGCATCGGCCATGTGGCCATACCCATAGACACCAGTGGTGCCAGACGTGTGTGGTCTGGGGAAGGAGCGGCCAGTGGGGTGATCCCTGGGGACCTGCGCCCTCTCCATGATTGATGGTGGACCAAGAAGTTCTGCCTGCTCCCAGCTTTCTGTTGCTGCTCACACAAGCTGGGTGCATGGTCCCCTGCCAGGGTCAGCGCTGTTTTTCTCATGAAAAAGAGCACGCAGTCTTGGGTAAGTTGTCACAGATTCACAGCACAGGAATTAGGGGCATTTTTTAGTGCAAGCACAATGTTATCTCATTACATGTGCTCTCAGGGCACCGTAGCGTGAGGGAAGCAATGAAAACATCTCTCGCCTTAGGGCAAGGCGATTTTCTAACTGGGACAAGAAGAGTTGTCCTGGGCCAGAGCCAGGCAGAATGGATTGCTGGCCAAGGGAGAAGCTTTAGTCCTCTAAAGTCTCTCCAAAATCCCATTGGCAAAGCAGAGTTACACCACTGAGAAATAAACATCCTCATTTTAAGATGAACTGCACTGACCGAAGCTGTACAAAACATGGGCAATGGGCACTGGGATTTGGCACACCTCCCTTGCTTTTCACTTTGTCCCACTCAGAAACATTTATGGACCTTTTGCCTGGCTTGACCTAAAGCAATATTGCTTTCCAAAGAGGCTGAGAGGTTTCTTGAACTTGGCCCAGACTCACGTGATTCTGATCGCAGGCTTACTTAACCTTTATGAGCTAACCCTTTGCTGAGGCTAAAGCAACTCCAGGGTTTGTAACTAGACCTGAAAGGAGGGGGATCTTGCAGAGCATGGCTCAAAACCAAAATGAAAGCCTCAACTTGCCCAGTGTAGGACTCACATCAAGACCTAAGGCTGCACTGTGCACACATGCTAAATAAAATCTTGCCAATGATAAAGATACAATGCTGATAAATGACCTGTGCTGCGTTGAAAAATGAATATATATTATCCCTCTAGATTATAACACAGGAATATGTCTTTTCCTATCAGCGAAAAGCATCCTACTGTTTATTTTAGTTGGCAGATTTGCTGCTAGGAAGGAAATGAGAATATTATCTCTAATGAGTCTTCTCATAATGGTAATTTTCTAAAAGAGGTACCAATTCTAGGTTTGTGTCAATAGTCCCTCATCTGCAAGCCACGAAATAAACCTCCCAAGCCTATTACAGTATGCAGCCTCACTTCTCCACAGCCACTGTGATAATGTCTTGCTACAGCAGCAATTCCCATTTTATTAGCGATACAGATTCTTCCTGTGTGTGCACAAACACATCTAAACCCAGATTGTGCCTCCGGTCTCCTCTAAACCAGCCTAACTCACATTTCTTTTTCCCATTTATCTGTTGATTTTTATTCCCATTTATCTGTTCTTTGCAACGATCTGGCTGCTCATCATTTAAAATACTGCCCTGTAGGGCTGGCATCATGCCTCACTTCTTTGAAGGGTCGTCATTTTAAGCGATTTGACCCATGCCTGCCAAAGCCATTTGAGGGAATTAAGGCAATGTCTCAGGAGGTCTCTCTGGCATCCATGGGAGACACAAAGCCACCATGTTCCTCATCACATCTGCAAGTGGCCAAAGAGCCCACCTGCCTCCTGGATCTCAGCAGGGGTTGGGTGAATGAAACCCTAATCAAGGACGCTTTACAGGGTCAAGATCCATCTCCTTTTAAGACTGTTTCCAGGTGTGACTGAGATGTGGCAAAAGTCTTTGATCCAATACACGCATTTGCACCATGTGGCAGGTGATGAATAGGCAAGAATTATGTCTGCACATACCAATTCCACTGCTTTGAGTTCGAGTTTGGTAAGAATTTTACAAAACCGTCTTTCTGCTTGACATTTACACAAAAAGGTTCTTTGAACTGCATGTCTAATTGGCTCAGCTGGTCTGGATTTGATCACCTTGGGCCATATTTCTCTGTTTCTAAAATGCAAGTGAAAAAATAAAGAAATGTCTGGGGAGCATTGAGAAACTTGGAGGTCCCCATGTGGAGAATGCTGTTGGAAACACGGTGACATGGATAATGATGACAAAGGTGTGCAGCTGAATAGGGCAAGATTTTAATAGACCCCTAAAATAGAAACGTCAGCCATGGAGCACATACTGAGTGTATATGACACTGGCTTGTTTTTCCCAACGTGTAAAGACCCCAGCAATCTATCAAGAAGACAAAAGCATTTGAAACCTTTGCAGAATGCCTTTCAGCAGGACTTTGAAGTACTCCTGGTCAAGGACACACTGGTTAACTATACCCACAGGGAGCAATTATTCCTTGTGCGTTGACATTAACAGCAAGCCCAGGAGATATTTGGAGTTGTCCTGTGGTGGCAGGATCCAGAGCTCACTCCAAGAGCACAAATGCTTCCCATCCTTACCTGGATAAAACTCTTAATGGACAAGAGGTCCCAGTCATGTGTTCAGCTGCTTTGGCCTTGGCTTCCAACCTGCTGTTTGCTTCCTTGAAGGCTACTTTGGTCAGTACAGTGCAATCTCCTACAGTTCCCCTTCTTCTCCAACTTGGGAGCCTGGGTTTGTGCCCACGCCATCACTCAGAAAGTCTTAAACAAGCCTCAGACCAAAGAAGGAAGGTGTCTTTCCTATGGAAATACGTGCTTTAAACTGTCTGGGAAAAGGAGATCCAAGACGAAATTGAAAACCTGGAGTCAGGTCCTCTTTAATAATGGGAATTACAGACGAAGGGACTGGAGAGTGCTTCCACACCAGCGCCAGTGTTTTAGATCCACGTTTGCAAGCTTTGCACTGACGTAAATGAAATGCACGTCAAATGCAGCAGTGAATTTCTTCTGCTTCATCATAAGCCTATAAAATGAGCGAGCCAAAACTGAAGGTTTGGGGAGGTTCACACATCTTTCAGTCAAACCGGGGCCAAGTCTCCAGCAAACCTGAGCCAATGTCTTTCACTTGGAAAGCACAAGGTAACCTTAGAGTGTGATTAAAGCGAGAAGCACAGAGGACTTTATGACTCTAAATGCACTCGCTTACTCTGAGAGCATTTCAAGACCAGAACAATGTGTCCAACCTCATTTCCAAGTCCAGGTTTGTTTCTCTGTGGTAAGACAAAATGCTCCAAAAAAAAAAAAAAAAATATATATATATATATATATATGTATATATATTTATATATATATATTTATATATATTTATATATAAATTTCTATATTTCTATTACAGCTTTCTCCACCACCACGTGGGCTCCACATGAGGCTGTGCTTGGGCATACCTTCCAGCTGAGCTGCAGCAGGCTGCAAAGAGGGAGAGCCCAGCTCTCACTCACTTGGCAGGAAGGGAGCAAGAGATGTTTTCATCTCCAGCCTCGACCTCCAGCAGCTCTTCTGAACTTGGTTGTTCCTGAGCACCAGGTAGGTGTTTTGGATGAGCTTCAGCTGCTGAGATGTAGACATCTGCAATGCAAATATTTTTGCCTGCGTGTGGCTCCTCGGCAATGGATGTAGCCCATTCTGGCAGTGATATCTCTCTTTCTGATGGAGATGGATGAGATGGAGAGTGCCCAGTAAGTCCCTATTTGTCTCCATTGTGAGCTTAGACTGAGACACCTACTCTGCAGACCTCTGAAGTTAGGTGAGCTGAATCCTATCCCTACATCCCAGCAAAGAGCAAGCAAAGGGACTGGAAAATGCATGTTGTTCGAGCTGCCCCACAGTTCTCAGAGACTTCCAAAACACATGGGCAACCCAAGAGCAGGTTTCCCAGGGTTTGTCCTCTGCAGATTCCTCCCTGCGTGTTCATCTCACTAACATCCTTCTCCTGCCAAGCTGCTGGGATGCTGGCAAGACTCCGGAGCTTGCCTGCCATCACCGTGCCGTTTAGCAGTTTGCGTCCTTTGATCTTGTGCCCTATCCATCCAAGTTGGCTTCAGGGGTGGTCGGAAAGTGCTTTGTGGTCCAGGGTGCAGGGGAAAGGGGAAAAAAAAAACATTCTGTGAACCCTGCTGGACAGGACGGGCTTTTATGTGGTGGCTCATAACAGCAGGGGACTGGATGGGGTGACCCGTGTGGTCCCGCGGTGTTCCTAAGGGCAGCAGTAGGAACTGCCAGCCTCCGAAATGCAGTGGGGAGCATTGCTGCCAGGCGAGAGCAAACTGCAGGCAGGGTAAATGTACAACCAGGGTCCATCAGGAGAGCCAAAAGCCAGCCAGGGTCGGTGGCAGCCAGCGAGCTTGCGGGCGCGGGAAGGACATTGCTTGGAAGCGGTACAGAAGACCTTGATGACTCCAGACACCTCTGGTGCGTGCCTGCGCAATGGTTACCTCAGTAACAGGTGGTAAAAGTCCCAGGAATAAGCTTTGCCGCCCTCCCTCTCCCCACCTGGCCCTGTTCACGGCACACTGATGACAAATAACCCCCTCGTCACGCAGCGTGGGCACACCACCGCTTGGAAAGGAGGGCTATTTTGCAAGGCTTAGCGGGATTTGTTTGTGCCTGCCAGGTCCCGCAGCCCTCCCAGCACGGCGGTGTCACTGTACCCGCACGGGCCGGGGTAAAGGGATCGCTTGATTCGTGTCAGCAGCTCGGTGCTGGTGAAGGTGCACTCGTTGCTCTCTCCTCTGCTGACAAACAACGTGGCTTTGTCACCCCTCAGCAGGCAGCGGGGACTTTCCAGGCGGCGTCCCACCACTGCTCCGCAGTGCTGTGCCTGGCAGCTCCCCTCACATAGTCTGATGGGGGACCTGGTGTCATATCTGGGGACAATCCGGGCCCTGTGAGCGCACCAGCAGCACCAGGGTTTGTCATCTTTCTTCTCCTGGCAGGGGTGGAAAGGGGACCCTCCGTGGTGTGAAAGCAGCATGCATAAAAAACAGAGCCACAACAGGCCGCAGGCTGCACCCACGAGGCAGCGGTGCTCCAGGCTGGCACCTGAAGGAAACTCAAGGAAGCACTGAAAGAATAAGCTCTTCCCTTGGGGAAGGCAGGGGTTTTCCACCCAGGCACAACCTTGTCTCCTGCCTCGAGGCCTCTTCTTCATTGCTGGGATAGTCTGGGCTTTCCCTGAGGACTGTCTGAATTCCCAGCTAGAGGGACTTTGCCCAAGAGTTTGGCTCCCCACCAGGACTTGCCTGCAGTCCTGTCCACCCCATGTCAGTCGGTGCTACCCCACCTTTTCCCCAGGGTACCCACCCACCAGGTCCCAAATACCATGAAACCCATCCTCCAGGCACAGACTTTCAGTCCTGGGGCTGCCATCTAATGGAGGGGGATGCTTGGGCTCATCACCACTCTCAGGAGAGCGGGGCACCTGCCCCCATCCCAGGAATACCACACACGAGGGGACAGAAAACGACCCAAATGATGGCCTCCCCAGGTGTGCCTGGCTTAATGTTCATTTAATCTGGCACGTTTCATTTAATCTGACTCTGGCCATCCAGGGATCTCACGGCCACCTGGGCTGCTCTGCCTGGCACTTCCAGGCTGAAAGCAGCCCCAGGATCTGTACATTGTGCATCAACAGAGCACTTTTTAATTTAAAAAAAAAAAAAGGGGGTAATGTCTAACCCACCGTAACAACCCTGGTCAAGGCTCATCTCTCAAAGCCCTCAGTGACTTGTAGATTGGCTTCTGTGCCCAAAAGCTCCTCCAATTTTCCCAGCTCTGCGAGTGGACATAATGAAAAATATTGCCTCTGTCTACAAACCTTTGACCTGGCTGTGTCCTGAGACATTGCAGCTACAGCAAAATATGCTGGAGGCCTCATTGTCTGGTTCTTTTCCAAGGTAAAGAAAGCACTTCACCTCGGATGCTTGAGAAACATGAGTTTGCATCTGATCCACTGGGGGACTTCATTCCACGGTGCAAACAGGCAGCGAGTGTCTCCTCTGTGCCCTGAACAGTGTGAGGGCAGGGCACGGGGAGAGGGTTTCCCAGTGTGGTAACACCAGGCTGGAGGCCTCTCTCCAGAGCATCCGTGCTTGCAAACCCTTCCTGCAGCAGCTGGCAGTGCAAGGCCTGTGGAAAAGAAACCACAAGCTCTATGGCCATGGATTTTTCCCCCAATTCACACCATCCGTCTTACTCCAAATTTTACAGGGTAAAACGCCGTCAGGCTCTGTTGTCTTGTTTCTTTTTGTTTTCTTTTCGTTTCTTTTTCATCTCTTGCCCGAACCAATGCATTGTCAGCTGCTCAGCTAACAGCCCGAATGTGCCAGCCGCACGGCTGGGCTGCCTTCTGCAACTACCCAGGCGTGAATCTGAACGAGCAGCTGACGTGAACAGCGCAGACCCCACCACCAGCACGCTCCAAGCATCAGCTCCGGGGAGGGAGAGCGGGGCCGTACGGACGCAAACTGATCCCATGCTGATTTCTGCTGCACTCATGATTATTTCTAGGGCAGCTTCTGCACTTTTATCTTATCGAACCAGATGGAAACGCGGGCTGCCTCTAGGTTTTGTTTGGGGTTTTGTTTGTTTGCTTGTTTTTCCTTTAAGTTTGTGTTACTGAACCATAAATGAGTCCATCTGTGGGTGCTGCTTTAGCTAGGACTTTGTTTCAGAGCTACCTGTCTGATCCCAGGGAGGTGCAGGAGGGCTGCTCCTTCCTGGGAAGATGGAAATCGATGTTCCAGACAGCTGCACTGGCACCATTGCTTATTTGGGTTCTCCATATAGGCCAGTCCGAACCTCTCTTACCCTGTGCTCCCTTCTGTGATGAGTTAAAATGACAGGGCATTGCTGGTGCCAGGATGAGCAAACCCAACCTAGGAGGCTTATCCCAAGGTGTCTCCTCTGCTGTGTGCTCCTGGAAGAGCTCCTGCCTAGCAAAAATCCTCAACAATCACTTTTCTTTACGAAATCCTTTCGCAGACTCCACCGAACCGCCTCTCCACGGAGGCACACAAATTGAAGCCAAGCTTTCTGCGTTACTATTTTCTGGACTGTTTGGAAGCAGTTTGTAAATTATCGGGGGAGAAAGGTCAGGCTGCTGCTGAACACTTCGGGAAGCCAGCATCGTGGAGAAGGGGCTGGCGTGCTTTGTCTGCAGTGGGAGAGGGTTCAGCACGCACATCCTCTGCAACACCCGAGGAGCCTCAGAGCAAAACCAGCAGAGACAAAGAGACGCGGCCCGAGTGCTTCTCCTTAAGTAAAAACAAACAACAACAAAAAAGCAGGAAATTAAACCCCAGACCTTCCTCAGGCAGTGCTGAAAACTATGAAGCAGGCTTCTCTCAGAGGTCCTTGCAGCTCACCTCGGGATACTGCTGGTGATGCCTGGTGGGTTTATCTCAAGATCTACACCAGCAGAGCCAAATCCCCTGCCAGACCTCAGCCAGGTGTCCCCCAGAGGAACAAAAGGGCCCAGAGCCTCCTGCTTGGGAATGGCCTGCGTGTGGGGAGGGCAAAGCACCCTTTTTATTGCAGAATCACAGGATGGCTGAGCTGGGAAGAGAGCTCTGGGGTAGCCTGCTCCAACCCCTGCTCAATGGATGTCAGAGGTGGGAGCAGGATTTGGGTTCCCAGCGACTTTTCCAGGGGTTGTTTCCCTGCAGCAGCGCGTGGAGTCCTGGGGTGAGGGGCTGGCATCGGGGTGGGGGGGGGGAAAGGAGAGAGCATGGGCAATGGGGCTGCACAGCTTCCTTCCGAGAGCACTGTCAACGAGAAAAGGAAAAATAAAACTGAAATAATTGCTGCTGGGAGGGGGGGAGGAAGAGAAACGTCTCTGGAGGAATACACAGGAGATGCCCAGAAAAATACCGAGCGTGACCTTTCGGTTTGGTCTTTCCTTTAAAGCAGAGAAGAGCGAATGCATCCCAAAGACATGGGGCTGCTGCCATCTCTTGGCCAACCTCGGGGCTCCTGAGCACGCAGGCACCCAGAGCTGCCTGATTTAGGGATCTCAAACACAGCCATTTCTTGCTCCGGCTGCTTTATTCTTTCCGAGAGGGGATTGCTGAATATGCAGAAGTCCTTTGGTACAGCGTCTCCGAGCTTCTGAACCTTTAAGGCATCAAGCCAACAAAATTGCGTGTGTGCAGCTATGTCAGAGGTGCAAGGTTTTGTGTGCACTGCGTACAGCCGAGCACAGGTAACTCTGACTTTACTACACGGATGCCCTTGGTCAACCAAAGACCTTGTGGGGGCAGAGCCCACGTCACCTCCCCAGCTGCATCTCCCAAATCCATGTGCAGCAATAAAAGGCATGGGGGTGCTCGGTGTGTCACTGTCACAGGCCTTTGAGGGCCTACTGGGTTACCTGGAGGTGCTCAGAGCCTCGTGCTGCTGCCAAATGCCATGTTTATGGCTTTCCACACCACTGTCATCGTACCTATCTGCCCGCTAGCCCTGTGCCCGTGTCTGTGGTCTCCCTGGGGCACAGCCCGAAATCTGGGGGCCCAAGGGAGTCCTTTGGTCCTCCGGAGCACAGGCAAGGCTGCCACCATGTGGGGACACAGCTCTGCTGGGAAATTGCTCGCTGAATCTTGGGGTGTCCCTCTGCCAGGAACATGGTGGGAAAAGCCCAAAGAAAATGGAAAAACTGGGGGCAGGAGGGGGAAACGTGGCACCCGCTGATCTCCTGAGCATTTACACCAGGTGTTGGTGCCACTGCCACCACCGTGGTGTCATCGGGGCCCTGTGGGAGCAGGGGGAATGGCCCCAAGGCCCCCTTCCTGACGCACCTCCCCCAGGATCCTTGGGGTAACGCTGCAGGGATTTCTGTGGAGGGGAAGCCAAAGCTGTTTCTGCTTTGCCTTGCTGCAGGCAAGGTTAGGTGATAAAAATGCAGCACAACAGGGACGGAAAATCACCCTGAGTGGCAAGCCCTGAATACAGAGCCACCCTACGCCGGGCTGCTTGGACCCTACAGGGTGCCACCAGCACCCAGTGGGCAGGGTCCCTCGCTGCCTTTCAGCCCATGGCCAAGTCATTGCTGAGTTTCTAGCCGATAGCTGGGGAGGCAGGTGGTGTATAAAGCTGCCTCTCTGTCCGTGCCACCCACGGAGGGATGGCAGCCCTCCTGCACGTGTCCTGCCCAGGGGCTGGGGGCTCTGGGGCTGGGGACAGCCAGGGGAGGCAGTGGGGACACGGCCCCCCCTGCATGATACAGCCGGCGTGTCCTCGTGCACTGGCTTTCAGCAGCCTCTCGTGTTTTTAATTAGCTAATGGATCGCCAAGGGATTTGAAATAAGCTGCTCTCAAAGCAGCGAGAGTCAGGCCTGCCTTCCCCAGGACTTGTCCCAAAGGGGTTGCAGCACGGGAGCTACCACCAGAGCTGCTGCCCCTCTGCGTGGCCCCAGTCCTGCCCTTGTTTCCTGCCATCAAGACTTCAACCTTCGGCCAAATGAGCAGAAAAAGGGGCCCTAAAATATCTGAAATCCCATTTCCTGGGACTGACAGACACACCCCATGCTGCTCAAACACCTGCAGGTAATGTCTTCGCACAGACCCGCTTCCTCCAGGATACCAGGCTTAAAATAAGTTTCCTCCTTTTTACACCGCTGGGAGGTTCGAGTGCGGGCTAAGTGCTTCTGGATGGTTCATTTCTCTCCTCCTGGCTCTCCTCATAGGGAGAAGAGATGCCAGCGGCTGACGGGGAGGCACAGAGGCTCCTGCAGAGAGATGCCCTGGAGCTCCCGGTGCGGTAGTGACTGCTCCCTCCTGGTACAAAGCCGTCCTTTCCCCAGACACACTCATTCACGCGTTTCCCTGGGAGATGGAAACTCAACAGACTGCACATTTTTTGGTTGAAAGCTTTGGAATTGCCCGATAATTAATCGCAGTAAAAATAGGTTAAAAATAGTGTTAGACTCCTGGGGGATGCCTTGCTTTCTAATTAACAGACAACCATCTCCCTCCTCAGGCACGCTCCCTCCCCTCCTGCCCCTTATTCCTGCAGCACATCCCTCCTGAGGAGAGGAGAGGAGAGGAGAGGAGAGGAGAGGAGAGGACAGGACAGGACAGGACAGGACAGGACAGGACAGGACAGGACAGGACACTCTCCATACCATGAGAAAAACAAACTGCACATATTTTCTCTCTATTTATTTTTTATTATTATTATTTTTTCACAGCTAATCAGCCAAAAAGGAGTGGGTTTGCCTTTTTGGCAGAGCAAACTCTCTCTCCCCAGCTGTCTTCAGCTCTCCCCGCGGGCACGGCCATGTGCTCCTTCATGTGAAGGAAGTGTTGTTTGCCGTCCTGCCTCGTTTTGCAGGCAGGACACGGGAGCACCCAGGGATGTGTCAACAGAGATGAACTGGTGTCTGCTCCTGGGGAAGCGCAGACCCCCTCTGCTTAGGAGCCAAGGTAGCTCTGAAGCTCCACCTCATGTTGCAGGCCTCAGACTTGAGGATCTCTACCAAGAAGGAAGCACCCTGTGTGCAAGGTGACTGCATCCGTGGGGTTAACTACAGGACTACAGGGCTATCACTGATACCATGTTTTCCTTGTGTATCCCTATGTCCATCTGCTTGGATTGCTGTTTGGGTCAAGCATGAGTGCTGAGACCTTCAGTGCTGAGCCTCGGTGTAGGCTGGGAAGCCACGGCTTCCTTGTTTGGACCCACACAGAGTAATTAGTACCGACATTGGTGTCGGTACCTGCATCCAACCATCAATCAGCCTCAGTCATCCACATCAGATGACCCCCTCCACATTGTGTCACACAAACAAGGTCTGCATTGCCTTCTTCACTCATGCAGTGAGCTTAAGAAATGGCAAGAAAATGAAATTCTTTTTTTTTTTTTTTTTTTTTTTTTTTAAGGAACGCCTCGGAAAAGAACAAATCAAACCCCCGAAGCCAATTGCATGTTTCCTATATCTCTTTATTGACTGCCAGTGACCGAGTTCTCAGGCTGAGTGCCAGATACCAGTGGATCAGGTGGAGCTACGCTAGAAGTACAGCGAGGGCAAGAGCAAGGGGGTGAGACACGCGGGCTGGGATGAGCTCGGTGGGATTTGAAGCCTCTGCAGAGTGCTGAGCCCCCTCTCTCCCCAGAGAGCCTATGAAGACGTTGGAAAGGCGTGCGTGCCCTAGTGCCAGATGTCCCGAAGGGAAGTGACAGGCTGGCGGTGTGCACAGACACACTTGAACACTTTGCTGAAATAAAAATATGTGCTGCGATCCCCAAACGCAACACGCTGCTATTCGTCCTGCGGCTGCGAGAAACCTGTGGTACATTTATCACGCATGCACAGCATCCCAGGAGAGGTGCTTGGCTTGGCCCAGTTGCGTTTTTAGGAGCAGCCAGTTCAACCCTGTGGGATAAACAAGTCTCTGGGGCCTTCCCCCTGCTCCAAGCCCCACCACAAGCATCGGTGCAGCAGGAGCCAGCGTTACTCGTGCCCTCCCTCCTACCTGGCAGTGGTTGTGGACCACGGCACGGCACCAAGACCCTTCCAGCAAGCACAGCGGCGCGGCAGCACTCGCAGCCTGTGCCATCCTGACTGGCATGGCTCACAGGCTTCAGATTCAAAGCCCACCATGCCACTCCCCCAGCCCCTCGTTCCACCCACGGGAAGGAGAAAATAAACAAAAAAGGGGCGGGTGGGGGGGAATAAAAGAAATAAAAGACCCAAACAAACCCCTCTAGGCATTCACTGATATCTACGCAATGGCTCCGGGAGCGAGACCTGCGGCCGGTGGCAGCCTGCGTGCCGCAGCGGCCGGCGGGCTTAGGAGGAAGGCGCGGAGGTGGGCTTCTCCTCCCGGGACACGGGGATGGGCCTCTCGCTGTGGGTGGGGTCCATGTTGGAGGGGACCTTGGGGCCTGAGAAGGTCAGCATGCCGTCGCCGGAGAGGGAGCAGGTGATGGCAGACTGGTCCACGTTGGCGGGCAGGCGGTACCGGCGGTGAAACTCACGGGAGATGTAGCCGTGGTCATCCTGGGAGGCGGTGGGGGGAGAGGAGAAAGCCCTGTTAGAAACCCCCCGGTGCCCACCCAACCCCACTGCTCCATCGGAGGTGGGTCCGCATTGAGCCTTTGCCTTTTATTCTGTCTTGCAGGTTTGTAACTCAGCCATGGAAATGGCCAAGCTCTTTCTCTGTACTAACAGCGTCACCAATAAATAAGTAAATAAAAAACTATATTGAAAAATACATGCTGTTTCCAGGCTAGAGCTTTGTCTGGCCACAAAGTGCATGAGAAGAATTAACCCCCCACTGGTATAATTCACTTTTCAACCCCCACCGTTATTTCCATGACATATGTGTTAAAAGTTTCCAAGCCTGAGGCTCCTGGTTGTTTTTTCTTTTGTTTGGTTTGGTTTTGCTTTTCTCTTCCAGATCAGCATATGAAAACTCTGTTTTCACTAATGATTCTGGCTTATGAAAGCTCAGCCATGCTGTGGCAGCACCGGGTAATGCTAATTTTTTCAGTCCGGTGTTATTAGTGAACAATGCACATTGTCATCTGATGGTTATGGAAGATGATGGTCAAAAACAAACACGGGAGAACTGGATTAGCTCATTATTGCCAGATATCAGGTTTGGGCTCTATAACAGCTGGACATGTCAATAATGACTATTGCCAAGTAACTCTTTCTGATTTTTTTTTCCTTCCACTTGGGGATGATGGAAAGAAAGAAAACAGAGCTCAATTCCCCGTTTTCTTCACCACCACAGTTACTCCCACCTACCTGTCTTTCACTGTGCTTGCCATGGATTTCCACAAAGTCATCGATAATCTTCACGCTCAGATCTTCAGGAGAGAAGTGTTTTACATCCAGCATGATCGTAAACTTGTCCCGGTCAGACCTCACCTGAAATGAACATTGTTAGGAAGTAAGACGCAAATTTGCATACAGAGGTAGGGTTAGCATCAAAGACCGAGGGGCAGCAGCATTTGGCATCACGGTTCTCCCTCCTGCAGCTACAGGCCAGGCTGATCCACAGCCCGCTGGCCTCAGCAAAAGTCTTCCTCCCCATCGCAGTAAGAGAGCCCCAGGGGTGCTGAGGGTCCTTGCGACAACATTTCTACTGCCCTGGGCAGGTGCATCCCTTCTTGCTGCAGTTCTTTTGCCAGACAACCCTTTGACTGCACTCTGAAATCTGCCAGATGCACCAGGCATTTGTGGCCAGCAGCAAGACGGGATCAAAATTAATGTTCTGTGACAGTACTGTGTTTTGTCCTTTCAGCAATTTACAGTGTCTTTGTGGTTTCAGCTCTGTAGCTAGATTCTGGCAGCAAACCAGTGAGAGCAGGCTAGAGAAATCCCCGGTCCCCAAGCTTTGGGCTACAGCCCCGCAGCTACATGTTCCTCACAAGCTTCCCTTGGGGAACTGCTCCCGAGTCCTTCAGTATGGGTTGGCAGAAAACACAGAGCTGCCGAGGCAGAGGAGGGGGCTGGAGAAGCTCCTGCTTGTGCTTGCCCATGTCCTCTCCAAGGCTGAGCCGAGCTCACGGGCATTTTTTCCGGCAGAAGCTCGGTTCCTCCCTCACCATACGGATGATGGCTGTGAGGACAACACGGGCAGCCTGGTACGTGTCATGAAACGACTTTCTGCTGCTCAAAAGGAAGCCTTCTCCCAAGCTAGGGCTTGCCCGGGCAGCAGACGGGGCAGGCGGCTGGGTCTGGCAGCAGGCTGGAGGTCCTCCTCACACCCCGGCAGGGGCTGCAGCCTCTGCCCTGCTCGGGAAAGCAGCGGGTGGAGAGGAGCAGGCGGAGGCACGGGGAAGGGGAGGAAGGCAAAGGAGGGGAGGGTGAGGACCCTTACCTCTGAAATGCCCGACTCCAGCACGCTGCGGAAGAGGGACTGCCGGTAGTAGGGGCTGATAGTGGAGGAGAACAAAGGCAGGAGGTCATACTCCAGGAGACCCTCTCCGAAAAACTGGTCGAACAAACGGCTGGGAATCAGGGGTCCCAGAGCGCGCTTGAACCAGGGGTGCTGGATGGTAATGTCCATGCTTGCTGCTGCTACGTCTTGTTCCAAGGGAGGGCGAGGGGGGCGTGCAACCGCTTGGAGGACAGCGATGCCTTTGCTGGCCTGCACAGTGCAGCCCGGGGAAGGCTGCCCCTATATATACCGGTCTCACAGAATGAAGGCATTAGTGGGATTTCTCTGGAAAGACATGATCTCACGACGAAGGCAACGTGGTCAGCAGAAATGCGGAGACTGACCTGGGGATGACAGTCTGGTGGGAACCAGCGCCAGATCTCCTGGAGGGACGCTGCCAGGCTGTGATGCACGGGGCGGTCCCTGCCCAGGGGCACGGCACGTCCTCCGCAGGAGCTGGATGGAGGGGACACGCCACAGAGCTTCCTAGGGACGTCTGGGGAGGAGGCTCCTTCTGTGGGTCCTTGCCACCGGCCCTTGGCTTCTCCTTCATTTGCTTCTGTTCCTGCCGCTCCTTGAAACGGGGACACGAAGTCTGTTAAAAATAAATGAAATAATAGTTTTCTTCTGAGAGAGAAATGGTTTGACTCGGGTTGGAGGAAGGGAAACCCTTGTGCAATGTGCTGTATGGTGTCCCTGCACCTCTGTGGCGGGCTCACGTACCCCCAGGTGTCGTGGCACAGGCCCTGACAGGCACACAGGCCGTGTGGGCTCAGAGAGGATTTGCTCCCTGACAAGGCTCAGCACGAGTGACAGCCAGACCCCCAGAGCCACTTGTTGAAGGACTGCGTCCCACAGGCCTTATGGACAGAGGAGGCATCTACACTGGGAGTCCTGCCCACCTCAGCACCTTCTGCAGTGTCCAGAGGGCAAGAGAAAAGGAAAGGGCACCTCCAAAATGCCTTTCTGACCCGACTCCTCCAGGCCAGAGGAGCTAAATTCAAGCAGGAGCTGAGGCAAAGTAATATTCAGCTGAGCACGGCCTGCCATCCAGGTGCCTCGTCGTCTTGGGAAGTCCTCGGCCTTGATCCATCCCCATGGAGGCAGGCATTGAAAAGCGGGAAATGCTCCCATTACAGAGGCTTTCCTTAATGGAAAGCAAAAAGTGGAGGGGAAAAACATGCAGCCAGGCAGCAGGGACTGCTAAGAAGTCAGACAAAAGCTTACATTCAACCTCACCTATTTCCAGCAAGGAAAGGTCATGTGGTTGTGCCTTGGCTCTCAGGCATGAGGGCTTTTCTAAAACCAGGTGCCAAAACAACACCAATCTCTCCTCAAAACACAGAGAGAAAAAGCATGACAGACAGACCTAACCCCTTTTCAGTCCCATTGTCCCAGATCAGTCGTTTTGCTTGAGAAAATGGACGGAAAGCAAACAAAAGCCATAAAAATCTTCAAAGCTTTTCTTTTCAAGAGCGCTCTGAGGTTTGGGCCTTTGCCCTAGGGCAGAAGAAAATCTCTCCTCAGCCAGCCAGTACCAGAGGCCTGGTAGCCTGCAGATAACCAGAGGGTAGCAGTGAGCTGATACCTGCAAAATGAAGGCAGCGGGTTGGGAACATCCACTCCATGCTTCCCAAACCAGGGGCTACACCAGGAGCAAGACAAACCACGATCAGCGTGTGTGTGTGCTAAGTGGGATGGTGGGCATGGGCTGCCGAGAGGAAAATGCAAAATACCTCTTCACCTAAATTTCATCTCAAATGCAGTATATCATGATGCCTTTAAATATTTGAGAAGTATTTATGGCTTTATGGCTTTACGGCTTTAGTTTCTTCCGGACATATATTTTCATGGATTTTTTTATAGAATTAATCATATCCATTCTGTCTTTTATGGGCATTTTTGTCTTTTATGGGCAAAATATTTCACTGAAATGTAAATGTCATTCACAGCAGTTTTTCTTCTGAGACAGACTTCCAAGTGTCTGCCTCTGGGCAACGAGCAGTCTCCTGAGCCTCCCTGCATCTAACTTCCAGTGGTCTAAACCTTAGGTGTCTGGTCGTGGTGTGTTGTCTAGGGTCCCTGTCCATCGATGGAGGGAGACAGATGCCTCCAGATGGTTCCCATTACAATGTGGATGGCTAGGAAAGGTGAAATCTTTCAGCACTGCCTACATCCCAGCTAAGAAGGTAATCCTAATTCCAACCTCCTTCTGGACAAGAAGAGCTGGTAAGATGAATCCCATCCACTGTGACTTGTGCCTCCTCTCAGAAGGAAACTACATTTGGGAATACCAAGGGAAGGGGCAGTTATGAACGTTTTGGCACCAGATTAAATAAAGAGTTTGGTATGAGAGGAGAAAGCAACCATTTTGTGCTATTTCAGGGGCCCAGCCCTTTCACGGGATGCACAGCCTTTGTGCGCCACTGTCACCGACTGAACAAAAGCAGTGATACTTGTTGGCATTCCTGTAAGACGAACAAACTGCTGCATGTGTTCAAATGCACACCAAAAGCTGTGTGTCAAAGGCAGGCTTTCCCAGAGCCTCATTGCAAATTTGTAAGGTGAGTCCAGCTCAAAAGGCCTGCCAGCAGGATCTACTGTCTACCTTCTCTTTAAAAGAAACCCTTCCTAAGCTATTAGGAATAACTGCCAGCACATAAGACACTCCTAAAGGCCAGGTTGTTGCCCAGGACAAGCTGCAGAAATCCCAGGTTGGGTTTCTGAGTAAAGCAGGCTCCAGCGATGAAGAACAGCCCTCGCTTTTTTCCAGCTACCATTTGTTCGGCCGCATGACCTGACCCTCAGCTGCCAATTTCTGGGTGAGACCAGGGCTGCTTCCAGCCTCCACGGCAAGTCCTGTGCGTGAAGAGAAAAGCAAGTATTTAAGCGAGCAGTCAGGGGTAACCGTGGAGGGTTTGCATGTGGTTCTGAAGTGCTAATACCATCTCGAGCACTGGTTTTGTACTGATGTGTTGCGGCCTCAGGAGAGCCGAGAAAGGCAATCTCCTTGGCTCTGATCTGCATGCCCTCTCAAGTCAAGTGGTGTCTGCTGACCTGCAGAGCGTGGAGCTCTTCACAGAACTTTTGTGGAAGATGAGAACGAGTTCTGATGCTTTTTCTATCAAAAAGACCGGTCAACCTGAAAAGGTAGGACTGCGCTCACTTGGATGGCCCTCTGCACTTAGATGTAAACTGGTTAGCAGCGATGTAAGGGAGGGAATGATCTCTGCCCATATATAAAGCTAAAATTGTTGGAGCATGGTAGTCAGAGCTTTCCCTTTGGAGGAACACCTCTGTGAGGTACAAAAAAGGGTTCATGACAAACCCACAGAGTAAGGACAGGTAATGAGTTTGTTGCAAGTTTTCTTCCTAACAGCCCTGCTGTGATGAAAAATACTGTGAAATGTCTGAAAGAGAGCTGGTAAGCAGGAAAAAAAAAATAATAATAAACATGCTTTTCTTAATCTTGCACAAGCCCAGCTTGGGAAAGGATGTGAGAAGTCCATACAGGTCAGTACACAAGCAACAAAGCCAAGGGGACAGGCTCACTGGGGAGACAGTGCTCTCAGTTTTGGCTTGTTCTTTGCTGAGCTGCTAAGCACTTATTAGAAGCTTTCCCTAGCAGTGAACACAGAGTCTTTTTCTTTCCTTCTTCCTCTCTTTCTTCCTCTCTTTCTCTCTTTCTCTTTCTTTCTGTCTTTCTTTCCATCTGAATATATGAGTCCTTCCACCTGAAGACATTTCCCATTCCTCAAGCACCCACACGCCACCCAGGGGAGTTCCACAGTCAGCAGCTCCCAGCCTTTCCATCACCTCTGCCCTGGGATGCCTACGGAGGAAGGAGTGACTGAGTGCAACTGCAGCTAGACTCACTTTCTCCCATGCTCAACCCCCACTGAACACCACGGAAAGCCCCGAAGTAAGGATTTCTGCTGAGTTTCGCATGCTGTTGATATCCTGCTAAAGTTCATGATGGCTGGGAGGAGGTGAGGCCATGTTAGCAGTGCAATTTGCACACCATGATTAACCACAGCTGGGGCTGCTGAGGGTAACACAATGGGAGGGCTGACATGAGAGGAGGCAGGTGTTACATCCTTTTCTCATTAGAGGAACAAATGTTTCTTGTTGAAAGCAAAAGGAACACTTGAAAAAAAAAAAAAACTCTTTGAGGATAGCTCTTAGCAAGACACCAAGTGGGGGGTTGCTACCTGCCGCGCACCTTTAAAGATCAGGCCCCGTATTAAGAAGTTTAAACATAGCTCTAGTAGCCTAACTTTCAGAAAGTACATTTTTTATTTTAAAAGTTGGGTTGCTTTTCTTTTAAAGGGAGGTCACCACATCCCTGAGGAGCTCTGCAATTCCCTGCTCCCACAGCCACCAGCTGGTGAGCGATCCCCCTGCACCGAGCAGCCTGGCGTGGAGCGAGGCGTGAAGCCTGTCCCGGTATAAAGCAGGGCAGCTCTCCCCTCCCTCATCTCTGCATCTCTTCCTTGATGAACCACGAAGCTCTGCACCACAGGTGTCGTCCCAGGTGGTCCCTACTCTCATTCACAGTGGTTTTTGTCCCATGGGGAGCGCGCTTGCAAAGTTACCCACCACCGGAGCCAGGGAGAGAGTGAGCAGAGAGGGGACAAATTGTGGGGGGTGACATTTCTGGTTTTCTACCTAAAAAGACATCTTTGTCCCGCTGTTCTTAAGATACAATCCTCTGCTTTATTGCTGGCCTTTGGGATTTCCACCCCCACAGCTCCTTCCTCCCCTTTTTTTTTAAAGGCATGGGGCAATTTTTATTTCCTGGCTTACACCGACCCCCAGTCAGATTCTCTATTCAGCTGTATGCTGGAAAAGTTAAATGTCCACTCTCCTCATGCAAAGGCTGATATTTATTTTATCTAAAGATTTTATATAATACCAACAGTCTGCCTTGGTGCAGCCAAAGAGGCTTAAAAAATTACTAGCAATCTCTTTTTTCCACCTCAGAGCCCACATCCTAAACACTGAACAAATCCCATCAGTGTTTGGGGCACATAACATCATTGTTGTCAAATCAATGGTGAATTTACATGCTGTTAATCCTTGGCATTTATTCAAACAAGCTCAGCAAGTTTTAGCAGCACAATGCATTTTGTGTTTCCATCAATGGATTTACATGGTGAATGAGGGATGCTCTCCCCTTCCCAGGCTGCAGCAGCACCCCAGAGAGGGGGAGACGTGAGGGGAGCATCCAGCACAGGGAGCGGGACAACTGGGAGAGGAACAGATCTGGAAGCTCACAGCTGCCAAGTAAGGGTGCTTCTCCCCGTCTGTAGGTCCCAGAGCAATTTACAGAGGAGGTAGGTACCAGCACGGTGGCTGGGAACACTAAGTGAAATGAGTTCTCACCCAGAAAGGCTGAGGTACAGCCTGAGCCCTTTTCACTCCTCTAGTCTTCTGTACGAATAAAACCACCTCTCTTGCAAAGCCACAGAGCTTGCTGCTGAGAGTCCCTCTGCCCTGCAACCAGCCCTAGTCCCCCTCAGCTTTCCAAGGCTCCTTTTCCTACAGTATCAATATTCCCTTTGCTTTGAAACCATTCGTGTCAGGCTAGAGAACTTGAGAGTGCAAGGCTGTTTTGTGAGATGATATTTACTGATTGATATAAGGCAAATAACGAAGCCAAGTCATGTAACGCTTTGAGAAATTAAAACCTCAAGCGTTTACCAGAGGAAAGGAGAAATGATGTCCATTGATTTTGATACGAACTCCTACCAAAATAAATAAACAAATAAAAATAAATATATCTTCAGACTGAGAGTTCTTCACTTACAACACAGTTCTTTGATTTTAGGAAATGAAATTTTCTCTTCTAGTGCTCTTGACGCTTTAGATATGAGTTGTTTCTGCACGATCTACATGAGCATTCCTGCACTAAGCAGATCTTCCTACAGAGCCTGTATCAGACTGTTTTTATAGATTATTTTTTTTTCTCCAAAGGAACCAATACTCAACTTCTTCATTGCATGACCTAGAGGGAAGGTACAGCATACAGGGAAGGAAGGGGTATCTCAGGAAATGCTCCACCACAGACATTCAATGTGGAAGGCTCGGGAAGCAGATGAGACAAACACTGCAGCCAGCTGGTAGTTCTGCAGCCAACCACACTCTCCTGGTCTGTGCCTGCCTCCCTCTGTCTGAGCTGGGCTCGGAGGGAACCGCAGGACCTGCAAATCTCCCCGCACTGAGGAGAAATACAGCACGGTCACAGCTTTCATCTGGCTCAGAAGAGACCCGCTGTGTCCATCCAGCCAAACTGCAAGCAAAAAACAAAGCTAGCTCTTGATGGGCTAACGATCCCTGGTGCCACCAGGACAAGTCTGTTACGGTGGCAGCTGTCCGGTGACTTGGAGAATTTATTTTTACAGCAGCTCGGTGATGGGAACCTTGGGAAAACATCGCTTGGCAGAGCAGGACCCTAACGATCCCTTTGCCTAAGCCGCTCCCAAATCCCCTCGCTGGCTTTATGCGCGCTCATGTGAGGATGAGCATTAGCGTGAGGGTGCTGGAGGTTAGCAGCAAGAAGATTAGCAGCACGGGCAACGCGCTGGGACGGGCTCTGCCTGCGTCACTGTGCGCACACGCTGAGAGGGCGAGGGTGTGCTCTGGGCAGCTCTCCTCAGCCGCTGTGCACCACAGCCTGACGGCTGCTCTGCGGGGAGGGAAACCAGTCAACGAGGGCCAGAGACCCCCTCGATGTCTCTTACGAGTTAAATAGGGCACACACAGGCCAGGCACTGGAGCGCACTCGTGAGGAGGGGACCACAAAGTAAGGGATAATCGAGCTGAAGAGCACCACGTCTCCCAAACTCTCACCCTCTGGAAAATACGACACGCAGGAGTAGCAGATGAGAACAGACTTGAGCCAGAGGATGCAGCACTAATGACCAGGGCTCTGCTGTGTATAATTAAGGTTAAATTACAAAGATTGTCGCGGGATCTCCACTCTAAACCAACCTCTCTTTTCCCTTTGCTTCCTTTTTTTTTTTTACTTGCCAGATGCTTTATGCTTTTTGTCTAAAGGTCATAGCCAGGGAGACTGAATATGGTGAGGGAAAATAAGCAAACAGAAAAACCCCTGCTGCAGCTGTTCAGTAGAAGGAAAAAAAAAAAATCCATATTTCACAGCTGGGAGGAGCAGTGCAGAGAGAGGGAGCTGCAGCTGGGGGTGCAGTCACGGGAGGAAATCTTAGAGCAATCATTTTTTAATGCAGGGCCCCAAATCCAAACTCCACACAAACACAAAAGTCCTTGTATAATATTTTTCACTTGCTGGAGTGACACAATGATCTGCAGATCACAGAGGAGGTTTTCAGTGACCCAGCAAAGATGCTCTCAGTTATAAAAGTTTAAGTAGTGTGCTTTATGCTCTGCTGTGGGTGTGGGAGAGCAGTTCTGGTGGTTTCTGAGAGCATTTTGGCAGAGGAGCAAATAGAAATTTGCACTAAAAAGCACTGCCCAGTCCTTTAGCGTTCTCACCTCGGCAAAAGGGGTGCTCTGCAGTCTTGCTGAACTACCTGAGAAGTCACCCCCTTGTAGTCCTACGTGCCATTTTGGCACTAAATGTGCCCAGCCTTCCCTTCTCTCTTTGTGGCTCTGCTCCTCCGCCTCCCCAGGTGTCACTCAGTGGGATACCTCTGTGTGTTTCTGTGCTGACGAGAGATTAAAACCTTCTGGCAAAGCTGCTCAGTCTTGCTCTGCGGCTGTGTTGCTCTGCTGTCCTGTTCCAGGGAGCACAAAAATCGATGCCAGGTGGCATCGATTCCACCTCATTTCGACCCCCTCCTCTGGCAGCTGGGTTACCTCGGCCTGCGGGGATGCAGCTTGGTGGAGGCAGTACACGGCCTGCAAAGAGAATACCTGCTGCAGTCAATAAGAGCTTGACAAGAGGCTGGCGTGTGTCTCTGAGAAATTGAGGATGGCCTTATTGAAAACTGCTCCGCTCCCCCTGGGATTCCCAGAGCCTGAGATTTTTCAGGCCACGCAAGAAAAACTGCAGCCCTTGCAATGCTATATAATAAATGTACTCCTATAAAGCAGGAGCGGCGCTGCCCTGGAAAAAACCTGCCCTTCTCCTCTGAATGTTATTGCAAGGATTTTGACGCGGCTGCTCCGTGCATGCCACAGTTGGCAAGTGCTTTCTTATCTCCACATATTGTAGTGCAGGCAGTTTTTCCAGTGTGTTCACAGCACATCAGCAGCACTGTGCAGCCTTCGGTTGCAATCACAATATGCTCCACATCCATTTAGCATCTCTTCCCATAGGCTGCCGCACTGCAGAGCGGGATTTTCCTTTACAAAGCTTGTGCTAGGGGCTGAAAACTTGTGCAGCTCTGGAAGGGGCTCAGGGGGGTCTCTGTTAGTTTCCAGTCACACCTAAAAGAATTGTTTTAAACCTCTGAAAGGCACCAACCCCCAAATTTCCTGCAAGATGACCCGAGTTGTCTTGTCAGGAATCCCATCCTTCCCGTCAGCTCGCTCTGTCAACATTATTCTCTACGTGAGGGACTGACACAAGTGCTCAATTTCACATCACCTTAGCTTTCATTTTCACCCCTAATCCAAGGGCTGATTTTCCAAGTGCTTGCCTTCCAGCTCGTTCTGGGCCACAGACAACAAGAGATTCCCAAGCAGCCCTAAGCCAACGTGCTTATGGCACAGGAAGGCAAAAGGAGGGAGCTGCATTATCAGCTCAGCAAAGAGCTGAGGTTTCGCGGGTGCTGTTGCCTCGTTTCACACCTTTTTAGTTTTCTGCCTTGCAGGATTCAGAAGTTTTTGGAGGTAAGGACTGTTTTTAACATACTCCTGCATGTTTACTTCTCAAACTGAGTGATTTTCCCTGGCCCACACAACCAAAGCTGAACAAACGTGAAGGGAAGCTCACCTCCAGAGCAAAACCATGGAAGCAGGCCCTCAGCGTCAGACTCCTTTTGTCAAGTTTATGCCCTACAGCACATAAAAGCTGGAGCTGAAACACAGAGCTTGAGCCCTAAGCTCTCTAAGCAAGGTAGCTGCCTCCATGGGCTGACACCCAACCAGCCCTCTAACACGAGATGTATTTGCAAGCCTGCTCACCTAACCCAGTGACAATGCTGGAGGTGGCACCCTAGGCTCCCCTGGTCACAGAAAGGAGCAGTTAGAGGGAGACTGAGGATGGGCAATCACCAGGAAGGAGGAACCAAGCAGCAATTTCTTTTTCCCAGCCTTTAGCTAGACTTCGTGTGTGCTCAGGCCTGGGCACACGGACCCTACCATGTTAAAATGGAATGAGGAGTGCCAGCTGTAGGATTTAGCCTCATTAATCCAGCAATTTACCACTATCGGTAAATCAATAGCAGCTGTTAAGGAGGCTGCACCCACATACCTGCTCAGTGGCAGGGCAGTTTTGTTTTTTTCAGCTGTGACTTTAAAACCTCCTCTGGTCTAGAAGCGCAGTACAGCAACATTCCCATGGCATTCCAGTGAACACAACTGCTTAGGAAAGCAGTTTATATGGGGATAAAAACGAGTAGGCTCTTTTGTAGGCATTGGCACGCTGATTAAAGTGCCATGTAGCTCGCCTTAGGGCATTCATTGTATCTGCAATTATTGAGAGAGACAGGGACAAAGGACAGGGAGAGTGTGTGAAACAGCACACAGAAAAGTGCTTGGATGGGCATCTGCTGCTGTTCAGCAGCATGTAGGTTCCTCTTCCCTTGAGGCATGCCAGGGTCCTCGGAGGGCTTTCAGGCAGCCCCCAGGGCTCTGGTGGAGCCTGGAAGCCCCTTGCTGCAGCCCCCTGCTGTCTGAGAGCACCTTTAAATATGAGGAGTGATAACACGAGGAGAGTACAGGAACAGGATTCAGGCCTTCAGGCCTCAGCCCCTGAGCCTGACAAGTACTGGGACTACAGGAGAGCTGCTAATCCTTTCAGTGATGGGACAGAGAAGCCTCTGTAATTTAGGACCAAATAAAGGCTGGAATATTCTTGAGTTGGGTGCTGAGTGCCTGAGCCAGGCTGTGGCTTCAGCTGCCCTTTCCTAGCAGACCTCAGGAAGCCTTTCCGTGACACCGCCCCCTTCTCTCGCTGCCTCATACCATGAAAGTTAGCAGGAACCACTGATGTTGCTGTGTGGTTGCTTTAAACAGAAGGTGATCTTTGGGGAAAATAATTGTTTACTATTGTTCCAGCATTCATTATTGCTGCATATACTTTAGCTAGAGCTACCTCACAGAGCTGAAACTAGCACTGTAAATATCGATCTGGGCCCTGCTCTGCAAAAAGGCTCTGCTGGATGCTTCCAACAGAGAGTATTTCTCGATTCTGAATCCGCTGGCAGCGAAAGACGTCTGTTATCGCGGCTACTGCCCCGAAATCAAGCGCTAGAACAACAAGCGAGAGGAATTCACATGAGGTAGCACGGCTCTTCGCTGCGTCAGGCCCGGCAGCTTTGATGCTGGTGCTTTCACAGCACTGACTAAACACATTGACCAGCCCTGCACTGGCCACTCGGCAATGGGAAATAATGTTTGCACAGGGTTAGAGCTCCTTGGTGTGAGGAGGAGCAGCTTGGCTTTGGGTAAAATTTTCCAAGGCATCTGTGCAGTGCACCTGGAAAAGCAGAGCCTGGTGCTGAAGCTCTGCACCACGAGTTTCCCTCACACCTGGAGCTGCTCTGCTAACACTTTCCTCAGTGCTCCCGCGCTGATGTAGGGCCAGGCAGGTTTTTCCCAGGCTACCCTTCCCACTCCCAAAGCAGATCCCACATTCCCGTCCCCTCACGGGCCTGTGCTGTCCCCCCAAATCTCCATGGTGGCCTGCAGACCTCCCAAAAGCGGTGTCAGGCTCCCCGGGCACCACCTCCTGCAGACACAAGCTTTGTGTGATATTTCCTCAGGTGAAGAAACGCATTTGCAGGGCTGCCTGGTGCGAGCCTTTTCAGCTGAGAGCCACAGGAGGGAGCTGCAGCAAAGCACATGAAGGCTCGAGGGGCCTTGTGCACGCAGCTTTTAGGGCTTTCAGCCCGGTCACCCCCAGGCCCTTTGGAGTGAGGGGATTATTTCAGAGGGACTCGTGAAAAATAAGCGGGAACAGCCCGTCTGCTGCTCCTAACCAAAACCTCTCTTCTCTAGGTGTATCTCAGGGTAAGCCTGGCGCTCTGCCTTTTAAATGTGTTGCTGCAAGCAGAGTTCAGCAGCAGGCAGACACAGGCAACAACGTGCAGGAGCTTTCACCCCCTCCACCCCCAACAGCTCATCTGATATCTCTGCCCTACTTCACTTGCAGAAATACCCGCTATTTTTAGGCCTAGTATTTGCTGATAAAAAAGCTCTGCTGTTAGGGCACAGTCCCATGGCAGGATACAGCCACAGACAGGGAGCAGCCTTCCTCTCCATCCTCCTCCTCCATTCCTGGGGCTTTCCTTACCTCCAGACAGGCGGGTGGGAGAGATGGAACAAAATAAGCACTGGGGAAGGGTGGAGGGAAACCCACCCATCCCTTACGACACGGCTGGGCTGTTAGCAAAGCCCTGGCTGGGTCAGGAAACCACGACCAACTGAAGCTAGCCAGAGCCAGACTGCAAGCAAAAAAGCGATGCAATGGGGACAGTAGATAGGCAAGCTCCTTCCCATCCAGGGGATGGAAAATGCGAAGTTTGTGTGGGTTCAATGGGCACTAGACCCTTGTGTGGGGCTTGAGCTCAAGGGGTGCTTGATGTGCTTGGAGGAGAGACCTCAACAAAAAAAAGAGGCACCACAAAAGGCTCAGGAGGTCCCCTGAGATGAAAAATCGTGGAGGCCAGGAGTGTAGCTGTGGAGACGGGGCTGGCTCATGCATGCACACCCTGCTTTTTTCCCTCTCCCCTGGGGATCTGCTCCTCCTTCCCCCAGCAGGCACAGAGGTGTGAATCTGTCCCCGTGGCCTTATTAGCAAGTGCCAAGGGTACAGGGAGAGGTCTGAAGAGACCGGCTGCCCCCACAGAACCGTCCAAACCACCCAGGGCAGCACAGAAGGGAATTTCTCTCAAGGGACCACCTGGATTTGCCTGTCCCACTGACTCTGGTTACTTTCCAGTCAATCCTTTCGGCCCCTGGGGCAAGGCACACTCTGTGAAGGGGGACAGAGTGACATGGGTCAGGGACAAACCCTGGGGCAGCACCTCACCTGGCTGAGAAAGAGTTACACCCCCAGGGGCAGGCAGTGACAGCAGGAGAAAACAAAAAATATAGCTACTGGGTTCTTATTTATTGGTTTGTTTGTTTGTTTGTTTTTCCAGGGAATAAGTGCAGTGTTCAGCACAGCCAGAGGGCAGGGATGAGGCCAAACCCTTATCCTGTTGCTGAATGTCTCCTGCCCAGCTCATACCTCTTGTTTGCTCTTTCCAGACTGCCACTGGGGAAAACCATCTGATTTCTGCAGCGCCTCTCTCTGTTTCACTCCACCCCCTATGGAGATGGATGCAGAGATCTCACCCTTCTCTCAGCCGTGCCGTGCTTACTTGGGCTGCTATAATTAAGGATCTTTGATAAGATCTACTTATATAACCGTGGTGATTAATGAAGTATAGACGTGGAAGTAGATTAAGTGAGATTACCAGCTACTGCTCCGCTCTAGCATACACAGCTTGCCTTCTCTGATTAACTTTTGATGCTACATCTTAAATTGATTCTCTTTCCTCCTGGTCGTGCCTTGTTTCAAGATGGGGCAAAATCGTCCGAAGCGCTTGCTGGCTGTGGGTTACTAATTATCCCTGCACACACGTTGTTAGCAAAATCCCTTTAACCTGAAAAGCCAAATCCTGTGTGCCAGCCTGGAGCTCCGGGTATCTTTAATTAACACAGAGCCATTTTCTACACAAAGCACTCTAAGCTCTCAACCTTGGGCTGTGTTTCTTCATTTTAAACTCATTATATATATATATATATATATATCCAAGCATTGTCTTCTTTTGCTTAACAACCATTTCTTTCTTCTCATTTCTTTCTTCTCATTTCCTCCCTGACCCTACACTCCTAAAAAACTGGCTGCTTCCCTATCTCCTTATTTTTTTCTCACCTCTTTATCTCCCCGGCCCAGTAACCAGGAAAACAAATATGGGTGTCACCTTTTTCTCCTCACCAAGTGTCAGCTGGTAGCCAGTGGTGGCATTGGGTTTAAGAAGGTAGGAAAGAACAGAAGAGGGTTTGTGGCAGCATTTAACCCTGTAGGTCTAGAGAAACTGGGGTGGGGAAGTAACCTGCGGTGAGCCACTAGCCTGAACAACCCCACTGCTGCGGAGTGTATGCTTAAAGACAGGGAACACATCCAAGCTGTCCTGAGTCCTGCAAATGCTCTCATTTTGATTTAGTAAAACAAAATGTGAAATAACAAATAGTTACTGCTTTGGAATCCTATTTTTCCTCCAGAGAAAAGTGGTAATCTCATCATTCCTTCATGTTTCCTTTATTTTGCTGGCTCATGACTTCCCTTCCACCTTTCCAGCTGTGCTGCCAACATGAACCTCAAAGGGTCTTCTTCCCTCTCCCTCTCTTACACGCCCTAGTTTCTGCCCTAGCCCCCTTTCTTCTTTCTAAGTTTTGCCCTGTGTGCAAGACAAAGTCACTTCAGTTTTGAGGGATTTGGCTGCTAAGAAGCTTTCATCCTCATTGTGATGTGCCCACATAACGTGGCCTCCGGTGTTACCAGGCCATGTCCAAGCTGCTGCCCTTCAGCAGGCAGATGCACTGCAGCAGATCTTCCATCCAACAACAGCTCGGCCACACTGACACAAGGGGAAAATATCCCACTTTCAGATAATCAGCTGCAATACTGCGAGCAGATGAATGTAGGTGAAATGCTGGCTCTTTGACACTGGGTTAATCACAAGCTCGTTGGCACCTCATGAATTCACAAGCAAAAAGCCATTTTGTTTCATTCCTCGCTCCAAGCTTAGACATAGAAGGAAGCATGGTGTGAAACGTCTGGCTGTTACTACTAAGCAGAGCACAGAGATCTCCCTTCCTGGCACACGGTGGGTTTTGTGTAGGCGCAGCACCCCTCTGCACGTGTGTGTTTTGGTGCAGGTCCTGGTGCTGGCATGTGCACAGCCAGGCTGAGCGCAGGAGGGGAGCATCCTCATGAGCCATTTGAGGCACCTACTTTTGCTGGAGGCATCATAAGATCTCTGCTTGTCATGTGCAAAGGCAGCCCGGGCTGGTGGGAGGTGTCCCTGTCCATGGCAGGGGGGTGGAACCAGGTGGTTTTTAAGGTCCCTTCCAACCCAACCCAGTCTGCGATCTGATGATTCTGTGATTTCCAACATGGGCGTTTTGTTTTGTTTTCTAACAGCATCTCCAGGTGAAGTTACCTGCCTGGGAAACACAGATGTCAGTGGCAGCAGGCTTCAGCAGAGCATCGGACCCACAGAGGGTCAGAACCTATTGCATTTCAAAGAGTCCAAGCAGATTTTAATTCCCCGAGAAGAAATACACATTTCAACACATCTTAGCTGAAGGTTTTAACAAACACATTAGAGCAAGAATTGATGCAATTTCATTCAGCTTATCATGTAAAGCATATACTCTGCAAACAAACGTCACAGGCTGCTTTTAGTGATGAATCAAAGCCACCAGGGACTTCTGCTTTGTTAGGGCTCATTGCAGGCCACTGTAGTTGCAGTTCCCCTGACAACTTAGGCTAGGTCAACCCTCACAGCAGGTTTCCCCCCGGGAGACTGAGCTGATCTAGCAGCTTGCTGCTTCTGAAGGCGTCTGTCCCACTCCTTCATTGCCCTCACTGCAAGCTACAGCTGCAGCAGTCCTGATCTTCCCTGGTGCTGGCTCTGTCACTTCTTCCCCTACTCAGTGAGAGTTCAGCTCACTTCATGAGATGGAAATTACTCTGCTATTTGCAAGGCTTTGTTTCTACTGGTTTTGTGAGTGTATACTGCAGCGCTGAGCCTAAATAGGAGGCTGATGAACAGCAAGCAACTGTTGGGGAAAAAAAAGTACATCCCCTACCAGGCAAACCTTAACGGGCACACACACTGCAGTGCCAAGCCAAGCAACAGGATCTGTCCTCTGGTAGCAGGGGGCGTCACAGGGAAGTGAGTGAACCCCCGTCACTGGGTATAACTCTTGTCCAGGTAGTGAACTGCTTCTAAAATTGCTGTTCTGTGTTTAAAGTGGACGCATTTTAAACATCTTTTGGAGACAGGCAGAGAAATAAACATTGGGCTTACTTTCTCAGAACTGGCCTCGGTGTTAAGTTTCCATTGTATTTTGTCAGAGCACGATGCAAGCACGTGTGTTTGTGAATAGCCCGATTGACCACAGCGGGGCTATGAACGTTATGCAAAATAAAGCACATTTGTAAACATTTCAGAGAATTCCAAAATACCTAAGAGACAAATTCTGCTTGTAATAGACCGAGTGCTCAGCCTGTTGTCTGCATCACAACTACTCTTCCTTTAGCACCGCCTGATTTACAAGGCCTCACAGAAAAGTGTCTATCTGCTGGAGGGCTGGAAGGCCCTGCAGAGGGACCTGGACAGGATGGGTTGGTGAGCAGAGGTCAGTGGGATGAGGTTCAACATGGCTAAGTGCTGGGTCCTGCACTTTGGCCACAACAACTCCATGCAACACTACAGGCTTGGGGCAGAGTGGCTTAAAAGCAGTGCAGAAGAAAAGGACCTGGGGGTGCTGATCGATGCTCGCTTGAACACAAGCCAGCAGTGTGCCCTGGTGGCCAAGAAGGCCAACGGCATCCTGGCTCTTCTCGCAGACAGCTATTGATAGGTGCTACTGATCAGCTACTGATATGGCCTCAAGTTGCACCAGGGGAGGTTTAGGTTAGAAATGATGAGACATTTCTTCTCAGAAAGAGCAGTCAAGTATTGGAACGGGTTGCCCAGGGAGGTGGTGGAGTCACTGTCCCAGGGGGTGTTCAAGGAGAGGTTGGACGTGGTGCTCAGGGACAGGGTTTAGTGGGTGACATTGGTGGTACGGGGTGGTTGGACCAGATGATCCTGGAGGTCTTTTCCAACCCTAATGGTTCTATGTTTCTACGAATATGGCCATTTTTATTTGCAGTTCATCTGTTTTTTGTTTAATTTCCTTCAGAACCTTCCCACCTTGATCAATTGCTATTCCAGCCCTTCAGGATGTGATAACAAAGATCTAACTCAGATTTCTTGTCTGCATCCTTTGTACTGATGCCTAACTGCAGAAAGACCCTTTAGCTCCTAAGCAGCACCACTGTCTTCTCTGTAATTGTAGAAACTTTTTGGCAAGCCCATTAATTACATGCTTCAGTATCCATCAGAGGCTTCACAGTTTCCTTGATCCCCTGGCTAATGACTGTCATTAGTTTTTTATGTAAATATGTTGGTTTTAGACCTCAAAATGTGATGGCAGCTCCAGAATTACCTAGTCAAATGAGAGCACTTTAGAACAGGGTACCACTTTGGCAAGTAACAGGACTGTGTCCTGCTTCAGGAGTAGGGCCAGAATTTTACAGGTCTAATGTGTTTTTTGGTGCTTGTGTGTTTTGATGTGTGACTTCAGTGATTATTTTTTTTTCAGCCTGGTTTGTTAGCTTGTTCTCACACCGTGTGCCAGGAGATCACAGGTCTTCTTGACTGCGACCTGTCACTCTGAGTTTGGGCCCCTCGCTACAAGAAGGACATGGAGGTGCTCGAGCAAGAAGAGAAGGGCGACGAAGCTGGTGAGGGGCCTGGAGAACAAGTCCTACGAGGAGCGGCTGAGGGAGCTGGGCTTGTTCAGCCTGGAGAAGAGGAGGCTCAGGGGCGACCTTATTGCTGTTGGTAAGTACATTATAGGAGGATGTGGAGAGGTGGGGGTTGGTCTGCTCTCCCACGTGCCTGGTGACAGGACGAGGGGGAATGGGCTAAAGTTGCGCCAGGGGAGTTTTAGGCTGGATGTCTGGAAGAACTTCTTTACTGAAAGGGTTGTTAGGTGCTTGGAACAGGCTGCCCAGGGAAGGTGGTGGAGTCACCATCCCTGGAAGTCTTTAAAAGCCGTTTAGATGTAGAGCTCAGGGATATGTTTTAGTGTAGGACTGTTAGCGTTAGGTCAGAGGTTGGACTCGATGATTTTGGGGCTCTCTCCCCCCCACACACACAGCCCTGTGACTGCCATCATGGCGGCCGCCACCGCGTGGCGCGAGCACCCCCCGCGCGGGAAGGAGGGAGGAGGGGGGGTGAGTGCGCGCCAATGAGGCCCGCCGGCGGGGCGCGCATGCGCAGTTCCCCCCCCGTCCCCCCCCCACACACACACACCCCGCCGCGGGGCCGCGCTTCCGTCGCGGCGGCTGTGACGCGTGCGGGGGGCGCCGGGGCCGTCCGGCGGGCGGGCGGGCGGTGGGCGAGCGATGGCGGAGTACCTGGCCTCCATCTTCGGCACCGAGAAGGACAAGTGAGTGCCGCCGGGCGGGCGGGGGGAGAGGAGGGAAGGGAAGGAAGGGAAAAGAAGCGGGCGGCGGCTCCCCGAGCGGCGCCGTCCCTCAGGGCCCGGCCGCCGTTACCTCAGCGCTGGGCCGGGCCCCGCCGCCTCCCCGTGAGGCGCCGCCGTTACCCCCCCCCCCCCCCATCCCCCTATGTGAGGGGAGGGGGGCAGAGGGGGGGCGGCCGCGCGCTGCCCCCCCCTCCCCCCCCACCCCGGAGTGCGCGTGCGCGCCACGCTGAGGGAGGGGGCGCGCCCCCGCGGCGGCCGCGCGCGCGCCCGGCGGCCCCGCCCATGCGCCCCAACCCCCCCCCCCCCCCCCCCCCCTTTCCTTTTTCCCCTTCCCGTTTCCTCCGCGCCTCGTGGCCCCAGGCCCCAGCCCCAGCCCCAGCCCCGGCCCCTTTTGTTTCCCCTCCCCGCCCGCCGCAAGGACGCCGGCACCGCCGCTCGCCCGCCCCCGCCTGGGCGCCTCGGGTGGCTTCCGCCTGCCCGCTGCCTCCTCCTCCTCTCGCTCTGCTTCCCCCTGGGGCTTTGTGGTGCCGCGCGGCAGGCCCGAGTCGCGCAGCCCGGCCCCCCCCCCCCCGGCTGGCGAAAGGCGCTGTTTCGGCAGCCCTGCGTAGCCTCAAAGTCCTGTGCTGCTCGCTCGCCTTGTGTCCAAAAAGCTCAGCGGGACTCTCCGCAAAGTGCCGGACGTCGGAGCCTTGCTGGAAACCAATCACTTGTCTCAAGGCTTTCAAGATCACCAACTCCAAATATCAAAGCTTTATAGTGTTTTTTTGTTTGTCTGTTTGTTTATTTCAGCATAATCAGAAAAAACAGTAAGTATAACATAACACTACGAACATATTTTCAAAAACGTCTTGGATACTAAGCACATCACCATTCCCAGTAGAGCCTTTTGCCGGAGGTCAGACATGCTGTGCACCTTCATACTCTCCCCCCACACACACCGTGAACTGAGGAAAGAACTGCTGGTATTAGCTATGAACACAGAAATAGTCATCTTTCTTCCAGGACGACTCACATATTTTGCTTCACAAACATGTCTAGCCTGTAATAGTTTTCTTGCCCCCCAGAATTTTGCGTTCAGTTTTCCCAGTCCAGGTAACTACGCTCCTTACAGCTCTTCCTTTCATCATTCCACACGAATTATACTAATATATGTGAGAGTTGTACCGGCATTCCTAAACCAGCCTGGTTTTGAAGCTGTTACTAGCTGATAGTTGATTGAAGAAAAGATGCAATTACCTTGATGCAAAAATAAATGAATAAAGCTTTATTTTGAAATAATTAGTTGGTGGAAATGGCTTAGTTAAAGAATATACATGAGCAAAATAACTTCATTTATCTAACATGTTTTTTCCTCTTACCTGAATTACTTCCAGTGTTATGTTAGCAGTGCTCCTTTAGAGTACCATTAATGTGCGACTTCAAAGTGGTGGGTTTTTAAAACATTCAGAGGTGCAACTATCATTTTTAAAGTACGTTTTTTTTGTCTAGACCTGGGGGGTTGCATGAACTAGGATGCAACTCTGTAGCTCGCAGTGTAACTTTTCACCAGTTTTCACCTTATTTCCCATCCTGTCACACCATGAAATTGGCATAAAGACAAGAAGAGAGGATTGGAAGAGTAGAACAGCTGGGATTGCTTTTGTCAGTTGTGGTGTCATTAACGTACTTGGGGTTTGAGCATTAGGTGAAATTTATTAGGTAATTCACTGTGAATTAGGGATAAAGAGGAATGATTATGAACAGATCTGCTATAACGCTCTCCTGTTTCTTTTCTACATTATATTTTCAAGATAAAGGCATTTGGGGCATGTGTTTCATAGGAAGTGTATGTTAACGTCTTTCTATTCCAGTATGTAACTACTTTGGCTTTTTTACTTGCAGAGTCAACTGTTCATTTTATTTCAAAATTGGAGCTTGTCGTCATGGAGACAGATGTTCTCGGTTGCACAACAAACCAACATTTAGCCAGGTTTGTTTTCCTTTTGTTTTTCTTTTCCTTTTTTTTTTTTTCTTTTCTTTGTGGAAGTATATTCTTACTTTAAAACATAGATTCTCAGATACAAGTGAATAATTACAGAGCTCCAGATTTAACTAGTTCACTTTTGGCCCCAGTTTATATGGGGTTTTGCTTTTTTGGGGGTATTCCATTTACTTCTCCCAGCATTTCTAATTATCTCCTGTCACCCTTAATGGCTGCAGGAAGCGATGCTGTTGTAAGCTTGCCTGTAGTAGAGACCAACCAGTGCTAACTTTCAGGTGAGTGTGCCTTCTCAGTGATGTTTAGGCACTTAAACCGTCCCAGATTTTTTTTCATTATCACAAACAGTGGCAGCACGTTCCGCCCATCTCAAAGGTGTGAACTTAAGTCTTTTATGCATATAAGAGAAAAAAAATGATTATAAAAGTGACTTTTCTGTCATTACCTTTGCTCTCTGACCAGGCTCTTAAGTTTCAAGAGTAACTTACACGCTTCCTTTGAAAGTGAAAGAATTGTTTCTTGAAAGCAACGTGCCTGGTTGCTGAGGGTATACACATCGGTTAACTTGACAGATTATTTACTTTTTTGGCTATCTAAATATTACTAGAGATGAGACCTGTGACTGCACGTCTACTTAAAAAATGGTGCAGTGGATGATAGGGCTGCTGTTATTATTATGAGCTCTACAGTTTTCAGAAAACTTACCTGGAGAGCTGTACGCTTTGCCGTTTTCTATCACTGCTGATTGTCAGGGCATGCAGGTAAACAGATTTCTTTGGGAGTGCTTTGTAGTAGTGATAGCACTTGCGGAAGTTGTTGAATTATAAGTAGTTTTATCTGTAAGGGTAAAGTTAGTGGGGTCCTCTGGGCTGGTGTTGGTTTGGGGAGCACGAGGGAGGCAAGTAACATCTACAAGACTGGAGCTCATCGGGTTAAACCTCATAAACATGTAAGTGGGCTGGGAGGGCTCTGGGTGGGCTGTCTAGGCTGCTGCTGGTACTTCATCCACAAAAACAGTTTTTCCACTTACGGGAACTCACTAATTTTTAATATACGTAATGTTTATCAGAACATTGACCATTTTCCAAACCGCTCTGTGCTACTGACGTACATGGGCAGTGTGCTGAAATGTGCTAGGATAGAGGCTTGAGTTTAAATCATTAGCTGCTAGAAAATACTTTGAACTAGACAGCTTCCACAGTGGTTGTTTTAACATTAAAAAGAAAAGCTACATCTTTGCACCCAGCTTTTTGTAAGAAACAACAGCTCCCACTGTCCCTGCTGTCTTTAGTTTTGCTGTAGAAACTGCAGACAGAAATGCCACCTGAAGTGGGTCGGCAGGACGTGCTGCGCTCGGCTGCCTTGCTGTATGGTCACATCTGTAACGTACCTGGCAGTTGTCTAGGATCCATTACAGAAATCTTTATTTGTATGCCGACTGGTAATCAGCTGTGATAGAAAACAGAAGCACGAGTGTGTTATTAATGGGAAGTTACTGCCACCGAATTTTTATCTTCCCTTGCTATTGCTGGTGCAGCCCTTGTTGGAGGGCTGTGTTAGGAAAGGTCATGCAATCCAGAGTGATCAAATTACCACCAATCAGCAGAAACACTGTAACATATGCATGCTTCTGGCTCTCTCCAATTGTAGGCTAAAACATAGTTATTTTAAACCTGGGCCATGGAAGCACAAAGCTTTGGTTGGAATGACCATACCCATGATAACAAAACAAAACAAAAAAAAAAAAACAAGGGTGTGTGATATAAATGTGATATTACAGATTCTGTACATGTTAAGTGGGCAGCGTATGTAGGTATGACATTGCTGGTCCTTGTGATTTCTTTAAGCTCTGAGTTCTTAATGTGACTACTAATATTAATGTGTAAGCTAAAATTATTTGGGGACTGCGATTCATACTAACGAACGTTGAGCTTGTATTTAAGTAATCAAATTTCAATTTTTGAGCTGCTTACAGTGATATGGACATTTGGATTTTTTTTGTAATATTAGTTTACTAACTTAAACATGGTTTGTTTTTTCAGACAACTTGATTTTAAGAAGAACGGTACAAATGTAAGGTTTCAAGTCTGCCTGGGCTAATTCTTCAAGTAAAAAGCAGAAGGGCTAAAAGGATATTGTCCTTATTTGAAGGATCGGAAACATGTGAACCTATGATGCTATTATATTATTTAAACAGAAATTCCACCAAGAAATTCCTGATACACAAAACAAGACGTAGCTCATGCCTAAAAAACCTTGTTGTCCGGTGTAACATTTTAGACTCTGTGGCATTATGTATTGTATGCTGTGCACATAACGCTCTTTTTTTTTCCCTAGACTTACAGTAATGAATCCGGTCTTGACAATACGATAAAGCTAGGCATATCCGTAATACCACGTAGCTTGATGTTTTAGGTTACTGTGCCTCACAACTCCCATTTTGAGGATAGCTGTTGAGACAAACGCAGCTCTTTCTTGGTGGTTAATTAAAACTGTTTTCATAATATGATGGTCTGGATGCAATTTTGGAAGATATTCTGCAAATTCAAAAGGAAGCCTTAAGAATAAAATATTACTTTTTAGATGTTTGCAAACAAGTTGTCTCTTTGCAATTGTCTATTATATGCACAGCAGCCAGTAGAATTCCCCTTTTTATTTTTTTTCCCCGCAGACCATCTTGATTCAAAACATCTATCGTAACCCCCAAAACAGTGCACAGACGGCTGACGGCTCACACTGTAAGTCCCACAGTTGGAGAAATTTTTTTAAAGAATGGTGTTAAAGAGCCCACTCCTAATTATGAGAAAATAATGTTGGCTTCTGAGCTGCTGACATAAAGCTGTTGCAAACAGGACAAGTGATGGAACTCTTCTTGCGCATAAATCAAGAACTTGTCAAATGTGTGCAATTCAGAATGCAGAACGTGATTTCATAAATTGGACCTGGTGCAATTTCTCTTTTGCACCGCAAAGGAAAATGTTTGCTTTCTAACACTGCATTCTTTTTTAAGGGTTCAACTGCAGGCATTTCTCAAATTCTTGATCTAACCAAAAAAATAAAAATAAAATAAAATAGGTATATTGGTAATGCACGGTAAGTTTCCCAAAACTATGGGTTTTCTTTCATCTTAACTTTTTTAGGAAAATGGAGATTTCATGTTATGCTCTGATATTGTATTACTTCTGTTCCTGGGGCTTTGCTACTGTAAAACCATTCAGGAAGACTAAATTTGAGCAAATAATTTTGACTATGGTTTGAATACTGCGTTTGGATGGTGTCTGTTACATATCTGCCTGAAGTCACGCAAACCCCTCTGTTGTAATAGTAGTCAGTAAAATAAATGAAAAAGAATACAATACTGGAGTGTCATGAGATCTCTATTACTTTACAGTGTTAGGTTGATTCAGAAAGGTCACCAGCTAAGTGAAAGTTCTCCTTCTTGGGAGAGAATAACCACCTCTTTTTCAGCACAGACTCGGCTAGAGCGACCCTAAAGGAAACCAGTTTCTTGTTAAAATTATTTTCTATAATATAAAGTTGTTGCGTTTTGTATTTCAGACCATTGCCCTCTTGAACATTTACCGTAACCCTCAAAACTCTTCCCAGTCTGCTGACGGTTTGCGCTGTAAGTTCATACAAGTTCCTTCACTGGTTCCCTGGGCTTGATTGTCAGAGCTCAGTGTCGACTTAAGCTGGTCTACCATATTAGTTTAACAGATCAAACTGACCACATTTCATTAAATGTGTCCAAAAAAAAAAAAAAAAAGAGACCCAAACTTTTTTGTCCCACTCACCTTCTTCCCTACTCTGAAAGCTATGAGGGGAATCTGAATACCATCTATTAAATCGGAAAGAATTAAAATTGTATTTCCCCTGTAAAGCAGTCTCGATGCACTGCTTTTGTTTCCCCCTCCTTTCTCCCTGCCAGTTGCTTGCATCCTAGGAATGCTTTTCTGTATGTTTTATGCTATCCGTTCGGTTCCACTGACTCAAAGAGCAGGCCAATGACACGTTGACTTCATCCAGAACAAATTTCCTGCTCTGTAACTGTTAAGAGAACTTGAATTTGAAACTCTTCAGACTGCATGCAGAAATTTGTCCTAGGTTAATGCAGCTTTCATGTAGAGTCTACTTTGGAAGAATACGCTTTGACTGACAAACGCTTCCCTTTTGGCAGCTGTCCTTTTGGATAGGTGCATGGTTAAAATTCCCTCCATGCTTTGAAAATTCAAATTCCAGAACCAAGTTGCGTATTTACGTAGGAAAATAGATCTTTTTTAAAAGTACATTTGAGGAAGGGAAGCCATTTGGGTATGGTCATGAACTAATTTAATGACTCTTCATGAGGTAGGAATGGACAAAAGAGAAAACGCCTACTCTAAGACTGGCAGAAGTTAAATGAACAAGATTGTTTATCTGCAATTACTTCTCATTGTGATTGAATCATCATATTAGAATAAAATTAAATTTTAAAAGCTCTAGTATCAAAAAGGATCGGTGTTATACTTTAACTAATATTTCTTGTCGAAGTGAATATTGATTGTGTGGTAATAAAGCTTTGTTTGGCTATTCCTTTTTTGACTGTTGGGTTATAGACTACTTCAGATTAGTTACCAGCATTTAATTAGATGTGCTTTGTGAAACCAGCCACTGCCTTAAAAGTCAACACTGTGTCTTCTGCTTCTAAAAGTAATAATGGCCTGATTAAGTACCTTGTGCTTGTTTTATGTGACACAGTCAAGCTAGATGTGTAATGAGCTGTGTAAGTTTGTCTAGATGCCTAAAGAGTTTTATTGGTTTGTAGGCCCTCTTGTTGCAGCTGCTTAGTAGTCAACGCTGGTTCGGTAAACCAAAAACATCCAGTTGGGTATTTCCACTGTCCCTAAATTCTCGATGCGCTGGTAACTAATTTGTACAGTTACAGCAGTTTGGTCTGTGGAGCTGTTTCGATTGTACAGCTGCAAGAGTCCTGAGTTGAACAGATTCTCTAGCCTTCTCAATACTGGTATCCGACTTTAGTTTGTCTTGATGAGTGGGCAGCTATTTAACGGAGCCTAACTATACCTCGTGTGGTAGAGCTGCAGCTCTGTTACCAGTAGGTTTGCTGAAACTCTCAGCTCCCTGATTGTTGTTTTTGTGTTTTTTTTTTTTCCCCCCATTTTTTTTTTGTCCCTCCTTAAGTACTGCATGTATTTTAAATGAATAACTTGGGTAGCTGTTTAATGCGTTGTTTGTTGTTGCTTAACTGTCTTCCTTTCTATTGCCATCATAGAGGATTAACCTTAGTTTTGAACAGCAGTAGTTTTTCTGAGTATATTAAGTAGTTGTTGGGCTGCTCAAGGTTCAGATACCGGTGGCCCTGGGATATGAACGTTTGTAAAGCCTGTGCATATGTATGCTTCCCACTTAGAAGGACCTTCGTGTAGTCGTTAACTAACTGTTGCTGATGATCTCTTAATTTGACAATGGAATCAATCTCCTTACAAGCTTCTAGCACTTGTCCATTTGGTAAAAATTAATTATTCCCTGTGTGGCTCTCGGAGCCCTACCTGATATCTTAAAAATAAATCAGTGAATAAATCCTTAGATATTAGTAGGCTGTTACAAGTGGTGTTGGCACCACCTCGAGAATACAGTTAAGTATTAACTGTCTAGAAGTACTGGTTTAATGTTTGGTATTTCCTTAATTTGCTGTATAACCATGATGAAGCGGTGGGGAAGAAGAAAGCTCTGAAAAGCAAACATGTTTCAAATCCAGAAACATTGTTAGCCTGAACTACATGACAAGCCCCTCCTGTAGCCTTCTTCAGGAGGCAGCTGGGTGGAAGAAAAATAATTGCAGTTCCAGAGTGTGGCTGGTTACTATTAGTGACTTTGAAGAAAAAATGTCATGTTCTTCCAAGTGGTACTGTTAGCCAAAAATGCCTGAGCTCAAAGCATCTGTTTTTTCATAGCAGCCCAAACTGAATAAACTTTGCTTTGTTGGCTCGGTTTCTTTCACATTCTGTGAACTAAAACAGCAGTGTTTGTAATTTAAAGGCTGGAATATTTTTCTAGCATCAGATGCGGGGTTCATTTTAAAACTCCTCCGCTTGATCTTTATAAACCACTTCGCTGCTGAAGAGCTAATACAATAGGCTTTAATGTATACAGCTTAATTTACCATAAAATGCTATAGACTGACAGAAATAAATGAAAATCATTTTTTATTTCTTAATCCTCTGAAAAATCAGCCAAACTTATATTGTTTCTTGTAGCAGCAGGCAAGCAGCACTCATTTGTGAAGTCCAGCTTGGAGCATGAAAATAACCTGACTATATGGCTGGCTTACCTTGCACTAAATTACTTTTTTTGCAGGAATATAGAAAAACTCAGTGATACTCAAACAAAAATATTGTTTTCTGTCACAAAGCATTGTGGTACCCTTCTTTGAGACCACTGAGGAAACTCATTTTAGTAACTCTTCTGAGCAAATTCTTTAAAAATAAATAAATAAAATAAAGAAATTCTGAGTTGTTTCACATCGTGAACTCCCAAATTCTGGTGTACACGTGCTGGAGATGGAGAGGTGGACTTGTTAAAATGAAATTCTGCATATAGGAAGAGAAACACTAAATTGTGATCATCCTTAGAAATACGCAGATATGACAAAGCACTTGCCTTCTGTTTAGGTAAAACTGTTGGTAGATAGTGGGATTGTGCATCAAATTGAAATGATATTTCAAAGCAGTTCCTTTCCCCTTCCTCCCTTGAAATTTGTGGCATACAAGTTTGGTTCCGATTTAAAACTTGTTTGGATTTGATCATGTCAATATAGCGTTTTGACATAATACTTTGGGGGACTTACAACTGTTCACACATTTTTTAATATTCCTACTAGTTAGCAAAATGCTATATGGTGTCCTTTATGCTCCAGACGGCATCTCTAGATTATGTTTTGTAGTATAATCAGAATCTCTTCTTCCTTTATTACGGGCTCTAATCGATATGACTCTTGATTTTTACAGGTGCAGTGAGTGATGTTGAGATGCAGGAACATTATGATGAATTCTTTGAGGTATGTGGAAAAAGCAGTGCTCAAAATGTACGAAAGTATTCTCGAATTTCTAGAAGCAAATAAGTTAGATTCAGTGTATATCACAAGTAAATAGATTCAGAGAAAAGAACTGGTTTCCTTAGGTGTTGATAAAAACTTGAAACTTTCAATACTGAGTGTTTGCTGGTATAACCTTCAGTTGGTTTGCCTTTAGCTTTGCTGTGAGTAGTAGGCTTTGTTTAAAAATCAGCAGCCTAAGCCATGTAGCATTTGGTTTCTGTAATCTCCTTCTCTTCTGCAAATTCAAAAAATGTGTAATTCTTTGTATAGAAATAAATCTAAGGAATACTATAGCTGAGAGACTTATATTTAGTATTTACAGTGCATGTTCTGTGTTCCCTAAATACCATATGCTTAATGTTTTCCATAGCTACTTATTGTATCCTGTTAGAGCTGTGCTTAGAGATGGACACATAACAGGCCAAGCAAGTACCAATATTAAAATCAGAAATGTGAAGACTTTTTTTTAAGAACAACTTTCTTTTGTACTAATTATCAGTTAAATATATTACTTCTGTATTTTAATTAATGTGCTCCAAAATTTAAATTTAAATTTTATTTTTTTAATTGGTTTGTGTTTAGGAGGTCTTCACAGAAATGGAAGAAAAATACGGCGAGGTTGAAGAGATGAACGTTTGTGATAACCTTGGAGACCATCTAGTTGGAAACGTATACGTAAAGGTAGGATAAAAATAAATGTTTATTGTGTACTGAATAATAATTAACTGGTGCTGTACTCACATCATTTTTGTGAAGGTCCTAATCTTCTCTCCAACTTCTTAATATAAATTGGAAAGTGAAAATAGTAGAATCAACACAGTCTCCACTGATGGACTGCTTAGTTTGCCAAGATTAATTGTGGGTCTTTCTTCCCATCACGCTGCTGTTAAAGCATCTCACTATGAGCAGAGGTTTATTTTCAACAGGTGTGTTCATTTTCAACAGGTACACTTATTTTCTGACTTCCCAATTACACAAAACCTCTTGTAGCCAGTTGACATTTGGCAGTAGCTGGCTGGTTGAAGGTGTAAACTGACATTAAATACGGGTAGAATGAGCGAGATTGTTTGAATATTTTTACTGTACATTCCCATAAAAAGAAAGTATTTTGAGGCCTAAAATTATTGTCTGTGTAGGCCATCATAATTTAAATGAGTGAGAACTAAGGTTCTTATGCTGATTTATCCTAATTTCTCTTAAATGAGTGAAAAAGTTCTATTACCTTTGGATCGTTGGCAATATAGGAAGGTACTCCAAAGGATTTGCCTTTGCTTGAAGTTGTACTAAGATGACAGCGTTCTCATGTTCTGTAATGCAAGCTGCAAAACTAAAAAGGCCAAATAGAACATAACAAAGAAGATAATATTGGTGTTGTAATTAGCTTTCCATTGATGAGGATTTGGAGCTAACTTTTTTACCTTTGATTTGACTGTCCCAGGAACTCGTAAGTAGCTTCTAGTTTGATTGCTAGCCTTAGGCCACAGGTATGGTGAAGCTGATTTGGCAGGAATCTTTGATCTACTACTGCTTCTCTGTAACATGAGAAAATGTGTTAATTTTGCCCTTAGTTTCGCCGTGAAGAAGATGCAGAAAAGGCTGTGATTGACCTGAACAATCGCTGGTTTAATGGACAGCCCATTCATGCTGAGCTTTCACCTGTGACCGACTTCAGAGAGGCCTGTTGCCGTCAATATGAAATGGGGTAAAAAGTGACTTCCTGTTGGCTTACCTGTGAAATGCCTGCACAGACAAGATGGTCGCGTGGGGTGTGGGTTTTATGTGTAGCTTAGAGTAGGAAGGGGAAAAAAAAAAAAGAGGCTTCGGGTAACATTATGATCAATGTCCTGTTACCAGGAGGACCTGCAGGCAGCATTTTGACATTTGCTGTCTTCTGCATTTTGATCTTGGAGCTAGTCAGTTTCAGTAAATGATGGTGATTTACTGCTCTTAGTATGAGAGGTGATTAACTTGTAAATTGCTGAAGGTCTACTAGGTAGGGCTTAGGGCAAACTGATTTGGTGTAGAGCTGGGAATTTTAACTGTCTTGTATTCTGTTTCAGGGAGTGTACACGAGGAGGTTTCTGCAACTTCATGCATTTGAAGCCCATTTCTCGAGAGTTGAGACGCGAGTTGTATGGGCGTCGTCGTAAAAAGTGAGTTTGCTTTTAAACACAATTAAAATAGATAAACTGTAGATCAGTTGCTGAACATTTTGGAGACAAACCTTTAAACTTAAATCCTCTCTTGCTTTTTCTGGCTTATACCAGTGAAGGGCTTCAAGTGACCAACTTAGAACAAAGGAATGAGTCTGTAAAACAACTGAAGTTATGGTTCTGTCGGGCATATCTGTGGATGAATTCAGGACCTGGTGTGTTTTTACTATTTCTCCTAGTCTGATTTAAGAGTTAATGCCTGGCTTTTCTAGCCAATATTTGTTTGTGACTAACAGGAGGTTAATATTAATACTACCTTACATATTTATTAAGGCACCATGTAGAAAAGCTTATACCACTGCTGTTACTGTGACATCTTTTTTATGGATGGCTCACTTTGAGCTGGATTGAAACTCCTTATTTTTAGGGATTTGTTGTTTAGGTTAAGCAAATAAAATTGTTGGGTTTGCTTTTAGGTAGAGCACAACTTTGCCTTTCAATCTTGGGCTGGGATTATGAAAATGTTTCTTCCTATGAATGTCTCTAATTGGCAGCATCTTAGAATCTGTGAGGACAAATTTAACTTTGGAAATTCAGATTAAATTGCTTAGGCAATTGTATTTTTGCCTAAATATTTTCCTGAAATATCACAATATAACACTGATTTAAGTATAAATGTAAGCTCTTAGGATGCTTGAATGATTTGTGTTGGGGGGGAAGAAAGACAAAATATGGTCATCTTAACATGGTCACTCTTAAGAATCTGAATCTAGGTTTCTTTGCCATAGTAAGGCATTAGTGCATCAATCTTTTATTGCAATAAAGATAAGACTTGCATGTTTGGCTTTGGAATATGATTGTTTTACCCGTAGGCCAATTTCAATCTGTGGTAAAACAAATACAATATTTGAGTCCTCCATGCAGTTTGGTCTTTATTGGCCCTGTTTAAATTCTTTATGAAGCTGAACATGTCACATGCTATCAGTAAAAGTTTGATATTTAAAAAAAAAATGTTCTTGCATCAGTTGGGCTTTGCAGGTAGATCGTATAGACTAAAATGGCCTGAAAGCAATTTTCAAACAAAACGGAATGACCTGCATCAAAGTTTCAAGTAGAAACTAATGGAACTCCTGAAAAATGAGTTAATTTAGCAATTCTAAAGCTCAGTGGTATTGAAGAGTTTTGTGTGTGTCTCCATGTCACAGTAAAGTTTGTCCCCATTTATACTCCCATCCCAAAACAGCTTGCTTTGGAACAATATTCTGTAAACCTAGACTTGGAGCATTTGTTTCCATGATCTTTTTAGCTCTACAGCTATTGAAAATTGTAGTGTTTACTTGTTTATTCTGTTACAGAAAACTTATAAATCCATCAGTGTAGCTGTACTAGCAGTACGTTCTGTCTGTGGTTTTAGCTTTCTTCCTGAATTTAAGTCATCAACCCTAGAGGCAGAGAAAATTATCTGCAAACATTGATGGCTTCTGGAAGTGGAGGGGGAAAACAAACAAAAGAGAACTTAATATTGAGCTGCTAGTTAATGCAGTTGATTTAATAAAACTGGACTTGTAAACAGCTGTAGGCTTACCCTGTGTGTAGTTAAGAGCTATTCGTAACTGCAAAAGCAGGTGTCCCCTTTTCTTGCTGCTTCAATTAGCAGCTGCACAAAAGTGCATTTGGTTCCTCTGCATGCCTTTCCTGAAGTTTTGTACATAAATTACAATGGGTGACTGGCAGTGAACAGTTGAGTCTTTTCACAATATGTGTTGCCTCCTCGGTGTTACATTTGTTCAGTGCAGAAAGACAGGGTTTCACAGTCTGAGTGCCAACTTACCAGTACTTGTAATCCCCTATTGTCTTTCTTCTCTGCCGTTACTTTCATCCTCAAATGTTCCGCTGCATTGTACTGCAAGTGAGTGACTGAACGCGGTGAAACAATAAAATGTTCAAACTTTCTTTGAAGGCATAGATCCAGGTCGAGGTCCCGTGAACGTCGGTCTAGATCCAGAGATCGTGGTCGTGGAGGTGGTGGTGGTGGAGGAGGAGGACGCGAACGCGATAGGAGGCGGTCAAGAGATCGTGAAAGATCCGGTCGATTCTGAGCCATGCCATTTTTACTGTATGTCTGCTAGAAAGTGTTGTAGTTTGACCAAACAAGTTCATAATGAGATTTTTTTTAAAGATGGGCTTCTGAATAAAAATTTGTAGTGATACAGTATTCTTTGTGTAACTTGTTTCTTGTGGGGGGAGTCTTTTTAACTGTCATTCCTCTATCTTGACAAATACCTGGATTAATACTATGCCTGAGGGAAAGGTGGTAAATGTATTGGAGGAGCGCCAGTTTTTTGGTTTTTTATTTTTATTTTTTATTTGGGTATGATTTGAACTGTTGATGAAAATGTGTGTGTATATAATATAAAATATTATATACATAGTAAAAATAATATACTGCTTAAGAAACAGTTACATAAGTTTCCCTTTTCTGCTATGCTGTCTGCTTATTTAGGTTAGTTTAGGCACATTTAAAAGGAAGGCTGTGCGAAGTGCATTTATTTACCAAGTAGATATGCTTAGTTACAAAAATGTATGTTTGTTTGTTACCAGAAGTCTGTGCTCTGTCTATCAATGTGACTGTGGCATTTACAATAAATCCAGTTTCTTGGTGTAAAATCTAAAGCCTATTTTCTAAGCGCTCTGGAGTAGTTGAGTTGCTACTCCTGGCAGTGACAGAGTTGATAGTTCAGGGTTTTTTTTTTTATGATTCTTGACTAAATTACTTGTCTTGGCTAGAAAGTTACCTAGTGCAGCGTGTGTTGGGGGGAAAAAACAACAACAATGTTTTTATCGCAGTGATTCCTAACAGGCCAAGTACGTTTCTTAAAAACTCATGTTCCATGCAACAGGATACATAGGAGCTATTGAAGGAAATAAAAGGTCCTAAATACGAGGACCAAATTGCTTAACAGACTGAATTTTTTTCACTCTCTGTTCTCCTAGCTGTTGTTTAACAAAAAGCACTTCACTAGTGTGCGAGATGATAGCAAACTATCATGCTAGTGGAAAATATTTTTTTCTAGCTTTATTTTTCATGAGGTCTGAGGTGTGATAAAAGATAATGGACAGATGGCAGTTTCCTCAGAAAAAAAAAGACTTCTTCCATTGAATTGCACAATAGCTATATTTCATAGGCGGTGTCTCCCTTAAGGAGTTAAAGCTGTAATTGAAATGTTGCTGAAACATCTCTAGAGACTGTTTGTACAATGGCTGACTTTAAATCCATTCATGTCTGCTTTTATTCAGTTTGTGACATTGCATGGAATTTTGGTCATATTTCTGCAAGATACACTTCACATACACAAAACTACCTAATACAATATAGTTTTCCAACATGAGAGAAATTTACTAGTGCTTCTTTAACTCTCAATCTAATAACTTGCTAAGTGATAGATCTTCTTGGTTAATTAAAAAAAAAAAAAAGAAAAAAAAGAAAGGATATGGAAGTGTCCAAAGCAGCATCTCTGTCACCAAAATAAGTACAAAACCATTTTGCTCACAGAAACTTGGAGCTGGCAAACCAAATGATAATGTAAAGTGGGCTTGTCTAAAAAATATATATGTTTTACCTCTTGGAACTACATTCTTGCACCAACTCCATTTGAATTTATTTTCTTTGTACTGGATAGTTTAACCAAACAGATTGTGGAATTTATTCTGCCAGTAACTTCTTAAAAGAAAATCATCTCTACATGAAGGTTGCTTCACTGTTTACATTTTGTTGCAAATACATAAATCAGGACCCGATGATCTTTCGAGGTTGCTTCCAACCCCTTGAATTCTGTGATTTCTTTTTCACTGAACGCAATTGAACAGTGCCTAAAATAGACGGCTGAACTGAAACCTGTGTTATTTTTGCTAGGTATTAGGAATTGAATGTTTCTAACTCAGTTCTTGTTTGCAGGATATTAATCCAATTCCATTCCTTCTTCAGTGAGATTTAGGATTATTAGTGAGCTAATTCAAATCTCAAGTTCAAAAAGGTGAGAAGAGCCAATGTTTTTTTTTAACACAGGATCTAATATAATGTCATTCCTATTTACAGATGCTCAAGATCTTTTTTTATATGGATTGTCAGCAAAAGCTAATGTGCTCTTTAAACAAGTTAATTTAAACGTGTCCTTATAATGGCTTTCATCTGTTTATGTAAACACTGCTAAACAGCAGGTGCTTTTTTGTGTGAACAAATAGCAGAAAATCAGTTTCTAACCCCCCCCTTATAACTTTTTATTAAGAAAGCAATCTTGAATTCCACCAAATGCTTCATTTTATGGTCTGATTGCTACCCAAAAATTCACCACATAACTGGAATATGTCACGGAAAGCAAGAAAACAATGAATTTTACTGAATACTCAAAGGGGGGAAAAAAATGCAACTTGTACGTTGATTGTTACTTGATAGTCTGGCTAGTGACAGCATCCAGCACATAAACCAAGCTCATGGCAAAGCTGCAGTTAGTACACAGCCTTACAGGTGAACCTACCAGTAAAATTCATCAAATTTCAAATTTTAAACTGCACAAATTTGGTTAAAGAAGTTGAAAACAACCCAGTCCAAACTGGATTGGTTTGCCAATACAAAGGTAGGAAATCATCCTACTGACTTATTCTCTTGTTGACCCTGTTGTCTTAGAGTAGGATTTCCCCTCTGCCCGAAAGGTATACCTATGTCATATGGATATTTCATTGTTGGCTCTTCTGTTAAACAGTGGATCTTAATTTATGGAATTCCTTTACCTCAAATAAGTGACAGCATACAGTATTTTCTGAAGTCTGAGTCAATTAGGTTGAAACTGTTAATCCCAAATGGCTTCCTCTTATTTGTATTTGGCTCTTATTCTGTGAAAATGCTGCTTGTCCATGAATATGATGTATGTTGAGACTGTAAAACCAAATGGAGAAAATTTGTTCAAAATAAAGCCTTTTTTATAAGAATCTGACAAAAATTATCCCTTTCCTTTAGATGGGATGCTGCTGTTTAGATGACTGATGAGGACATAGACTACAAGTTTCAAATCCTTAGCTGCTGGCTTGAGCTACTTTTTCAAGTGATTCTTTGACTTGTTTAGGGCTGGTGGAGCGTGTCTTTAATTCATAACAAAAATAACCACATATACTTGATAAGGTTGAAGTATCGAAAGAGTACACCTTGGAGTTGGTGGGTTGGTTTTTTATTATTTATTTTGGGGTTTGTGCTTTGTTTTGCTTTTTAATTGGTAAGGGCTCTGGTTGAGTAATCCTGTAAGTTTCTATTGTGGTGGTCTACAGAGATTGAGAATGCTCATTTTTGACAGAAAACATGTTTAATTAATGAAATTAGTAACTGAGAGAGGACATAGTTAATTAAAGATGATTTTTCCTGTTGTTGCATGGCTCAAACTGTAAAACTTTGGCAATGGACAATGATCATTAACTCCCACTGTCTTTTACAACTGCAGCTTAAGCTGAATGTGTCATCTTTAACATACTAGAACAGAAACTGCTTTCATAGCAGATGGGGGTATGTTAATCGCTTGGTTCTCCAAGCACTGGTAACCACCAGTGGCTGCAATATTTATGATTGGTCTGAAAAAATGCCCTGTTCTGGGAAAGTCAGAGCTGAAAATAGGAGCCATGTCAGTGTGCGCTCACTTCAGCTGGTAAGGAAGTAATACCTTGTAGGTAAGGCTGTCACAGAGGAGAATATTTATAGCTGTGCTGATTTACTATTCAGTGCAAGGACGAAGTGGAGCTGTATTACTAGAGTGCATAACTTTACCTTGGAATGCATGAATTTCCATCTTAAAAGAACTCAAAATTGCAGCCAACTATCTGTAGAACCATCAGTGCATCTCAGTCTTGAATTGACACATGATGCTTTCTAAAACTTTGCACTGAGTATTTCTGAATTCATTCCACTGGCCAATTTTATTGTATTTATTTACAAATGTCTCCAGTTTTTTTTCTCTGTGCAATTTTTGATTTGTTAAATCCACGTGTATGGGGAAACAGCACGTGTCCTGAACTACGTGGATGATTCTTCCTTGTCAGCAATGTGCTCATCAGTCATAAATATCTGATCTGGTAATGCATGTCATGTTTAATTTCTTGTGAAATCGTATCCTCCAGCGAGAAGAGCCAATAGTGACTGCTGTCTTCACCCGTTGTTTCAGCAGCAGCAGCACCATTTCAGAAGGTTCCTTGTCCTCCTCCATCTTCCTGCTGGGGGTTATTGCCAAAAAGGTGTCAATTCAATTGCTCCGTTTCAACTGTCAATTAGATTTATGAGAATGGGTTGAATGGTGAGAGCTAACAAACCAGGTGTGCCAACAAACGCTCTGGTAGCCAGTGTCTTAGTTTCAACGTACACAAAGTGGGAAAGGGAAATGTGCTGCTTATCTCACCTCTAGCTGCTGAGGCACAAATGACTACGTGGTGCTCCAGTCGCCATCGGGTTCAGCACTTCTCTTGTAGCTTTGCTTTTGGTGTTTGCTTTTCTAACTGTATTATTTTGACAGGACCAAAGACAAGTTACATGCATTCGTACATCAGCAGAGCAGGAAGGTGATAACTCCTGGTGAAACGGTGGGCAGCGACTTCGCGGGCGAGCTGGAGCCCTGTGGAACAGTTTGCGTGAGTATGGCTTGTCCCTTTGATCCCAGTACCTTAAAAATATTCAGAGCTCTGACAGCTGTCCCCACTGGCAAGAGAAGTTATTGATTCAGGTCTTCCTTTGGGACAAACTCATTGAGTTTTGAAGAAAACTTGCAGAGGGCTATTTCTCTGAGCACTGTGCCATCAGTGTGCTGGAGGTCACTGACTTGCTTCCAGCTGCCACAGTTTCCAAAGTTACTCTTTTAGTTAGGTCTGGAGGAAAAAAAAAAAAAGTTTCTGCTCTGGTTTTAGTGTCTACAAGGCAAAGTGGGAGAAAGGCAGCACACAGCAATCAAGCCAATCTCCCTGCCCCTCAGTTTTTCACAGAAAACCCTGTAGTCTGCCAGGTTTAGGCCTGCTGTGCTTCTGCCAGCACCTGACTTACTTCAAACGTTGCCACCTATGCAGCTGAATTCTGGCTGTATTTCAGACCATTCATTCTCCCTTTCTTCCTGGAGCTGTCTTGGATTCCAGCCAGGAGAAAGGAGGAAGGAGGCAGCTGCTGCCATTGCAGCCCGGTGCACCAGCCTTGGGCCTGAGGGCTGCAGGAAGAGTCAGGGGAGCGACTGCTCTTTTCCCTTGAGAGCTAAGGCCATTGTTGTTTAAAAGAAAGTTGATAAAGCTTCACAGATCGGAACAATTGTGCGTCTTCCATCTCTTCCTCTTCCTCCTTTCTCTTTAGTGAACATGGAAGATGCCTCCACTCTTCTTGTGTTGGTGGAGAAAAAAAATGTTCTGCAGCTGCAGGAGGAAGAAACTGGATAGAGGAACTCTGAGGCAGGACTTGAGGAACTGATTTCTGAACAATGCACAATCAGAAAGTGAGCAGACTGCCTTACAGACTTTAATACTGACTTTAATATCACATTAATTGTTGCTGGGCTGGGGATGGGCAAGGCAAATTCCAAAATCTAAGCCAGGCCAAAATCTGACCAAGTAGTAGCCTCATTAATGCCTGGACCAGTCTTTTGTGCTGGAGGGGTTTGACTCATGATTTTTGACCCTTTCATGTGACCATGTTGACCACAACAAAGAGACATCTAATTGCCCTCCTTGCTTATGTTGCATGGAGGCGAGCCTTTGGTCTTTAGCCAGCTGTGTGAGTCTCAAACACACACACGGTGGCAACTTCAACACTTTTTGAAAAGACCATCTTCAGCAAAGGGCACGGATCTGTAGGTGAAGGGAGAGCAATGGTTTATGTCCTTCCTGTAGGACTAGGAGATGACTTGAGCGAGGTTTCTGACACTCTCCCTCTCCACCCAAGCTGTTATAAAGTCTGGATGGGTGACTTGTCAGATGAGTGAAAACCGGGTCATTTGGGCTTGGAAGGTCATACAAGTCACAAGTGTAGAGCCATGGGGGTCTGTCTGTCCTAGTAACTGTCCCATCTTCACATTTTGTTTATCAGTGATTTCGAGGAGAAAAGGAGCGTGTCCTCACCAGGTTTGTGGATGACATCAAACCAGGGCAGTGCGCCTGGTGCAGTAGAGGGTAAGACCATCCTCCACAGGCACCTGGAGGGGGTGGGCCAGCAGAAACCACCTGAAAATTGAACAAGGACAGACTCAAAGTCCTGCTTTTAGGTAGAGCAAGCCCCTGATAGGGCACAGAGTGCCTGGCTGGGGAATGGCTCTGCAGGAAAGGCCCTGGGGGTGGCAGAGAGCAACAAGCTGGACATGAGGCCACAGCACGCCCCAGCAGCACAGAGGTCCACCTGCATCCTCAGCAGTATGCATGGGGACAGCCAGCTGACTGGGGGAAGTGACTACTCCCATCTGCTCAGCACTGAAGGGGAGATACTGCCTACTGTTTGGGGCCCCTGATATGGAAAAGTCATCAATAAATAGGAGTTATTGGGGTGGATGCTCGGAGACAGTAAGGAGCTGGAGCGGTGGCCCTGTGGGGTTGCCCAGCCAAGGGAAGGGATGACTGGGGAACCTAGCAGCTGCCTCCTTGTGCCTGCAGGCAGAAGAGAAGCCATGATCTTTACTGAGGTCATCAACTGAAAGGGGAGGTTCCAGCTGGGTGCAGGGAAAACATTTTACCTGTGAGGACAGCCAGGCACTGCACCGATTGCAGGCCCTGTCCTTGGAGGCTTTCAAGACCCAGCTGTTCAAAGCTCAAGCAACCTGGGCTGATCTCTGGACTAACCGTGCTTTGGGCAGTAGCCTGGACTGCAGACCTCCTCAGGTCCCTTCCAACCTGAGTAATTTTGTCGTTCTGATGGCCAGCCTAAATCCTCATTGCTGCCACTTTGACCTTTTCCACTTTCCTCCTGTTCTAAAGGAACTTGAAAAATGGTTTATCCCCTTCCTTATTGCCCCTTAGCTAACTGGAGCCAGTTCTGCCCCTCTTCAGCTTTCTGTTCTTCAGTGCTTCCTCTTGAGTCCCGTTTCTCTCTCCAACTTCTTGTTGTGCACTTCACACCATGTCCCACGTTGGCCATATCTTTTCCGAAAGTCAGCACGGCAGATTGGACATGGTACCTCAACTAAGCGCACCAGCGCCGGGTGCCATGTGTCCTGCAGACTATATTCCTGTTTGCGTAACCCTGTATGGTGTTTGCTTTTTGCACAACAGTGGGGCATTGTTGACTTGCATTGAGTTTGCATGACGCTATAATCATACATTCCATTCTACACAATTGCAGTCCAGATAGTGGTTGCTCCAGCAGCTCATTGCTCCTGCCTAGCTGTAAAATTTTGCATGTGTCCTTATTGGCCAAGGTCCTATTTTACTTTGCCACCTCATTTCTCCAGTCTGTCAAAGATTGTTCTGAAGCATGATTGTCCTCCAAATTGTTTGCAGCCTCTCCCACTCAGTTAAAATAAAATCTGGAGTGGCTCCTCTTTGGCTGCTTTTTCCTCCCTCTATATAAAAAATATTTCCTTGAGCTCATGGGATTACCTAGTGCACTCCCTTCCCAAAGAGGTTCTGAGTACCACCACTGCACAATGCTTCTTTGGATCATTTCATTACTCGTTCACAAAAAAAAAACAAACAACACCTTCCTCTACCTGATCTTCCTCCATTAGGGATTCTACCACAACAGCATTTGCCCTTTGGTCATTGATTGCAGATGTCCAGCTGGTGTCTTTCTCCTTTACCTTTCAGTCTTCAGTAAGTGTATTCATCACTGGTATGAGAAACAAGAATTTTTGCCATTTCTAAGCAAGTTGTTTAATGTTTCGGTCAGCATCACATCACTGCTGTGCAGATCAAGCAATAATCTTGATTATACACCAACCCTTTCTGCAACTCCTTTTTCCTTATGTGAAAAGCATTGGCAGATGCTCCTGAATCTCAGGAAATGGTTTAAGTGGCCCCACTTATGACAATGGCGGCAAATTGCTGGTTTATGGGAGTTATTCACAAGGCTGGCTTGAAGATTAATCTAAGTGCCCCACTGATTGGGCTTGGTCGTACTGCCTAATTAGGATGCAGCAGGGTCAGGAAAGTTTTATATATCCATTTCCAGCCACCGTGACTGATTTTAATGCTACTCATAGCAACGGCAAGACAAAACTCCCATTTTCTTTGAGTATTGCAAGCTTACCTTCACCTGGCTGCTGCCACGGGGAAGGAGATCAGCTGTTGAGCACAGAGCTGTGGTGCCATTACAGATGGCATTCCCGTTAGCATCACACATTACGTTCAGATAGTTTCCAACATGCCTACTGCTGTTGCTTGGTCTTACAAGTCTTCTCTGAGGTATCTCTCTCGCAGTTTGAAGGAGCTGGCAAACCCATCTGTGCTGCCGCTTTCGTATCTCAACGCCCGTCTGCCTGAACATGCAGTGGCTGCTGCAAGTCTGGCACTTGAGACAGAAGAGCTGACTCAGTGCTTCTTCCCTTGATCCTTCCTAAAAGGCATAAGGAAAAAAAGGTGTGGTTTATCCCTCCTTGGGCTCGGTGGGTACGCCTTCAGTTTTCAAAGATTTGCACCCACTTTCTGGAAGTTGTAGCCATGTTTCAGGCCCAAGGATTCATTTTTTTTTTTTCCTTCTGCTGTGCTTTGCGATGCTCTGCATTCCAGCTGTGCCATTCTGTAATTTAGCAGCACCAGAGGCAAGCCGGGGGCTGCTCCCACGTGCTTTTCCAATAGGTGTTTTCCCAGCGGTGCTAATGGATACCTGTGCAAACCAAACCTTACATGCATGCTTCAGATGTAAATAGCTAGGTGAACAGTGGTTTAAAGTAAATAATTGCCCTATTTAATAATTGTATTTTCTAGTAAGCCTTTCTTCAGGAAAAGGAGGATAACAACATAGAATTCAACGTAGGTTTTACATCCATTTTGGTCTTGATGCAGGCAGGGGGAAAGCAATGTATTCATGCTTCACGGTGGGTTTTTTCTTGTGACCTGAGTGTGCATTTTAGCATATGCAGCAGAACAGATGCCTCAGCGTTGCTGTTTATTTGCTTTACTCACCTTTCTCTTGATGTGTTTGGAGTTTATCAGTGTTTTTCCTTATTGTTTTTGTTTGTTTTGGGGGTTTGATTCTTTGGGGGTGTTTCAGGGGTGTGTTTTTTTCACCCCATGTTCTACTCACGGTCCATTTCCTTGCCAGGGCGGCCTCTCCGTAACCCCAAGGCTGCCCATTCAGCCTCAGACCGGTCGCACCCGGCCCCACACCGCCTTTTTCCACCCTAACCGAGCCACCCTGCCCCTTCCCCTCCATTCCCACACAGCACCCCATACCCCGCAGCAGCGCCTGTTGGCACAGCACCAGCCTGCGGAGGTGTAGAGCCACCTCCTTCCATCGCAGGGACCACGTGCGAGGCACGGGGGCGAACCACGCAGTTCAGACAAACCCTCATTAATCAACATTTCTCTTTATTAACATTTTCACACAGAGCCCTCCCCCCTCCTCGCCCCCTCTTCACGGGGCCGCCCGCCATCTTGAGCGGGCAGCCCCCCGCCGACGCCCCCGCCTGGGCCAATCGCCGCGCGCCGTGCCGCCCCCTCCCTCGCCGGGTGGGCGTGGCCTGGGGGGGGGGCCCCGGGGCTCTTCTTAACCCCGCGCCCGCGCTCCCGCCACCCGCGCTCCCGCCGCCATCCGCGCTCCCGCCACCGCCGTCCGCGCTCCCGGTAAGGGGGCGCCCCTTAGGGTCTGGATGGGGGGGCTGCTGGGGGCTGCTCTGTGCTGCTTTACGCCTTTTAAAAAAAAAATATATATATATTATATATATATATAATATATATATATATATATATATATATATATATTTATTTATTTTTTTTTTTTCATTAAATTTTCGTTCATTTTTGGGGGGGTAAAATCGGTGGTTTCAGTGCGATCCGTTTTTTTTTTTTTTTTTTAAACAAAAAAGGAAAAAAAATGAAGGTTTTTGGTGTAGGGGTGCCTGCGGGTAAAGGAGGGGGCTGGTGGGGATGCTCCTGGCAGCCTCGGCTGGGCTGGAGGAGGAAGAGGAGGAGGAGGAGGGGGGGTGGGGGATGAAGGAAAGGGAGGAAGAGGAGGAGGAGGAGGATTTGGGGGATGAAGGAGGATGGGGGAGGCTGGGCTCTGCCATTCCTCCTCACCCCACTTTCCTTCTTAGCCCCCATGGGCTCCCTGAGGGTCTCCCAGTGCAGCTCCTCCATCCTCTCCCCATTTTTGGGGCAAAGCCTGAGAGCCCCTTGGAGAGCCGTGCCCCTAATGCTGGGTGTAGGACCGGCAGGTGAGGGGCTCCCCGCCTGTCCTCCTGATCCCAAAGCCTTTGACCATGAAGCATGTTGGCACCGCCAGCCCAGCGCGGTGTTTGCCCATCAAACAAGCCCCTCTGATAAGCCCAGGACGTGAGCTCCGTGTGCTGGGCAGCTCGTGCTGCAGGCAGCAGGAGAAATTTGGGGTACGGAGACGGGCGAAGCCTGGGCGTTGGGTGCCAGAGGAGGAAAACGCATCCCGTGCAGCCAAGACCTGCTCAGGACCTGGTGGTTTTTTTTTTTGGGATCGCTGTTAGCAAAGTAAGGCTCAGGTGCTGCGTTAGGGAGAGCATTTATTTGGGCACGTCATCCTTCCCGAGGCTGGTCGGCAGCTCGTTGCTGTCCCGTCACAACCCTCTGATTGCTTTCTGGAAGCCAGAGCAGCACTTTTTTAAAAAAAAATCTGTCTGTGGTGGCAAGGGTTGCAGGGGCACGTGTCCCGGAGCACAGCTCAGGTACATCATTAATCTGGCGCTGGCAGCCTCAGCAGGCTGCCGGGGAGGTTTGGACGGGCTGGCCCCTGACTCTTGGCAGGTGCCTGCTGCTGTCTGCCCGTGAGATGCGTAGGAGCGAGGAGGAGAGGGGGATGCCTGCCAAAAGCTCTGCCGGTGGAGCCAGAGTGGGTGGCACCTGGTCTTTCCCACAAAACACGCCTTGGCCGAAGCGGTGGCTCCCTGCCCAGGCAGCTGGGATCGGCGTTTCTCTGCCAGTCCTTATCAGAAGTCCTGTGCTAACAAAAGGTAACGATGCCTCGAGGAGGACACGTAATCCTAGAAAGGGAAGCTGTGACTGCCCCCTTATAAATCCTGAGCAGGTTTTTTTTTGAGACCGAGCTCCGGTTCCCTCTTTGTATTGCGCTGGGCAAGCTGATTAATTTCTGAGGCTCAGCTGTGCCTCGGAAATTTCTGCGGCTCTACCTGTGCCCGTGCAGAGGTGGGTGACATCCCCTGCCCGCACTCGGCTGTAGTGGTGGCCCCTCTGTGCTCCCTGGCTGCAGAGAGATGACTGGCTGCTACTGAGGAAGTATCGAAGATGGGAGGGGGGAGAAAAAAAACAAAACAAAAATGACCAAAAAATTGCCCGAGGAAGCCCCAAACACATCAAAAAACAGCTGGCTGATGGTCTCCTGAGCCACTTAGAGCTGTGGCATCCCCAAAGACTTTCCAAAGCTGCTACACCTGGTGACCCGTGAGGATCCCAAAGCTCTCTGAGCCCCTGCGATGGCACGGGGCAGGCAGAACAACAGGTTTTTGGTGGTTTGCTCATTTCCGGCCCTGCTCGGCGTCACAGCCTGCCGCTCTCAGGCCGCAGCGTAATGGGATCCCCTATCTCATCTCCCGCTGAGCAGGCAGCCCTCGGGGCAGCTCCCTCTGATCCTCCTCCTAAACCTGCCTTTTAGACGGCTTCATTTCGGCTTGAGACCCGACCCAGGTTAATTATGTTCACGCACACATGATACTCTCCCTGCATGCCTGCATTAGTGCTGCCATCACATCCTGCGAACAGCCTTAGGAGCTGGAGCTCCTGACTGATCTGCGGAGCGAGTTCAGCCCGGGTTGCCTGGGGATTAATTTCACTCGCTGGCCTTCAGTCCTGCTCTGTAAACTCCTTACTCAGGAGTTGAGAAATAGCTTAGATCTGGGATTCCCTGTGGAGATTGATGCCGAGGTGTGGCCTTGGCCACGAGGCTTTCTCATCTCCTATCTCTGCTGCCTCCCAGGCTCCTCCGAGGCTCGGCTTTGAGTGACTGTGTGTAAATTGGCTCTGATTTTAACCACCTCGTGTCCTCTGCAGGTATAATGGTGGAAGTTAGTCAGGCTTTTCTAGTCAGGCCCTGCCCACACCCTCAGCTAGTCATGGGAGCGCTCGCTTCTCCAGCAAACCGAGGCTGAGGGGGGAAGGTAGGGCTCCTCGGTAGCACTGCAGGAGCTCGAAGATCTGAGGTCTTCCTGTGGGTTTTGGACACAACCAGGCACACTGGGCTCCTGATCTGTTTCATATGTACAGCAGCAAGCCGTTGCTGCTGCTCCTACGTCTCCACAGAGCTCTGTGGTAAGAATTCCCTTTAAAATTCCCAAATTTGTCCTGGGATGTTGTCCTTCTTCAGGATCTAAGGTACCAGGTTGACTGTAGCTTGTGGGTAGAATTTGGCTTCCTAAATGCATATGTGCCTACCTATATACTTCGAGGTGAGTGGGTGTGGGGTTATTTAAAATCGTGCCTAATAATGCATTTTGAACGGATTTGTTAAACAGGAGCTTTTCATTCCAACGAGTGATGTGCTTAAGATTGGTATTCGGTGACAGGATTTTGCTGCCAGTGCTTATGGTTATTTTTTTTTTTCCCTCTCTCGCCTCATTTTTGTTCCAAGGTCTAGCCCCATGACTGAAGCTTTGATGAAACATCAAAGCATTGCCGTTCCTCTAAAAGATGTGTGAGAATCTTGCTTCTTAGTTGAAGGCACTAAATACAGCTTTTCCTTAGCTTCTGCTGTTCCTGGCTCAGGAGGTGATGGATGTTGCTGCTGGTGGATTTTATTTCAGCTTATTGCCTTATAATAGAGGAAATGAAATGGCGTTGTCTTGCCCAGTTTTGAGGGAGTCCTCCAAAAGGCGGCTTCTGAAGGCAGCCAGGTTCAATTCCTTCCTGCAGGCAGTACAAACAAGTACTTACTCCAGACCTTTGCAATTTCTTACTGCCACAAATTTTCTCTCTCCCCTTTCTCCACCATTTTGGACCCTCTTGCAGGAAACTGAGGTTTGGTGATTTAAAGTCTGCTTCTCACCCCCTCCTATTTTATGAGAACCTAGAAGCAGAATAAAAAAAATCCTGCTTCTGGTCTGTAATCCCTTGCTGCTTTCTTCTTCTGTATTGAAATGGTTTGATCCTTTGACAGCACAGTATCCGTATTAGATGAGGTTGGTAAATACTGTCTGGCATCAATGTTGAGCCAAGGCAGCCAGTGTCCACGTCCATCACTTTTTTTTTATTGCATCAGCTGTCTGAAGGAGCTTGTACGAGTGGCTTGGAGGAAAACTTGAAACTTCCCCAATACTTTTGCTTTAGGAAAAAAAAAAAAAGTGATATTCTGAACTATGAACAAGGCACCTTCTAGAAATAGAAGTGAAGGCTGGGCCTTGCTTTGGAGCTAGAAGTAAACTCTTCTCTCTGCTAGCAAAGACGGGTGGTGTTGAATTGCCTATGTTTATGCTATAGCAGCGCTCTTGGACTGGTGCCTCGCGGTCTAGTCCTCGTCAGTAGTCGAGTACAGGATGCAGCCTGTGTTGGCTCTGGGGCACGTATTAACCCAAATAAAGCAAAAAGTATCATTTCGGTGACGTGGAAGTTTTTCCATCCAGAAGGTGAATTATTTCAAGCCTTTGTCTTGAAAGCTGGCACTTTCAGAGTCTGCTCTCCGAAAGGGGAGCAGTTCAAGTGCCATAGGCATTTTCTTCGAATCAGCACAATGAGAAAGGAATAGGTGCGTATAAAGCAGTGGTGCATGTTAACTTGCAGGATCAAATGCTAAAGTTCACTGATCCTGTGATTCAACTGGTTTCCAGTCTGCCAGCAGACCATCAGTGCTACATGATCTAAGCTGTATCTGCTCTGCACCCATTTGGCATAACTGTGGGGATGAGAACCTTTCCAGGGCTAGCACCGTTCAGTAATGGAAAAAAACGTGAATCCTGCTGCAAAACAGTGATGAGAAAAACAAATGTGAGAGAGAAAATGCGTTTCCTAAGACTCCAGCCAGATTTTTGCCTTTAGGAGAAACGAAGCTGGCTGGAATGGGAGAAATGAACTTACTGCTTCCATTTGGTATTCGCTAACTTCTGAAACACAAAAAGCCTGCTGGGCATCCTTGTGGTTGGAGTGTTTGTGTGCACTACGTCCAGCATCGTTGCAGCTACATGTAAAGCACCAATTTGGTGTTGGGAGGAACTGGTGAGTTTGGTCTCCTCAAGGGTGGAGAGAACCCTGCGAATGTTCCTCTTCAGAGCCTTGGCCTAAAATGTATGAAGGGTCTTCTGTGGATGGCCTCGTACAGCCCTTTTGCCCTTGATGTCTCTAGAAGCATATCTGCTGTGGGCTGAAGTATTTTCTTTTACTTTTTGTGGCTGTCAAGTTTATGGAAGCACAGACAGTCCAACAGTGCCAGGATGACACTAAGCTGACTTTCTGTGTGACACCTCTGCTGCGTGACTTTTTTTTTATCCTGCCTTTACAAATCATCTTTGCTTTTTTTGTGGCTTTTTTCCCCATAAAAGTGGGGTGACTGTCTTCTCTCTAGGATAAACTGTTTCCTGATGTTTGTTCGTTTAACTTGCATGATCTGCAGCTTTGAAGAAGATTCCGGTCCTGTGACCCACTGCACTCTTCCTGCTGAAGAAAGTCCAGTCTGCTGTGCCTTTGCCGAAGGAAATGGAGAAACTGATGGCAGAGAGACCTCTTCCAATGTCTAAGGTATACACTGGTCTTTGGGGAATACTATTTGCCTTTTTCTCACCAGAATTTAGGAAAGCTCTATCTGCTTTCAGAGGGATTTCTAGATCTCTTGGGGCAGAGGGAAGTGAGGGGGTTGGAATTCTCTTGAGGCAGGCGCTGTCGAAACCAGTGAGCTTCTTGAAAGAGTTTTCAAGATCATAAGAAGCTGCAGAGTGTGTTGGCACCACTTGCTAATTAGCCACTGAGTAGTCTTACTCTGTTTCTCTGCTTGGAAAGGAGAAGCTTTATCTCCAAGGGCCATCTTTTTGTGTGGGAGGGGTGTCTCCCACAGCATGTGGTCTCGATATTCATGGAGGCTTGTTGCAGCGAGCATGTGCTTCAGTGAGTTTAAGTTATCTTGTCACTAGGCGTGCTGTCTTGAGCTTTGTACTTGGCATAGCCGTTCAAGATTCACATTTTGATAAGTATTTGGCAAATGAAAATTATATTAAAATGCTTTCCATCCTCACAATAATATGGAGACATCAGCTGAGCATTCAAATACCCATTCGTTGTGTGACCTTTTTCCCACAAGGGAATAACAAGACCTGGGACACTTAAGGATAGGATTCATCTCACCATCTTTCCACTAATACCAGGGTCTTAGGCAGGGAGACAGGATCCCCTGCAGCCAGCAGCAGAACCTGTTCTTGGATGTTAAAGGCTAATTGTTGTTGCTGCTGCCCCTTTTGGCTTATAGACCATGCTGTTCTCCTGAAAAACACCCCCAGGGTAATTTCAGTTTGGGTAGGCTCCCCTCAGAAAAGCAGCAAGCTGACACACTGGAGAAGAAATAAATATCTGATGAAGGGATGGAGCCAAAATAAGGGCTCTTTTTGATAGTCTCGAGATACTCTGGCCTCATTACAGCAGGGCATATGATTTACAGCAGACTCTTATCTTTTTCTTTCTAAGGATGAAATGCCTTCGCTTCCTACCCAGCTCAAACCAGACACAAACTCATGCCCTCATGCTCCTGGCAAGTTCTTCCTCTCTGGAGGGACAGACCAAGAGGACTGTAAGGCTAACGATAAGGAAAGGAAGTGGATCCGTCCTGATACGCCTAGCAAATGCACGTGGAAGCTCGGGAAACCCATCTCTGCCTCCCCCCATCGTCATATCACTCTGTAAGTATTGCTCTTCTTTGCTTGCTGGTTTTCAGCACCAGACTTACCCTGGTTCATTTCAGAGCCGTGCGGGTTAAACAAAAGGTGACTGGTTTAAACCGATGCTGCTCTGCACGTAGATGTGCTGGTGCTTCTTAAATCTCAATGAATAAACAAAACTGAGAACCCAGATTAAGCATACAAGGGGCCTTGCACAAAAGAAGTTACATGAAACTGCATGGACTGGAACTATTTTAAATAACCCAGCAAACTGTTCCCTGACTGGATGAGCGATTGCACTGGTAATGCTGGCTGCGTAAAGCACAGCAGGCTGTGAGCAGTGCTAAGCCACTTGATGCCAGGAGGAAGCGCAGAGCACATCCTTCCTGCCTCAGCACTCAGCTGGATGTCTGATTAATCCTTGAGTTCTGGGTCAGGGACTTGCTTTACAAATTTCTAACAGATCTTTTGATTTAAGAGAATGTCCAAGTCTGCTAGGAAAGGGAGAAAGCTGGGTAGAATAAAGCATCAGAAGTGCTGTGTGTTGCTACTGTGTGACCTGCCCGTGGTCTCTTCTGATTTTGTCTGTGTGCCAGGCCAGAGCCTCCAAACATCCTGCCGAACATCCTGAATAAAGTTGGCAATACCCCTTTGGTGCGAATCAACAAGATTGGGAAGCACTTTGGGCTGAAGTGTGAACTCTGTGAGTACTACTGCAGGCAGGAGGCAGAAACGAGAAATGCTGGGGAGTTCTGGCTAGCAGTGTTGTGGGACCCGAGCCTAAGAGGAGTGCAGGAACCCTTTAGAAAACAGAAAGAAGTCATCATTTTATGGAAAGGCTGGCTGTTGGGGGGGGAGTTTCTGGCTTCTGTGGCCAGCATCAAGCACCAAACGTACTGTGCTGTGACCCGTAACGGTGGAAATGCAGTGCATTGAATCCTCATCTGCTGTAAGGAGGGAGGTGAATTGGGCCAGACGTGTTACAAGTTGCTCTTGGAGGTGCGATAGGATCAGCAGCCTGTTGGCAGATGGCTGCTGTTCAAGAACCCTGCTTGGTTTCTCTGTTTCCAGTGGCAAAATGTGAGTACTTCAACGCGGGGGGCAGCGTGAAGGACCGCATCAGCCTGAGGATGGTGGAGGATGCTGAGAAAGCTGGGATCTTGAAGCCTGGAGACACCATCATAGAGCCAACCTCTGGAAACACAGGTAGGGGGTGGGAAGATCCTAACAAAGTGTGGGGGAAACATGCTGGCGGCTTTCCTGGAGAAGGCAGAGCTGAGACTGGAGCGTGGAAGGCTGCCTGTGCAAGGGAGGAAGGGGATCCCTTCAGCAGAAATCTTCAGCAGATCTCCCTTGTGGCAGCATCATCTCTTTGGAGGGCTGGAGGAAGGAACAGTCCCACTAGTCAGAGGCCAGGGAAGAGAGAGCATCTGATGATCTGAGCAGGCTGGAGTTAACTGGGCTCTTGCATCAAAGCTGCTGCCCGTATATTAAGCTGCTCTGCTGGCGGCGAGTAAACATGAGGAATACTCCCCACTGAGCTGGTTAAATATAAATGCACTGCATCCTCTGAGGAGGTCCCTGAGATGCGCTACAAATTACTCAGCCATCTGATGTGTTCTGGAGAGGTGTCCCTGGATGTCCTGTCCTCTTCTTAAACTACTTGTTGGGCATCATCTTTTGCCTTTTGATGCACAAAATGTATTTTTTGATGGTTTACTGGGCCAGACGGACCAACCTTTCTTTTGATCTTTTGGTCCAGTCCAGTTCCTGTTAATGGAGTACTGAGATGACTGAGCTGATCTATGAACAGAAATGGATATATTCTATACCAGAAAACTGAGTAGTCATATCTGTTGCCATTAGGGAGGTACTTTGTGGGGGCTGCCTTAAAATTGAAGCCCCTTTTGACTGTGGCCATAGCTGTTGCCTGAGCAATGGCACGTTACAGAAAATACCCACATTGCGTTCTTCCAGTATCTGAGTTCGTACTACGGGACTTGAGGCAGTGCCTGATAAATAGCTCGCCTTTGCTTGGAACCCCAAAAAAATAAAACAAAAAGAAAGCAGATGCAAAGGAGGTACGAGTCATTTACTTCAGAAAGTTGTCCATTCAAAAGCAAGGACCAGGGCAGACAGTAAAGTGAGGACGCTGGCTTTGGCCCTAGGCCACTGCTCAGAGATACTAATACATCAGATTTTTGCCTTCTCTGCTTCCTACTTTTCCCTCAGCCAGAGTCCTGTTTTGATGTTGTGCTTCCAGGTCAGTACCAGAAAGCGCAAGGTGTTAGCTTAGGTCTCAGAATGCTTTCTTCATCACAGACCATAAGGAAGGATGCTGCATGGCTTCTCTGTACTCTATGGCACTAGTGAAGCTAGTGCTTCTTGTTTTATTTCATTCTGGTGTCTATATTTATCTGTAATGCACTGGAAAAAGATTTGCTTCCACCCCCTTTAAAAAATAAAATAGAATTTAAAGAACTTGAATTACCCGAGGTGTGAGTTGTGCTTCTCAGAGGAACAGTTAAAGATTTTTTCACTCCTATACAATCCTAAACCAAGAAGAAACAAAGGAAACTTTGAACAAGCAAGCTTCTGTGTAGGGTAAATTGTGAGGCATTGCCACGGGCACATGTTGATGCTGTGCTTGGTACCCAAAACAGCACAGGAGATGTCATGCAGCCCTCTCTCAGACACATGTTGGCTGACCTGATCTGTTTCTTTATCCAGCAGGGAGGTGACAGCTGTAAGCATCTCAATTGGGAAGATATTTCTGAGCTTAGCCCCACAGGTGGGCAGCTGACGACATGCTGAGAAAGCAGCAATCAGACTGGAAGTGCAGGTTTTTAAGCTAGAAGTGAAGTGTCTTAACAGTTCAGGCAGTTCACTCATAACAAATTGACATAATCCATTAGAGCCACAATCACACAGAGCACTTAAATCTTGTCCTTCAAACAGGACTTAGTTTAGGCACGTTGCTTAGTTCAGGCATTTAATGCAGAAGAATAGTAGGGGATGTAAAAATGATTGCTCTAGTCCTCTTCAGCTTAAAATTCATTCATTTCCCAAACTGCTTTTGTAAAAACAGAGGTGATGAGATGGGGGAGAGACAGAAGGAAAATGATGTGTGTATGGAAAAGCCAGTGGTCTGCACATATTGAGATAGATAACTATTTTTTTTCCCCCATCCTTGGCTAAACTTTCTATTGGTTCTGCTCTTCAAGGGATCAGCAGTGTCTGTAAATCTTCCCAGAAGCCAGAAACATTCCCTTTGCCTCCCCTTCTAGAGACACTGTACTCCAGCCACTGGTGAAAATCTCATTAAAGCAAGGGCATGCCAAAGCTAGCATGGAAGGTTTGGGTTTTGTTGCATCTCACTGTATGCTCTGCGTGTCTTTGCTTGCTTCCAGGAATTGGGCTGGCCTTGGCTGCAGCAGTGAAGGGTTACCGCTGTATCATTGTGATGCCAGAGAAAATGAGCATGGAGAAGGTCAGATCTGCTTTTATTTCCAAGATTAAAAAAAAATAATAATAAGCATGCTTGCACTTGCTGAGTTCCTGCTGCAAACGGGTGCTCTGGCTTTAGCAACAAAGGTGCTAGAAATTCGTGTCAGCAAAACCACTGATCTCAGTGGCACAAGTGAGAGCAGCCATGAGCAATGTCCCCTGAAGGCCTGTGCCTGTTACTAACTCTTCTCTGCCCTGGAGGGAGAAGTAGCACAAAGCCATCACCATTATACACACACACACACATATATATATATAAAATATCTATTTTACAATACTGTTAAAGGGCAGAGCGTATGTGACCAGCACAAGAGGGTGCTGAGTTCTGCCTGAATGAGGCCTCTAAGTATGGAGTGGTAGTCCCAAAGCTCCAGAATGGAAACAGGAGTTTGACATCTAGCTCCAAAGCTGAGTTCAGACCCAATAACGTGGCTCGGTGATGCTCTGAGGCTAGGACATCAGAGAGCTGCTCGTAGGCTGTTTTCAGGCCAGGTAAAAGGGAAGAGGTTTCCTTTCCCTGCATTGTAACGAGGTCTCTGTGCTGAGAGAGTGCTTTTGGGTTTTCTGACAGTCTGTTTTTTTTTGCAGGTGGATGTTCTGAGGGCTCTGGGTGCTGAGATTGTGAGAACCCCAACTACTGCCAGATTTGATTCTCCTGAATCTCACGTGGGAGTAGCGTGGAGACTGAAAAATGAAATCCCCAACGCACACATCTTAGATCAGGTAAGAGCAAGGTGGCACAGGTGCAGGTGTGGCACGGGGGGAGGTGTTGTAGCTTTGGTGCTTGGTGCTCATGGCTGAATGTTAAAACAGCACAGGGGTGTCCCTGGGTGAAAAATCTGCCCCCCAGGGATGGAGCTGTTGAGCAGTCACCGTGCTCTGTAGGGTAGCAAGGTTTTGTAATCACCAGAGGGCAGCAATGAGCCTGTCAGCAGAAACAGCAAAAAGTATGGGGTGGCTTTCTCCACAGAATTGGCAGTACAAGGTACTGGGTCATGTTCTTAAAAGAAACTGCCCCGCAGCCAGGACTGATCTTGGTGTTGGAGATGTCTGACACCTTAGGAATACCCTTAAATTAGGTCATCCAGGGAGGTTGCACCTCCCCTCAGGCGTGGAACTGGGTAACAGATAAGGAAACAGTCTGGAAAGAGTATTTGTAGCAGTTGTGGGGCTTGAGAAGTGTTTGCCATATTCCTGTGATGCCTCACAGTGTGAATGTTGGTGTCTCTCTGGTCTGCTTACTGGCTGTCCTGTCTTTCGATGCAGTACCGCAATGCCAGCAACCCCCTGACGCACTACGACACCACAGCCGAGGAGATCCTGCAGCAGTGTGAAGGTGTGTCCGTGCTCCGCTGCTAGCTGCTTCTTCAATCACAGCCCTTTGTATTTTCTGTGGTTATGTGCTTGGAGGCTGGGACCCGAGGGGGTTGAGAATTGCACGGATTTTGGTACAGCAGAAGCGATACATCCGCGGTGCATCATTAGAGGACTGCCTTAGTTCTGTAGTCGTAGTTAAACGGTTTTTCCATTAAGTGATGTTTAAATTGTTTACAAAAGCCTTACCTAGAGTGGCATGAAAGAACAGGTCAGTTTTTTCTGATCACAGATATGGAAATGGGTATTTTCACATTTCTCACATTCATATATATACTCCCTTATGCTCAAAGCTTCCTTAAAACAGGAGACATCAGGAGTACAAGCCGCTCTGTGTTGCTGTTGCCACCAGTAAGACCAGTTTACTCTGCTGGGGTCATTTCCACCTCAGCTCTAGGCAGCTGGAGTACCAGAAATGACTGAGCTGTGGCAGCAGAGAGCTTCGGCTGGGCTAGCTCACCCAGGTGAGGAATCTAGGAGCTGTGATGCTGCAGCCTACCATGTAGGCATTTGCCACAGGTGGTAGGAAAAAAAAACATACAGGAAAGGCTCACCTGCCCTATGAAACAGTACAGTTAAACTTCTTCTGATAAGACCTTGGCTGCTGGAATAAGAAAATCAGCTATTAAATGTCTTCTAATCAGGGTGAGGACCATTCAAAGGGCTCCCCTTCTTCTGCCCAGAATAACACTGACTGTTCAGAGGACTTAATGTACTTTTCTGTGACAAACTTTGAGAAAGCTTAAGCTAAAATGAGTATACTTGAACAAAGTACAATCCCACAAGCTGAGAGTATAGCCAAGTTCTAGCTGTAGGCTTCATTACTCTCCTGCTTCTATTTATTTTCCCTCATAGCTTGGGCACTGTTCTGTTGTCATTATTACTGATCTTGCAGCAGTCTCGCTCTGAATCAAACCTTCCTGGTGCAGTGTTGTTCTGTTGAATTGAAAACACTTTTTTTTTTTTTATAGGAATTGCCCTTTTAAAACGTATTTTACTCAAAGCTGTGAAGTGGATGCACCAGGGAAACTGCAGGGGCTGACAGAAGATTGAGCTGTCAGACCTGCGTTAGCTCTGCTGGGTGCTCCTGACCAAAACAGCGTTTTTCTTCCCATGAAAATGAGAGAGCTGTGTTAAGGGTTCTCTCGATGGGTACCTATCCCGTGCTCTTGGCACTCGTTCAGTAATGATAATGGGCTGCTTTTTTTCTGTGTTAAAGGAGGAGTTATTCTGTATCAGCAAATACAGTAACAGGAAAACTACGGGTGTTGAGGCTATGGACTCTCTGCCCAAAGCCCTGCAAACTGACACCTTGCCAAACCACCGAAGGACATTTCAAAATGATTTTTTTGAAGTAAATGGGTACTGAGCAAGATAGTCTCGTGGTAGGTCTCTTGGGAAGCAAAAAGCCTTACCTTGTCCCTTTGCTGCCACTTCCTTTGTTTTTGTTAAAGTGAGTCCACACTTAACTGCAAGTCGATTTTTAATCCATCATCCTCGGGGAGGAGTCACAGCTGTCTTCCCTCTCTTACCCTTAAACAGGAAAAATAGACATGCTGGTGGCTACAGCTGGCACAGGAGGTACCATCACTGGCATTTCCAGAAAGCTGAAGGAGAAGTGTCCAGGTTGCAAAGTAAGTGGCAAGTCTAAAGCGGGTCCCTGCAGCTGGGAGAGCCTCAGACAGCTCTGCTTCCTGGTTTGCATTACTCCTTGCAAGCCTGCCCTGGGTCTCTCAGAGAAGCTCTTGGAGTTTTTCGGTGTGAGGGTGGTTCTGAGCAGCAAGGAAAGGTTTTCAGGTTCCATCTGAAATCACCATGCACTGGTTTTGCTGGTGACTAGGGTTCAGGTTTGGCTTAGCAGGTGACAGCTGGCCCTCTGACTCTTTCATGGGGTGTTTCAGAAATTTACTTCTCTGGTGCATACAGCAGCCACGTGTTCCCTCTCTGGCCATGCCCTGGCCACCTTTCTGGAGGGGCTGAGTTCTTCACCAAGTGACGCTTGCTCTGAGCACACCCACCTGTGTGTGTAGCAGGGGGTAGTTTTAGATTTCCTCGCGGAAGCTGGTATCCTGTTTCAATCATGAATATTTTCCTGTATATTCAGGGAGGGGGAGGGGAAACAAAGTAAAGCTTATGTGCCTGCAGTTGGCACAAAACATGTTGACTGTAATGATGCCTGGCATGCGAAAGAGGACAGGTTTGGCTTGGAAACCCTGTCTCCTGGTTAAAATACTCACTTAGTGTCCACAAGCCTGTGGAGCCAGGCTTGCCAAGGGGCCAGAAGCAGCAAAGCATTCTGTCTGCAGGGAAGGGAACGCTGCCAGGAAGAGGTGAGCAGCAGACCCAGTCTGCTGTGAGCTGTAGCCAAGTGTGAGCAGCCAGAGTGACGCCGACTGCCGTAACACGGCCAGCGCTCACGAGCAAGTAGCTGTGCTCCCAAAAAGCTGGGTGGCACGGTAGCCAAAGTGGAAACTGCTTCCTCCAGATCATAGGTGTTGATCCCGAAGGCTCCATCCTTGCTCAGCCGGAAGAATTGAACAGGACTGACAAGACGATGTACGAAGTGGAGGGGATCGGGTACGATTTCGTCCCCACGGTGCTGGATAGATCTGTAAGTTGTGCTTCTTGGTTCACTTCTCGTTGCGGTCTGCTGGGATGCAGAAGTGAGGTGGAAGGTGGAGGAGAAACCTGAGAAAGCCTTTCTTTGGGATGAAAGGAGAGGGCTAGGAGGCAGAATTATTCCCGTTCTTTCCTACCAGGAAAATCAGTCCTTGGAGGGCTTTTGTACTGAACACATTTGTTTTGCAATGCTAGGAGAAATGCTGTGAAACAGGTAACGTTTTGCTAGAATGTAATAATTACTTCTAAAAGCCAGTAGGTAACAGTATTGTTAGCTATGAAATCTTACCCTTCCCCCTCAAAAGCAGCATGACTATGTCTAGTGCTGAGCAGAGGCTGTGTCCCTGGGAAGCCCTCCAAGAGGGGAGGAAATGTGTTGATACTCGCTGGCTGTCTCACAACAGCCTGCTCTCAAAGCCAGATTTCAATAAGGCGACTTGTGCTAATGTGGTCATCTCACTTTGGCCAAAAAAATAAAAAATAAAAAAGGCATTTGAAGGATGGAAACCCAAGCATGTGGCTCAGTAGGACAGCTGTTACCTCAAGGAGTGTGTGGGGTTGAATTGATGGTGTAGCTCTGTAGCTCTCCTCCTTTAAAGAGCCCCTCGTTTCTGTCTTCCTGCCCCCTCCCAGACAGTGGACCAGTGGTACAAGACCAACGATGAGGAGTCGTTTGCGTTAGCACGCATGCTGATCCGAGAGGAAGGACTGCTGTGTGGTAAGAGCAGACACGAGTCCTTTGGGGTTCTCTGAATAACATGTGGGAGGCTACGGCTTTGTGCAGATCAGGGAGAGCTCCTTACACTTCAGGAGCTGTTCCCCTCTCTCCAGGCTCCTCTACTGCCTCTCCTCCTCTCTCTCATTCTTTCTGTCTTGTTTCCCTTGTGGTTTGACAGTCTTGCCTCTGATCTGCGTTTTGGCAGGTGGCAGCTCAGGCAGTGCAATGTCTGCAGCTGTGAAGGCAGCCAAAGAGCTGAAGGAAGGTCAGCGCTGCGTTGTTATCCTCCCTGACTCTATCAGGAACTACATGTAAGAACCTGCTTATTTTCTCTGGGAAAAAGACGGGGCAGCTCCTCAGATTCTCTTACAGCAGCGGCGAAGTGAATGCATCCCTCTTGTTAGCACCAAGGCAGCAAAGCCAGGGGTGCGTTTGGGGCACAATTTCTGAGGTATCTAGAAAAGGTCTGACGGGGAGTTGTCTGAAGCAGAGCTCCTCCTGGTGTCTGACCGAGTATATAACCATAACTGGTTGGTTAAGCTCTCCATGGAGATTTGCTTTCAAGCTTAATTATTTGGGATCCCTGGTGTTATCCCATTCCTGGAAGGGTCTCTTTTAAGGCACTGAGGGCACTGTGAGGGCGCAGAGCTGTGCCAAGAAGAAATTTCTCTCCCACCACACTGAAATGCGTACCAAAACATGCTGTCATTTGCTGTGTTGCATGACTGCTGTTGCATCCAACACGATGCTGTTGTGTTGTCTAGTCATCTGCTGTGATAGCTGACTATGAACTGCAGAAAGACCTCGACTGAGTACAGATTTCTCCGTTCCAGGCTGTCTCTTTATCATATTGCAAGGGACTGGTGTAGTTGAAGCTTCATTTCCTATGGGATTCCTTTTTCTTCCTATGAGTATTTCTTCACTATGTCCCTGGCTGGTAAGCTTGGATGGCAAATGCAGTGTATTTTCAATTACACTTTAACTGTTAGTGATAGGGAGCTGTAAACAGTCACCTCTGTGCTATTAGTATTGCTGTTAGATATTCAGCCTGCTAACGAGTTTTTTTTATTACCTGATGCTGTCCAGGTCCAAGTTCTTGAGTGACAAATGGATGATTCAGAAAGGGTTCATGAAAGAAGAAGACCTTGTCAAAAAGCCTTGGTAAGCATGTCAGATACATCTGGATTTTCGTGATTCTGTTCTGTTTAACAGCTGTCTCTGTGGCAGTTGCTAATTGAAATCTCCTTGCAACTTGGGTTTGTTTCCTTTGGTTTTTAGTTAACCTTTCATGCTCCTGTGGTGGTGTATAACTGCGGATATTAATCAAATCTGCTTAGGTTCCTTAATTTCCTTCTTTGAGTTGCATGGTAGCAGAGGACGACTTGATACTTAATGATTTTTGAATGAAAGGGGTTGTGTCTGAAGTGAAAAAAGTAGTATTTGGAGAACTCTACCAAGCCAGAGTTCTTGAGGGCAAGGCACTACAAGCCTAAGTCTACATAGCTGAGGGAGAATCTTCTGTAGACTTGTAATGTCTGTAAATATGGCTAGCTCTTTAAGAAGGAATCTAAATTTTTTATTCTTGTGTAAGATACAAATAATAAAACTAGGGAGCCTAGTCTTCACTAACTGTCTGTAATACTACAACGTAGATGAGCTAGAAAAATTGGCTCAGTCTTAAAGCCTTCTCACACCAGGGTAACTTTCCTGTGTTGATGTAAGAACTGGAAAGCCTTCAAGCTTCTGCTGACTCTGGCAGAGTCCTTGCAGCCTTTTGTCATTCCCGTGGTGGTGAATTCCATGGTACATGATCATCTGGTTCTGTTCTCTCCATTAGACTTGCGTTGGTTTGTTGTTGTTTTGTCCAGGTGGTGGAACATCAGTGTTCAGGAGTTAAGCCTCTCGGCTCCCCTGACTGTGCTTCCCACTGTTACCTGTGCAAAGACTATTGAAATCCTCCGAGAGAAGGGATTCGACCAGGTACCAGTTGTTGATGAATCTGGGTATGTCCACATCCATTTCTATTAATCCATCCGTATCGCTTCTCTCACCGGGTCCCAGGGGAGGTCTTTAAGTGCTGAGCAGAAATATAATCAGCTTTCGCTCATCTTTCTTCAGTTACAGTAACATGGTGCAGAACTGGTGCTCTATATGTTGCCACACCAGTGGTGGGCTTAATGTGTTATAGTGCTGGGGCTCTCCTGGCTTTCATGTAGTAAGCCACTAGGGATTATTATGGTATGCTCACTCAGTGTGTCTCTGCAGGATGGCTCTGTTTTTACAACAGCCGTTTAACTTATCAAAACAAAACTTTGCGTTTAAAACAAACAGGGCCAAACCCACCCATTGTCACCACAGCTTTCACCCAATTTCTTGAGGGCATTGTGTTACTGTAAGATGGAGTGATCCCTACAAACCAGGCTGCTCCCAGGAAACTGGTGTGCCTTGTTGGTCCCTTGTCAGACAGGCTGAATAATGAACAGTTGCTCAGTTTCTTTCCAGTCAGTGTTAACACCAGGGATTAGTTGTTACAGTCCTTTTAACATGCTTGCAAGGAGAAGGGAAGTGATCAACATTGAGGAGGGCTTGGCTTTGGCCTTGCCACGCCTTTCAAAAAGGACAAATGAAGGCATAAAACAATGAGGTCTGCTTTTCAAAAGGTCTCTGACTGCAAGAGCTAGAGGTATTCTTCTGAGCTAGATGCTCAGGAGGGCCAGCCAGCCACCTGCTGACTTCTGTGTGAGTCGCCAGAACATCTGAGAACTGGACTCCAGGTATCTCCTGCAGAGACATAAAATCCAATTATATCCCATCAATCATGGTGCTTTATGCAGTGAAACAGCTCAACTGACATCTGCAGGCTGGCTGAAAGGGAGTGCTTTTACCTACAGGAACAAAGGCTATTGTATTGTTCAGCTAATTTTATTTCTCTTCTTCCCCAGGGTGATTCTGGGCATGGTTACCCTAGGTAACATGCTTTCCTCGCTGCTTGCTGGAAAAGTTCAGCCTTCAGATGAAGTCAGCAAAGTGATCTACAAGCAATTCAAACAGGTAAGCAACAATTTCCCATCCTCTGGTGTAAAATACTAGTGTGGGTGTCCTAACACTGCAATGGCATCGGGTTGGGTGAGGTTTACCTGGGACCTTAAGGAACAGCTGTTACTGAGCGCAGACATGGGATTTGCTTAAACTCTGTCCTGGGTGACTCAGTAGCTCCCAGGCTTGTGTTGTGGCTCTATGTTGGGCTGTTCTATTAATTCAGTAGGCTTTCTGCTGCCATTCTTGCACTTTATTCCCTCCCAAAATAAACAGCATGTATCTGGGCGATGAGTATACAGCTGAAAAGACAGTGAGATGTTGAAACAGCTCTTATTTAATCATTTCTGTATCAACTCTAAAAGGGCAACTGTTTGCCTTTTGTATCACACACCTTCCTAAAACAGGGGGCTGGATGGCTGGTGGAAGTTGTTATTGTCAAGATATGTGAATTTTGACGTTAGCAAGTTTCACCTGTCCATCCAATATCATGTCACAAGAGGCCACAACTTCCTAGCTGGATGCTCCTCTGAAATATATAAATATTGTTGCTGTTTCTTTGCTTTGCTTACAGGAGAAAGATTTTTCTTAACATGGAATGCTTGACTTAGCTTCCACCAGCTTTTCAGTTTCAACAGTCTCACAGTAGATGAGGTGCTGTCTTCAGGCAGTATGTGTAAAGCTGCTGGTCAGCCCGTGAACTACCAAGTCCCTGAGGCTGAGAGGGAATGCTAGCTCTTCGTAGACCAAATGTAAATGTATTTTTTCCTTCCCAGGCAGATAATGAAGCGTCAGGTGGAAATGTGGTGCGTAAAAAACACTCTTCAGTTCCCGTCCTCCCTCACTCGGACACCTTAAGAGTTTCTGGGGCTGGTGTTGTGCAATCGCTTCTGTAGCTACAGTGGTGATAGCCGTAGTAGCCGATTCTCTGCACTTCTGAGGTTGTGGCTTTTTTCCATGGACAGCTTGAACTTACTCATGCTTCTTCAGTAAAGAACAGCTTAACCACTTCTTTTCAGCTCTGACGTTTCTTGGTGGAGGATGGAAGGGGAGCAACGCGAGTGGTGGTATTGCTAACATGCTAACTGAAAGCATCGTTCACTGGTTGTTTTTCATTTGAGTGGATGACTTAATGGAAAAACATGGTTAAATGCACATAACCTCAGAAGTATTGTGGATTTTGCTTTTCTTACCACTTTAGTCAAGCTTATTTGGCTTGTTTACTGATTAAATTAGGAGAAAAGATCATCTGTGTCACTGAAATGACTTAGGATATCCTGCAGTTAGGATCTGTACCACACGTGTCTTTGATGGACACAATTATTTTCTTCCTTTACTCTGAGAGATTTTAAGATGAAGGCTTCTACCTTTTTTAGAGATACCAGCAGGATAACATCCAAGGGCTTTGAAGCACTAGTTACAAATGACTTGCAAATGCAAACAACTATTGTGTGTCAGTGGAGAGCAGGACCATTGTTGTGGAATGAGGTGTTAGTTCGAGTGCTTTGGGGTCTTTTTACCCCTTTTCTCCCCAGAATAAATAGCTTTGTGTCAGCTGCTAACATCTGTTAGGTGTGGTGCAGACATAGCCTTAGCAGGTTTCTTGTCTGTTTTTAACAGAAAAGAGGGCTGGGGTGTGGACTGACACTTTCCTTTTACTATACCTAGTGTTTGCTAGCCTGTTCCCCTAGGGTGACTTTGATCAGTGTCCTAAAACATTTAATTCTCAGCATCCTCAGTGGATGAGAGCCTCCTTTTGGCAAAGGAGATAGTTCAGTTGCAGGGACGTGAGCAGTGCCTTGTCACTTGCTCTTAGGGCCAGACAAGCAGCCCCAGTCACGTCTGTAGGCTGACTGCCACAGGGATTTAGCACGTTTTTAAATAAGAATAATAAAAGACAAAATGTGGGAAAACTCATGAGCAAAATAGTTGGGGAGATTAAATAAGCAGCAGTGAGATAGGTGAGAGCTGTGGGACTTCTGTCAATTTTCCACTAAACACTTCAAAAACACGTTTAGGTCTTCACAGCTGTCCCCGTCCTGCCTATGGGCTGCCTGTCCTGGTCGTTTAGCTTATCCAGTCCCTGAAGACAGACCCGTTGGCAACATACAACGAGATGGCAAGGGGCTCTGCTCCTCGGCGAGCTTGGAACCTAAAGCCAAACGTTAGGCTTCGGAGCTAGGTTTGCACAAAACTGCCTGTCAGTGGTGGTGACGGACAGCTAACGTGACTTGGCAGCAAGTCCAAATTCCCCCCCATGCCTTACACATAAGCTTAAGGATCGATGCTTTGGTACGCACCGTAGCCTGCTCGTCCTTTTAAACACAGGGAATTAAGGCTGCTGGGAATCCTCCTTTTGATCTCTTCTCACTTACAGTTTGGAAAGCAGAGCGCTGGGTTCCCGTCCAGCCCAACTGTTCATGTTGGTGGTGTTTATTTCCCAGTCAAAAGTTGAGCTGGTTGCAGAATAAAAGCTGATTTTCATTTGCAGTGCAAGACTTCTCTTTACTACAAATTTATTTAATCCCCTTTAATGAAAGTACGTCCGGTAGCGGCTGCTGCTGTCAGCTGGGGAGGGTCACCTGGATAATAGAGGCGTTGCTGCTGCTAACTACTTCAAAGCGTGGAGGAAGAACAGCTTTATGAGTTCTTTCAGATGTTTCCAGGCGGCGATTAGCCTAGTGGTTCAGAAGGGCCCGTATTCTTTTTTTGTAGAGCCAACACGGGGTGCTTTCTTGTTTAGTTGTAGCCAAGTTGAACCGTTTCGCTAAAGAGGAATTAGAGATTCTCAGTTCCTTGATTTATACCAGCATAGGGTGTTAGCCAAGTAATGTTCACTCTTATTTTTGGTTTTGGCTGGTTTGGGCTTTTCTCTGTTACCCTGCTGCGTTCTCAGATTTTATTCACTTCCACAATGATTTGCAGCCTGATTGATTCACTTTCCCAGTCTTGCTGAAGTAAAATCACGGAGTATAATCTCGAGTTTTATGGTACACACTCCTGTTACACATGGATGACTTTTTACTCTCTCCCTCATAAAAATTTTTCAGCTGTTCGTTACCTTCATTTTGTTTCCAGAATCAGACTGAAGATTTCACGTGCTGTTTTGTTTCTTTTCCTGGAAATCAGAGACAAAGGAAATAATCTCTGATCTTTTAACTCAACCTTGATTTGCTGGTGTTTTACAATACTTAGGATGTGAGCAGAATATAAATGCTGACGTACTGTTTTTAACACTAGATGGAGTATATGGGAATTATATAGTGGACTGCTTTATTGAAATTCTGTAACTCTTTCTTCAGATTAACCTGAAAGACAACTTGGGGAAGCTCTCTCATATCCTGGAGATAGACCACTTTGCTCTAGTGGTCCATGAACAAATTCAGTGTGAGTATGATGTCCTGCAGCTCGCAAGATGTAATCTTATTAAGAATGATAATAAGAAGCACGTGCAAGTGTGAATGTGTAAACATGCTCTAAGGAGCCAAATAGCCAAAAGCTGTGTGTGTGTCCCAGGTTAACTACATTTTTTTTCCTTCTAACACAAAATCTTCAGTTTCATGAAGTGCTATAAGAAACAGATGTCAATGCTGACATCACCTTCTAAAGATAGTTTAATGTTTTTCTCCTTTATCTCATTTAAAATAACTTATTCCCTTTCATTGGACAGTTTATATTTTTACAATTTATATTTTTGCTACAAACCCTACTCTTCATCCTTTTCAAAACCCTTTACGCTGCTTCCTTTTTGAACTGGAAGTGACTGTTTAAAAAAAAAAAATCATCAGAAGTTGAGTATATCACTGCTACATGCAAATAATTTTGTTTTATTGAAAAAAAATAAATGAAAAGGGTGAATGAAAAGTCCAGGACAATTCAGCTGGCTGAACAAATCGAGCATAAGTAGGTGAAGCATCTCACTACAGCCAGACTGAAGAAACGAGGTACTCTAGACCACAGGTAAAGGGCCAGAGGTCCTTCAGATCGTTTGGTTTCCAGATCAAAGCTTTATGGTCACAATGTAAAATTCCCTAAACCTGTGCTCTCAGTGCAACAATGCTCAGAGGGTGGGTAAAGATTTGAGATATGAATGGGAAGATGCTGCACTGTGATTTTATGCTCACCCTGTATTTGACAGGGGTGTAGGAGGACGGTAGTGCTGCATGTCCTGCTCCAGTGATGGTTGGTTCAAATGGGGTATTATCAATTTGCAGCTGTTTCAGATAGAGTGGCAGAAACTTAACATATGAGGAAAATATGCTCTGTAACAAAGGGTTTGGTTTGAATTTTAATGTTGAAATTAACTACGATGGACCCTTATTTTTCCTTCTGTTCTGCTTCAGTTCCTACAGGCCTTTTATTAGGGGCCTTTCTGAACTGAAAGTCCACGCCATTCCCCCTGTGACTATCAGCCAAGATGACTTCAGGGCTCCCCTCAACATACAGGGGACATCACTTGGGCACCTGGCTTTACAACCAGCTCCATTAAAACCATGTGGGAAGACATTTAACCTGTGTGCCTCCTAAATCCCCTCTTTCTGTTTCCGTGTAGATCACACCGATGGCTCCTCCAGTAAGCGGCAAATGGTGTTTGGCATCGTTACGGCCATCGACCTGCTCAACTTCGTAACCGCGAGAGAACGGGAAAGAAAGTCCAACTAAAGTCAAGGAGCAGCCCGGAGCCTCGTCAGCAATGTTTTGCAATCTCCAACAACAACAAAAAAATAATCAGGTTTATTTCTTAGGTCGAATGCTCTGTCCTTAAGGTGTGTGTTTTTTTAAATTCTGGAAATAAGCAATGAGCTATCCTGGTGTCAGCTATACAGCCAGTGCGTTTTAGCGTATTGCACAGCTTCTGGGAACTTGTTTACTAATCAGGTTACACGATATTTCTTAAGACAATTTATTTTTATACCTATACATGTGTATGTAAAAATGTTGCCTAAATTAACTGGTGTGTTCCTTACCCGTTGTCTCCAAAGTACTGCTTCTCAAAACCATTTTCAGATGCATTAAACATGTTGATACAGAGTTACTAAAGCAGAGGTCCAGGAGAGCTCTGGAAAGCTTTTTTATTATTTTGTTTTCTCCCCTCTGTGCAGGGGTGTTAAGTTAGACAATGAGTGTAGAGACAAAATGGTATTAGGGTGTGGAGAGTGTTTCCCTTTCGGTGAGATCAGTGTGAAACAGGGGGCAAGTGTGAGAGCTAGAGTTGGTGTTCATCTCAACCAGCTGCTCCTCTGAGACAAAACTGACATGACTGGAGGCCTGACAACGAACTGACAGACAAAATAGTGACTTTCTTCTACACAGCACAACAGCTTTCACTGCAAAGATAGACCTTTCTTTTTTTTTTTTTTCCCAACTGTACATTGATAAGCATGGGTGGAAAGGTTAGAAAGTAAGACTGAGCCTCTTGCCTGAAGAATGCTGTTCCATATCGGACCTTCTCCTTACCTCCCACCCTCCTCTTTATCTATATTTATGCCTGCTCTTTTTTTTTTTTTTTTAATAAAAAAGAAGCCAAATATAATCTGTCAAGAGCTGTGAACACTTTTTTTTTCTTTTTTTTTTCTTGATGTCCTGTTCAAGTACTCCCAAGCTGGAGCTCCTTCATGTAATGTGCAGCAGGTGAATACAGCTACAACTTTTTACCACTTCCATAATTCTCTGGATTTTTTCACTAGAGATTGACCCGTGTAGCCATGGCAAAGTTTGCTGGCAGTAGCAGCTCAGCCACACTGTGCTCTTCTGACTTCTGTTAGTGATAATGATGGGTGGAATCACTCTGTGGTTGAAGGAGAAGAGTAGCTATTCTTTGTCTTAATTAAGATTGCTCTAATCATCGTATGCTGATCGGCCTTTTGCCAAGAATACAGATTATCATCAGCAACAGTGACATTCTTAGCTTATCTCTTTCCACTGCAGTAAGAAAACACTACAGCTGGCTGGGGCTACTGGTGGTAAGATAGTGTTTAAAAAAAAAAAAAAGGCAATGAATCAGATAAGAGAAAACAAAGGTGTTATTTAAAAACAAAACAAAAAAAAACACAATGGCACTTACTACCTTCTTTCTACCCCACTGGCCTCCCTGTGGCAATGGAATTTCCTTTACATGGTGGAACTGTGTGCTCAGAGGAGAGGTGTCCTCTCTCCCATCAGGGAGCCCTGTCCCGCATCAGTGCTGAGCAAAAGCATAAATCCAACCTTTTGTGGTTCCATGTTGGGTGATTCAGGTCTTGAGGAGAGCAGAAAAATGAGGGGAAGCAGGAGCTCAAAGACAAAGAGGTGACACCAGTGGTGTTGTCTGCCTGCCAAGAGCATGACGGGCTGTTTGGCCTTCTAGCTGCTGCTTTTTTGGTGAATGCTAAAAAATTTGGTAATTAAGTCTCAGATTGATTTCTGTTAACTCCCTAAAGCTGTGTTGGTGGATGCTAAGTTTATTCTGTACTCATTCAGTTTACTTTCTTAAACATTGGCTCTCCCTTCTGATTAGGGCTGGTAATGAAGTAGCACGACCTCCTGTCTCTTAAAAAAACAGTTGCTTTCTCCAGTAAGTGATGGTGGTGGTGGAGACTTGCAGCCTGAACAAATAGCTGGGAGTTGGAGGTCTTGTGTTGCTGCCAGGTGAGGAGAGAAAGGAAGCAGCAGAATCACCAAAGGGATCTGGTGTCTGTGGCTTGGGTGGAGGCAGATGACCCTTGCAGTTTTAATTCCAGCACCTACAGCTTGATGCTTTATCCCTCGTGTGCAAATACTGCAGGCTGCTGCTGCTGAGGCTGAGGAAGGACAAATAACAGTTTAGATCCACCTTGTGAGACTTTGTCAGGGACTGGATTAATACTCTCAAATTCTCCTTGTAGAAGCTAGACAGCAAGAGTCAACAACGTGGCTCACTGGGGAGAGGAGGCACCTTCCAAAAATGATTCATCTGTAATACCAGTTGTAGGAAAGGGGTCAGTTACACCAGGAGATATTTCCCTGAAACTGTGGTTTAACCATTAAATTCATGCACTTCTTTGAGATTTAAGACAACTTTTCCTAGGGCTCTGGAATAAACTGCCACAAAGTTTAACAAAAATAAAATAAAGTGTACCATCTCATTAATAATTGGTTCTAGAGGATGGTAGATTTTTAAAATATTTTTTTTTAACCTCATGCTTTGTGGTAATTTCTTTCTCACTGTAGGAGCAACCCCAGCTTTGGTGCTCTGCCTGGGGAAAGCTGAACCTGGTGTGAATACCAGATAGGTGTGTTAAAGATGCTTCTTTCAAATCTGGATTAACTTCTCCAGGCTGAACAGCTCTGCCTTACACTCTGTCAGTGATGGCTGTAAGAAGTCATCTTTCAAACTGTATTTTTGAGCTGCCTCCCCAGTGGGTAATAAATAATTTAGCACAGTTAAGGGCATGGTTCTTGCTTTTAGCAGTTCTTAAATCATCTGCTGCTTAGCATAGACAGTGAGTAAATGGTCAGTTATGTCCCTGTAGGTATTACTATTTCAGCCAAACTTCTGAACTCCTTTCCCAATTACTTCAAATACTATTGTCAGATGTATTTTCATACATATCCATACATATTGTGCCTTCATGAGATGCTGCTAACTGAAGTGTTTGCTACAGTTGTAGCTGTCACTGCTGCTAAATTTTGCCATTATTGTTGCTCTTAAAAGTTGGCTTTGTGTTTTATCTGTTTTTTTTTTTTTTTTTTTTTTTTTTCCCACACGTTTTTCCATCTGATCTTGGCTGTGGGGAGAGACACTTCAGGACTTTTTCCCTTTTCTTTTTGTCCCTCTCAAAACTCCATGTCCCAGCCTAACTGAATTGCAAGAAATATGAGAAGGGTAGAAGGAGATTCCCAAAGTTATTTTCAGAAGAGCTGTCCAAGAAGTAAGATTACTAAGGCAGGGTTGAGGAAGCAGAGGATTAATGACACAGAAAAGTGTGACAATTTCAGCTTGCTATTTCAGTTTGCTGTTCATAAATTGATCTCTGCCATGTCATGAAAAACAGGTGGAATTGCTGACTAAGAAGGAAGGGTTGGTTGGAGCCGGAAAGAAAGCAGGGATGTGACACTGGAGCAATCCAAGTGAGTAACCTGAAGTAATCCAGCTGCTCTGCATGTGCAGCTGGTTAGGAGCAGGAGCTGTTTCCCGTTCTAAACTGGCCCAAGAAGATGGTGGTCACCAGCTGCTCTTACTGAGAGCAGCAGCCCTCTTTGATCAGAGGAGCTGGGGAAATAGCTGGAGTCACTGAATGACTGAAAAACTTTCCAGAGCTCTTTCTTGTAGTAGGAATGATTACAGCAAGGAGAAGTGGGCTGTGATGCGAAAGTTCATGAGCGTGCTGCTTTTCTGCATACTTGGAAGTGTTCTGTCACATTGATCCTAGTGAGCAGTTGTAGGGCTGTATTAATGCTTGACTCATCTGTTTCAAATACTGTGAGGACCAAGAAAGACATCTGTTTGCTTGTTTGGTCTTTAACCCAAAGTAAAAGTCCAAAACTTGAACAGAACTATGTTTTTTTTTTTAATTTTTTATTTTCCTGAAATGGGTGCCTGCATCTTCTGTTTACCTGTACTGGTTAAGCAAATGCTGACCGTAAGCCTGAAAACTATTTTGCACATGGTTATTTATATAAACAATTTATGCTGTGTTTGTGTGTCACTGTAAGAGAGCATCAGTCCTCTTGCTTCAGTGTTGGCTCTGTGAAAATCCTTTTGTTTCCTCACCTGAGGACAGTTACCCAGTAAAAACTGTACATTTTGCAAGAAGTTACCAGGCAACAACATAAGGATCACCTTGGAGTTGCAGTGACCAATATTACTTCCCACTTTTTCCACAAGCTATGGCTGACTCCAGAGCATCGTATAGCTGAGGTTCCTCTCAGCTGCCAACCAATTTCATCCATAAATGGTTTCTGAAAGCTTCGGTGTGGATTTCACACAGCACACTCGCTGGTAGGAGCTGCCTAGCCTTGCCGCCGTCGTCCAGCAGCCTCTCCTCCTGCGTAGTGTCAACACGCTACTGTGAGAAAGGGAAGTCTTTTTATGCTTGTAGGAGCTGGGAGAAATCAATACTACGTGCTGTATTTATTGCACAAACCTTCACAATACAATATAAAGAATTCAATAAAAGCTGTTTGATTGCAGAATGGCTCAGTTTATTTTTAATGGAAGTTCAAGGTGAAACAATATAAATTAGGCTGTAGACTGGACGAAGTTTCTGTCGGCTGCAGATGATCTCCCACTTCGTGTATGGACTGCAGCTCTCTTCTTCTGTCCCCAGAGAGCTGCAGGACTGCCAGTGAGCCAGGCCATGGGCTGCTTCTCAGGGCCGGCTCTATTACAGTCCTGTTTTGTCTGTATCATACAAGAAAGATGAAGAGGTAGGTCTAAAATACCACTGAAGTTTCTACAGGAAGAGTTGCCTCTGCAGTCAGTTGGACCAGTATCTGTGAATGAATCCAAAGGGTATGGGCTCGCCTGCATCTTGGAGAAGGCAACACGAAGGGACCTGAAGTGAGGTTAGAAAGTTAATAGGTGCATGAACGCGAGTAACACGCACAGATGTTCTGTGGCTTAATCTGCAGGGAAACGGTGGGGCTGACTAGGCTGTTTCAGAGCTGTGTCTGCATGCTGCTGCTCAGCTCCACTCCCTCTTGGCAACTGCTCAAGTTAAAGCAGGGTGAGGGCACACTGTAGCGCTCAGGCAAGCGAGTAAAGCTCTTGGGCCTTGGTTTGCAGTCCCCAGTGCCTTGTGGGGCCAGTCCCTGCTCAGCCCCTTCCAAACAGCTTCAGCGCCCAGCCAGCCTGCCTCGCTGGCACCTTATTCCATCACACAGGGGCAGGGAGGACCTCCTGGGCCTGCCTCAGGTGCTGGGGCAGTGCAGGATGAAGTCCACGCTAGCTCATGGGTTTTCTTACGGGAGCACTGTTAATCTGCCTCCTCCCATGTGGAGCGCTTTATCTCTGGATTTATCTTCCTGCTCCTGCTCCAGCAGCGAGGGGTGACTGACCCAGCAGGTGACTGATGCAGGAAACTTTCCTTACACATCCCTCTCGTATGATTAGTCGACATGCTGTCCTTGTCCGCGCCGATTGCGGATCGTTGCCTCACCTTCACCTTTCAGCAGTCGGCAGAGAAGCACAGCGGGGTCGTGATAATCGCAGCCTGATATGCAAAGGGCCAACGTAGCTCCCAGGCTCACCTTTGCAAGACACGGCTTCCAGCAGAAAGGCCAAAGGCTAACGGGGCACGGAGAGCAGCCAGCAGCTCGCGGGATCAAGTTCCACCTCGGGAGTAGGCTAAAGGCTTTCCTGCCCTGCTCCGGGCTGCGGCCCCAGACACAGCCCCCAGCAGGGAGCTGAGCCAGGTGAAAAATTCAAGGTGGTCTGATGTTGGAGGCAGTGTGGTTTTGGAGAGAAGCAGCCGGGGCTAGGCACAAGGGGGACCGCGCACACCGGGGTTTTGAAGGCATCTCCTGATGGCTGAGGCGCTGCCTAATGGCACTGCCAGCAGCGAGCCGTCCCCAGCTGCGGAGATGCCCCTCCTCACGGCTTACAGATGCAGGGAAAATTACTGGGTACAATCTGCTGTTCTGGCTCTGGAGATAACCGGAGGACTTCAGTCCGGAAAGCTGCCTTATGAAAGCAATAAATTCCCTTTGGGAAAAAAAAAAAAAAAAAAAAAGACAACATACGTGTTGCTGATGGGGGTGCCACCACCTTTTGCCAGTGCAAGGTAAAACCAGCTCCGCCTGAGCTTTGCTCATGAAATATTCCCGAGGGCACTCTTTATATATAATGATTTACCAGAAGCGTGCCGTTGGAGAGGGAGGTGGCTGTAAAAGGGCCGTGGGAGGATTTCCAGGCTTTTTTTTTTTTTTTTTGTCCTGGCCTTCCCCAGAGAAACAAAGCGATAACGAAACAGAGCCGGGCTGGTTAGCACTGGGGCAGCATTTCTGCTGGGAGCAGGAGGTGGGCTTCTCTTGGGGTGAACTGGGGAGCTGCCCTGGCCCTCTGGGGATGGCTATTAGCTCAGACGGCTGATGTTGCAGGGCTGGTGAAGCTGTAGGTGCAAGAAGGCTTCAGGCAGTGTCCCTTAGTGCTGCCATTTCCAGCTGGGTGCCCCAGGTTGTCCCCTCAGAGGCCAGGGAGGGGATGGACGATATGGCAGGGAAGATGGTGAAGGGAAAATGGAGCCAAGCAAACCCAGCCCGGTGACCTGGGGATGCTGTGCCCTGACGCAGAGCCCACAGAGATCGGTTCCTCCTGACAGGGAGGTCGTGGGCAGGCTTTCTGCTTCACCTGCTTCCAAGGAAGGGCAGGAGGACATGGAGGCACGGGTCCCGGTGCCGCCCACAGCAGTGCCACGCGGGCCATGCCCTGTCCCCAGGGAGCACAGGCAGCACAGGGCAGGGGGCCTTGCTTCAAGGCATGAAACTGTGCAAGCTGTGTTAGCAGCAAGGTGGCACGAAGGAGGCTCCGGCTGTGACCTGGGAACAGCTTTTAGCCTGAAGCACCCTCTGGTCAATTTCCATGACAGGATCCAAAACAACACAGAGCATTCAAGTTCACAGAGGCCTTTATTTTACAGCCCCTGGATAAGTGACCCCAGAGCCAGGGCTCTCGGTGCAAGGTGGCCGAGTCACATTTCAGGGACAACCTGGGATTCAGCCGTCTTTGTGACAGGCCTGGGTGGCTGCCGGGCTCGGGGCCAGCTCAGACTGTGGCTCCTGCAAAGGAGGAGATGTGTGAGGAGAACCATGTGTCATGGCTAAGTCCAGCCACCACGTTGCTCAGGGCCTAACACCGTGGTAGTCAACTCACTCGGTGGTGGAGATGGAGATTAAGAGTTAAGGGAGGGTAAGAGGTAAGGGAGGGAAGAGTCTGCAGGCCCTGAGCAGTGGTGTGGCCATGAGGAGAGCAGCCGAGTCACCTGTCGTGACCTGTTGACCCGCGTTATCCTGAAGAAAAATCCACGTATTTAGGAGCAAAGCCAAGTGGTGTGTCTGCTGCAGGGTGCACTGCTCCTTCACTAACTAGCAATCCTTCACGGCTCCTTTCAGCAAACAGATGCGTGTTATTCTTCCACACCTGCCTGCTCGCAGGTTTTGGAAAGCAGCCGCTGCTTTTAGTGGCAACCAGCTGGGTCCGTACACCCAAACAAACAAGGCAAATGGCCTGTGTGTGCATACTGCCCCTGTAGTCCATGCACAGTGTAAGATGTGGCAGACTGATGCCTTTTGGACACATCAGTATTTGAGAATGAGCTGATCAGGCCCCATGGGCGAGCACAGTGGTCTGGCCTGCGAAAGGTGGGAAACCCACTGTGCTTAGAGTTGCTTGTGCCGGTGATTCCCCCCAGTCTCCTCGTAAGAAATAGTAACTGGGTGGCTCCTAAGGTTCTGGGGCCACAAAAGCTCTCTCCTCCCAAGCACCCAAAAATAAAACCTGAGTGCTATGTCCCTTCCACCCCTGCTGAGGTGACTGCCATGAAACTACCTCTGCAAAGAGCCCTGAGGACGGTCCTTTGAAAACAGACACACCTCCCCTCTGTACCCAGACAGTGGGATCCTGCAGGGCAAAAGCTGCAATGTGACCATTCAGATGAAACACAGGGCAGTGCGAGTTGGTGTGGCACAAACAGCTTCAGTTGATGTAGCACAAACAGCTTCAGGTTTGTGATGCGCACTTGTGTTTTTTCAAGTTAATAATGCTTAAACACAAACACCGCAGAACAGCAACGTAAGATTAAATACCCACTAGCCACCTTTTTATTGTGTGCACGCTCCGTCAAGTTCCTGGCCTGTCTATGTGGTGTGGAAACACGACAGGGACATCAGTGCAGACCCCAGCCAGTCTTCTGTAGACAAGTTCCTCCTCTGTTCTTAACTCAGGTGCAGACAAAGCATTAAAAACATGTCAAAACGCCTGCCATCCTCAGTTTCCCTGTGGCAAAACAGGCTGGGTACATGCCTGCTCTACCAGCCATGTGCCTGGAGTTTGCTGAAGAGCCAATGCCCTACCTAGACCTGGAGGCTGAAGGTAGGTGACTTGATGAAAACTAGAGTCGGTCCAAACGGTAGTTCTGGGGATGGTGGTGGTGAAGTTGAGAGTGCTCATCAGACTTTTTAGCTAATAGCTTTTAACTTACAAAAACAAAAATAAGGAGAGGATGGTGTGTGATTTTTTCAAAACCCCCATACTTGCCATTTAGACCTTTTCTGAAGAAAATGTTTAATTGAAAAAGAAATCTCCAAGCAAAGTATTTTATTTCAAAATGAGCTTCTCTTCATTCAAACACCCATCCAAATCTCTGCTTCAATTTAGTCTGGAAAGATCTCCCTTTATTTCAGGTTGGTCACTAAAAAGAACTTTATTTTTTAATGTGGCTTCACTTCAAGCATATACTGCTTCAGGAGATAGCCAGGGAGAGGTGGCTGGGTTATTCTGTAACTGCAGTGCCCAGAAAACACAGCTCTTACCAGGGTTAGGGTTATTTGCAGCTTCTTTATGAGGAATCTGCATGATCTGCGTCACATCAGATAGCCCACAAGATTTTTCTACAATGGATTACCTCTGGCAATGTTTTCCAGAGATTTCATTTATTGCAAAAAGACCAAAGGTAATGTCATTCTTGTGCTAATGCCTACAATAATCACCTCTTTGAGAGGTTTGATTCCAGAATAAACGTGCCAATAAATATTATTCTTGCTTGCCTGTCTGAATAGCAGCGAGGCTTCCTTCACAACTGTGTTGAGGGGGAGCAGGGCCCAGTGGCTGGCAGGAGAGAGGAGAGGAGGGATCTGAATTCCTGTGGGCTCTCCCTTTTCCAGGAAATCTGCATCCAAATTATGTCACGATCGCCCCAGCCGGTGTTTGAGAATCACCATAGAGTGGAAGACATTTGCTGCTCTCAGCTGTCTTAAGAGTAAAGCAGTTGGGTGAGAAGCTAGGGTGAGAAAGAGAGGTTGAGGTCCGGAGGCTATGCTCAGACTAACCCCAGGTTCCTGGAGGACATGAGGAGTCTATATCAGACAGCACCTATCGTGGATTGTCGTTTCTGTCATTGCTTATGCCTGATTCAGCAAAGCACATACTGGTATAGACCAGAGCTGGACAGTTGGAGACACGAAATGAGATTGCAGAAACCACATTCTGAAACGATCACAAAATTGCTGGGGGATGGGCTGAGAGCACTTCTGAAGATAAGTATAAATTAAAATACAATAAATTGCATATCAGCTTAATGTCCCAATCACTTACGCTCAGAGAGCAATCAGATGCTGGGTATAATTAGGCGTGGGGCAGGACCCAATCAGCATCATCTCCACAGAGCGCGCTACTGCCGCTCATTGGCGTTTGCTATCACAGGGCACATATAAACTCACAGCTGAAGCACAGAGAAAGCACTCAGCCAATACACTGAAGGCGGTGAGTATGGCTTATCTACTACTGAACGTGCTTCTTTTATAATAGCAAAGTACACGGGAGCCATGCCTGCTGACCAGGTAACGTTGTTATCACGGGAAGGCTTGAGAAGAGGATTCTGGTAGCGTCTGCTTCTCAGCCTCTTCGGAGGTTGGTGATCTAGGGAATGTGTGCGCAAGATCTGGCTAAGTCTAAAAGCCAGGGAGGTCCTGGCTTTGTGCTGCATGGCCAGTTGGGCAGTGGAGCAGGTTGTCTGGGGAGCCCGTGCAGCCCCCATCCTCGGAGGTCTGCAGGCCCCAAGAGGACAAAGTGCTGAGTCTGTGCCCAGCGCCGACCCAGCTTTGAGCAGGTCCAGGGACCTCCCGAGATGCCTCTCTGATTCTGTTGAACTGATGCTGCATTTGTCTCGCTCACTGAGAGCGATACCATTTCTTTAACGTAGATCAAGAAAATTGCATTTCGCTTTGAATGGAGTAAATTTCCATGAACTCTCTCTCCTCTGCTCAGTTATTTTCCTTCAGACTGCTTTGAAGTATCTAATTCTTCCTATTGAAGTTATCAGCACAGTCTGATAACCTAATAATCACAATCTCTTATCTGTGAAGTACTCTATAAATATTAGCTTGTGCTCTTTGTCATATAATTTCCGTAAGTGGCAGCAGCTGCAGAGCTACATGTAACCGTGCCCTGCCGCTTGGACCGCCTCCCAGTTCCAGTGGATATTTCCATTATCTTTTCCCCATTCTGTCTCGTCTCAGGCTGCTCTAACTGGAAGTCTTGCACTCTGAAGAGACTTACGGGGCCGTTACAAGACACCTACAACAGGTCAGACGTATTTGACAGCTAATCAAATAATAGCTGAAGCTTCAGGCAGGGCTTAGAAGGACTGTTGGGACATAGGTAAGAATTGTGGTAATCAGGAGAGGACATACCTTTGCTTTGTGATGTAAGGTGACCTGAAACTGCAGTGGAAGCAGTGTGGGGAGATGTTTGTGTTAGACATTGCTCTGTTCAGCAATCCCCAGCTGCAGTCAGACTTTCCACAGTGGTCCCATCCCCCTTCCTGCCTGTGCTTCTCACCGAGCAAGCATGGTAGCAGGATGAGGCCGCTGAATCTATCAGCAGAGGAGTGGCTTACTCCTCTGGTGTTGCGTCAAGGCCTCAGAAAGATACAGGGAAGGTCAGGCTCTGCTGATCTCTTGGTACTGTTTCAGGTTGTCCGCAATCTCGTATAGACTTTCTGGGCGTTCCTGTGCTTCAGGCTTCAATTTTTAAGTTTTGCTTCAGAAGCGCGGTGGCTTTAAATGTCTCTTATCTTAACTACAAATCCAGACCCTGGGCATGGCTGTGCAGAGATTTTAGAATGATTCAAGGTTGGTAGGGTATCTGTTGAGTCCTACAGCACTGCACAGGGAATTAACCAGCCTTTGAGAAGATAAATGAGAAATCCTCTGGCAGTAAGGAATGTAGACATTGACGTAGTCAAGGGGCAGGTCTTGCTTCTTTGTTCTCTGGGCATCTAGAAACTATGTCTGAATCTACTCGGGGTGACTGAATAAATGAAAAATCCCATTCTTTCTGTTTTCATGTATTAGATGGCAAGGGAACTGGACATAATGAGTAGAATGTGATCTTATTTTAAAAAGTGGAATACCAATAATGTCATTCCCTCCATGCAGTAGTCTGTGCTGTCTCACCACAGCCAAATGGGTAGTGGTGGCTCCCCACATGCTTAGCTGAAACACAAAGTCTCAGGGACCACCAACCTAAACTGGACGTGCAAACCTGGATTATACCCCAGCATGGAGGGCGTCAGTGGTACCAGGTCCTCTCCAGTGATCCCTACAGCTCCGTGTGCTTAATGATGTCCACCAGCTCTTCCCATAAACACATCACCCTAAAATCTCCTGGCCTTGGCCTGAGGAGAGGAGGGCACAGCCAGGCTCTGCCTCAGGGCCTGTTGGAGGGGACAGGGGCTTGCGTTGTGCCCAGCAGCCACTGCCCAGCCTCCTGGGGGTCAGCACCCACCAGGACAGGGAGATCAACACCCACAAAGAGGGGAAGGATCCAAAAAGCAGACCTTGTGCTCTTTTGTAGCAGCTAAAACTTTCAGCCTCTCCTATGTTTCAACCCTAGCACAAAATGGTGAAGATGGGCATACTCGGGCCTCAGTAAATAAAAATACTACTAATAAAATCTTATTTCTAACATTTTCGTTGGTAAACAGAGGCCTCAGTTGTGAAAACATGCTAACTCCCCCTGATAAATTGCAGTTTATCTCTTCTTTACCCACACAAGTGACTTTTGCTCCTTCCCAGTTAATGCATTAGGTAAATAAGGATTTGCTTGGGGAGACACTCTCAAGGCTGACACAAATCCTGGCTTGCAAGGAAAATTACTTTTTTTTTTTTTTTTTTTTTTTTCCCTTTAATCCCTCCCAAGAAACTACAGGTTTGGTGGTGGTCGGGTACAACATGGAGAGGCAAAGTTTGCAAGGACTGCTTTTATCAGACCCACTGCAGGGTCCAAGCCATTTTGACCTGTCTGCCCTGTGCACCTGGGGCCTTGTTGCCTTGTGGGGCTGGAGCAGGTGCCAGCCATCTGCCTGAGGAACAGAAATGGCTTCAGGGTGCTAGGTCCCTCCAGGGGCCTTTTTTTCTGAGAAAAGAGGATAAACCAGCTCAGGATGAGCTCTTTGTACCCAAATTTTCTCTGTGTGCCTACATCCAGTGCATTGCAACTGGCTGACTTGGTTCCACACAAGGTGGCACGATGTCTGCCTGCCCCCCCCAGGAGGTGACAGGCCTGCTTTGGGCCTTGGGTTGTATCTGACTGACAATGTGGACTCTCAAGTGCTTCAAAGTGCTCATAATCTGAGGCACAGAGGCGCACTTAGGGTATGAAGCTGGGCCCTCACTACTGTCAGGCTCCATAGTTTGTTTTTAATGTCAGGGTCACCATGCCTGGTGGTGGTCTTCATGCTGGGGTGGCTGGGCCAGGTAACCCCGCACATTTATTAACCTCCGTCTTCAGAGAATTTCTAGTGCCTTTGGTTGAAATGCTATATTTCTGTGTTTCAGGAACACCCCAACAAAAAGTGAACCCCAGCCCCATCCTCCTGGCTGGTGGAGAAGCAGCTGGGAAAGCACAGCTCTGACCTCAGATAAACCTGCTGGGCTACTTCAAAAGAAGTGACTGCAATCGGGTGAAGCAAGCAAGCAGGAGGATGGCAGAAATGGTAATTAAGGCTGCCCTTGGGCTTACATGTTGAGCTACAAATTAATTAGATAACCAGGAGCCAGCCATAACAGTGTGCTGGCTGCTTGCCTGGCTGTTGTGAGTCAGCAGGGCTTTGTAGGTGCAGCAGTCAGCCTGGGTGCAAGTCTCCAAACATGACTCTACCGAGCCGTAAGGTCCCTTTATTCAGTGAAGGCTGAATCAGGGCCAATTCATTCTGTGGACAAGCCAGAAAAGAAAGTTCCAGTTACCAAAAATGTTTCTTTTCTCCATGTGGCTAGTTTCTTTAGCAGAAGAAGGTGGCTGATTAAATACATAGATGGTCACTCCACAGAAGCTCACACCATAAAGGGGCACATCAAAACTCCATGTAACCCTTTATCCTGTTACTAGTACTGATCATAATAGTAGAAACTATAGCAGACACTGAGAATAAACTATAAAACCAGACCTGTCCTTTTCTCCACATATAGGGTGTTCCCAGAGCACAGGTACCATTAAGGCCAGTGTGTTTAAGAGCCACTAATGAACTTCACCTTTGTGAACCTGACTAGCCCTTTTCTAATTCCACTTTTGCCTGTTTCGCTCCTATAGCTGTTCCTGACACTCTCATTTTGACTACTATTCAACGCAAAGAAGCAGAAAAGTGTTTCTCATTCACCTTCCACATATCCACCAGGATTTACAGCCACCTGTCTCACTTTCAGCCTGAAGAATCCTGCTCTTTTTAAAGCATTTTCATACAGACATTACAGAAATTGTTCTAGACCTCCTAACACCGTTGTTGTCCTTCCTTGACTTTTTATTTCTATTTATTCTCTCTCTCTTTTTTTTTTTTTTTAACTTTTAATGTTCTTGTATGCCGGACTAGAGGGGTCTTTTCATCTCTTCGAGGCCCAACACCACAGTACAAGTATTCTCGGCTTATTTACAGGGTAGACTTATCTACAGTTTCTTCATTGCTAGGATGAAAACAAACAAACAACAACAACAACAACAACAACCTGCTCTTGACCAAATGATAAAATACAGAGCACCATGTTTTCTAGTGGTGGAGGAGAGGTGCTTCAATGTACTGGAAAGCACTTGCACAGGCTGCCCAGAGAAGCTGTGCCCCATCCCTGGAGGTGCTCAAGGCCAGGCTGGATGGGGCTTTGGGCAGCCTGGGCTGGGGGGAGGTGTTCCTGCCCATGGCAGGAGGGTGGATCCAGGTGGGCTTTAAGGTCCCTTCAATCCCAAGCCATTCTGTGATTCAACGTACATTTGAACAGGAGAAGATTTACTGGAGACGGTGGTTAGGACATGTTTTACTACATATGTGGTTTAGTACACCAAAGCTGGACATGTGACAAAAGAGCAATTTCCACCACTTAATTCATCTGTAGAACGGGGTTTTTGAACAGCCAGTAGGGATGCCCCAAGCAGGCTCTCCATCCCGTCTTCACACCCAAATGTGGAAGTTGTTTCTTGCCTTCGACAATTATTACACAGGAATTATTACACAGGTGCCCATCGACCAAGCTTTTCCTTCCAGGTGACTGTGGGGCTCTATTTCCCCTACACAGGAGATGACCAAGGCCTGCCTGCTCATGAACGGCAGCTGTATGGGAAGTCAGGAATGCAAAGCCGACAGCTCATGGATTCTTCCCAACTTGCCCAGCAAGTGCATGTGGACAGCTGCAACGCCTTCCAACAAGTCTCCACACTCCTGTATACCCTTGTAAGTAACTCTTTCGTGCTGGTTATTTTAGCGTGCAGGAAGCTCGATGTCAGCTTGTGAAGATGAAGCATTATTGTTACGCTCTGTGTTTTCCATCAGACATTTGGGAGCATCTGCTAGTTTGGGGCATCTGGCTTTAGAAGAATTAAGATGAACATATTTCAGAGGTAGATTTCAACCAGGGACTTGTACACTTCTGCAGAATGGACTCTGTGAAATCTGGTGCTCAACAGCAGGAGTGAAGGTGCTCCCAGCTGCTAGGCACAGGTGGAGATGCGGCAGTGGCTCTCCCAGCTGTAACGTCCTTGCAGGCTTACAACCCAAAGCTGTCACAGCCGTTCCTTTGTATGACAAAAGGCAGTGACAGCTGTGCGATCACCAGCCAAAGGCCTGCCGCTCACAGCGACACTCGTTCATTCAAACAGTCTGACGCAGCGTGAAGAAAGACTTCAAAATATTAGCAATGTCCTTTTTCGGTGGCTGGACACTTTCATAAAAAACTGATTACCAGGGCCTGGGCTTTTAATTAATGAGGGAATGTCACACGCAGAGGTTGCCCACACTGTGTAAGTGACCCAAGAGTGCAGCGCGAGGCGAGGTGGCTGCTCTGAGCCTGTTCTTGTCCGCACAGCAGCAGATTTCCTCCCAGGGTGAGGCAAGCCTGACAAAGAGCCCCGATTAGACAAGAGGTGCTTTAATGGCCCTGCAAACCAAACGCAGACAGGCTATTAAAGATAAGGCTGTCCTATAAATGTCAGGGGAACTGCGGACACGTCCCTGCTGTGCCAAAGATGTAAAGCACAAATTCAGCTCCGCTACGCGCGGAACTGTGGAGGTGAGGCGCTGCTCTGCATAAATGCCTGCCAGTTGTGAGCCGGCGTGGGGAGTTTGTCCCACGTGCAAGGTGGGACACAGCTGGAGCATGGCCCACCAGCACTTGTGAAGCTCAGGAGCCCCCAAGTCTGGCCCATGAAGGAGGAGTGGGCTCCACAGGCTTAGTGTCAACCCAGTCACTCACACAGGGCAAGTGGTGCAGATAGCGCCTCAGGACAGGCTCAGATCTTTTCAGCCAAACTGTGTTTTATCCTCTGTTACCATGCTGAGCAGGATAACATCGTTATTTAGCAATTTTTAGTGATTCAGCAGTGGGGTGTGAGAGGTGCAGCAGGGCATCTCCAGCAGCAGGGCACTGGGAACATCAGGACAGTCCCCTGGGGATGGGAACAGGCCGAGGGGTCCCCTGTGGCATCACTGGGGCAGGGACTGACGTGTAGTCTGCTGCACTGATAAAAATAGACAGGAGTCATGCAGCACTGGGACATCACCATTTCACTTTGCAGAAACATGTGGAAGGGAAACTGTTTGTCTTTCCTGCTCTGGATGGCAGCTGATATGGCAAAAATCTCTGGACTTTCTGTAATTCCCATGTGAAACCTGAGTTTTTGAGGTAGAAGGGGATAGTACCATGGAAAGAAGGCAAGGTGGTACTATATTTAAGGATATTAATTATTTACATTTTCTGAGAGATGCAGAGGTAGAGTGGTTCTGATAGTCCTGGATCCAGTTCTGACCTGCTACAGAAAGGATCACTTACGTGTTTTTTGTTTGTTTGTTTGTTTTTTGCCAGGACTGCTTTTCCTCTGGACCTCTTATGGAATAACATGCAATGAGTAAAAGCAGAAATCCTGGAGAAAAAAAATAATAATATATATATATTGTCCACTGCTATGCTGAACTGATAGCGACCATTTCAAGACAGGAGTACCCCCACACTATCCTTTAGGAGCACCAAAGGCATTTTCCACAGATCCTGCTATCCAAAGATACCTTCAGGCACACACAGAGCGTTCACCTAGCTGGGGAACGAAGCTGACTGTGCTAGCATTATTGTTGTAGTAAGATATGGTAGTCACTAGGGAAGGAATTTGATAGAAACTGCAGAAAATTTGGTGCCTCCTCATGCCATGGCTCGGCCCCACTGGAACCACTGAGCATTTCAGCCGCTTTTAGGGCAGATGGAAAATGGCTCAGCTGTGGGGAAAGCTCATTTATTGAGTTAGTGCCCCGAATTTACCAGCACTCAGCAGAGGTAACACTTTCCACAGAGGGAGAGGCAAGAGCACACGTGCAATGTGCCATCATTTCTGGGCGTGCGATGTAAACGTCTGCACTGCAACGCCACCCTGTCCCCTCGCAGGGCAAGAAGCGTCTATACCCTTCTTGCAAAACCCGGAGGGGAGGTGCGTGTGTGTGTCATTAAGTAACTCAGCATGTCATCCCTGCATCACATGGCCCTTCTGTCAGCAGACAGCCATCTGCCTGGCCGCGATAGCAGACCAGGATAACTTGGGTTCAAGGTTCAAGGGATGATAGTGGGCGAGAGCCGTGCAAAGGGGAGCTGAGCGGCGAGGGGGTGGGGGTTTGTCACCCCGCTCGGAGAGAGACGTGCTGACTATCGACCAGGGGCAATACATTTGTGGCCCCAATAAACACGGCCCTCATCAATCTTCTTCCTCCTTCTTTTAAGAAGTTCAAGGACACCAGCTCCCTGTCTGCGTGGCAGGATGCGTTCAGCCATGTGTTGGGCAAACAAGGCTTTTTCGTTCTGGTTGCAATCGCTATGACGTGGTTCTTGGCTTCTGCTGGCATCCGACAGAGACCAACAAAACCACGAGGCTGAATTGCCTTGATCCAAGAACTCAGTTTAATTATTTGCCAAAAAAAAAAAAATCCAGAGTCCTCTGCTTCACAGCAGAATTAACAACGCAGCCCACAGGAGCGGGGCAAAGCTCTGAGCTGTGTGTAACAAGGCTGTGCTGGAAGCAAAGGTGCACTGCTGCCTTGCCCCAGGTGAAGCTGAGATGTGTCACCGCGGACGTGGCTTCTGGATGAGCACAGCTGGGCTGCGCAGATCTGTGAAAGGCAGCATCCAGACTGGTGTTTGGTTTCTGTATTGTGGGCACACGCTGGCAAACACCGAGAGTGTGACAAGTCCTTGGCTGAAAAAGCTGCCAGGTTCACGCATGAAATTCAGGCAGGATTCAGCACAGTATCTTCTCCAGACCAGGTGGTGGCCCTTCCTGCTCTGAAATGCAGCAGTCGATTGATGCTGGTGAGCAGACCTTGCTGAGAGAGACCCCTGCTTGTTAGATAGTTAGAGACTGAAAAGGTTGATGTAGAGATGGATGAAAATATGAACAGCAGAGGTTGTGTTGGGTTGGATGGAGGAAAGAAGAGGCACGTGTTGTGCATGGTCTGCTGGCTTTCTCACCAACTGTGTGAGATCCTGAGGCTTGTTTACTGTTCTCACTTCACTTAATTACACATCTGCCCTCAGGTCTTGTAGAGCAAGGCATTTCAGAACAGCCCTGAAAAATAACTACATTATTTTTTACATAAAGGAATAAATAACTGATGGTAAGTGATGGAAGACCACAACCAGCTCCTTTTGACATTACCTGTCAAAGGAAATCTCTTCTCTTGAAAAAAGGAGTCTCTTGGTGGTCTTGCTGTAACCTTACTCAGGTTTTATCTTGGTTCATGTTGCATAAAAAGTTGCCCTGATTTGGCTTTTTTTTTTTTTTTTTTTATCCTTTCATACAGACCAGAAGAAACAAAGATCTTGCCCAACATCCTGAAGAAAATTGGCTGTACCCCAATGGTCCGAGTCAACAAGATCGGGAAGTCCTATGGGCTCAAGTGTGAGCTCTGTGAGTTTCCCCTTTCCACCAGGTTTTTCCGGGCCATGAGGTGAGGTTGAGGGGCAGCATCAGTGGGGGCTTCAGAAGAGGCTCAGTGGAGAGCAAGAGCAGACGGGGAGGGACAGGTGTGTGTCCTGCCGGCTGAGCTGGAGCTGGGCCAGGCACTGCCCCCAGGGATTTCACTTTCTGCTTCCCCCGGGGACGATCCCAAAGCGCAGCTGGAGGCAGAAGAGCAGGGGCTGCAGGCAGCTGGGTGTATCGGTCACCAGCGTGCCAGGTTTTCCAGCAGGGCTCAAGTCCTCTCTCACTGCCTCTGAGGCAGGAGTGACAGCTCACACAAGGGTTTTTAGCCTGCTGTCCTGCAGAATAAGCATGATGCAATTAGTCTGCTTCTGTTATATGGACTTCTCAGTCTCCTTTCCTATATCTTTTAACCCCGTTTAATTTCAGCCATCTGGAAAGAAAGAGAGAGGTCTCAGAGGCATCAAGGTTCATGAGTTTCACATCACGGTGTAGGAAGGAGAGACTTGGCTAGTGCTCGCACCCCATAAAACAGCACAGCAGGCACTTACAGTCTTATTTGGCTGTAGGGAGCCCCGAGGGTAAGCAGCCTCCCCAGGGCACATGTCCTCATGAAGAGATCTGTGCTCTCTGAAGCTGCCTTCCCCTTGGACAGTGTCTGGCTGGGGCAAGCTCTTGGGGGTTATTTGGTGCAGACAGAACTGGGCAAGCCAGGGAACGAGACAGAGCCCCATTTTCTGGGGTGGTGTCTCCCTCCCATGGTGCAGCAAGGGAAGGAGAATTAGGATACTCACAGCAGCTGCGTGTTCCTGAGCTGTGTGTGGGTCAGCACAGAGCCTCGTGCCCAGCAAAGAAACGAAGGCTTGCAGCCCTGAGGAAGCAGTTAAGATTAGATGCAATTACTTTGTCATCTCCGTGCCTTTGAGGCCGTCTGTGTAGCTGAAGTTTTGGCAGTCTGCGTTATAAAATGCAGTGATAATCACTGAGATTCCCCCCCATTGCTCTGGCTGCTCACGGAGCTGGGTGGTTTGTCAGCCTGATGGCGTTGCCTCCCCTACAACTAAGAGACTCGCACCCCAAAAGTGCCCGCGAGGCAGCGTGGTGCCCCCAGCTTGTCCCTGATGGAGCCTGACCTTTGCTTCCCAGTGGCAAAATGCGAGTACTTCAACGCGGGGGGCAGCGTGAAGGACCGCATCAGCCTGAGGATGGTGGAGGACGCGGAGAGAGCGGGGATCATCAAGCCGGGAGACACGCTGATCGAGCCCACCTCGGGGAACACGGGTAGGAAATGTTGGTGTGCCCCATCCAGCCTGGCACCTCCGAGGGCTTGGCACAGAGATCTGAGGAGTCCTTACAGCTGGGAACAGCCCGAGCTGCCTGCACCTCCCCCAGGGCAATGTGCTTTCCTTCCCACCTAGCCTGGGGCACTGTGGCTCCGGCTCTGTCCTCACCTCAGCTCGCCTCCCTCCCTCCTGGCAGCCTCTGAGTGCGGAGATGTCTCATGGCTGAAATCCTGAAATTCCTGAGGGCCGGGGCAACCCCACCTGCTTTCTGCATGGGAAGATCTTGAATATTCAGAGGTTCCCACAGAGGGCTTCCCTGATGGGCTGGAAGATAAATCTGTTTTGTTTTGTTTTTTTCCCCATTGTCACTGTCATCCTGCTCAGGCACCAGATTGTGGGGAAGGACGAGGGACAGCAGAGGAATATCCCTGCTTTGTGCAGCCTGCACAGGACCCCTGGTGAAAGCTTTTTTGTGCCCTGGGCACTGCTCCAGAGGTTGTCAACACTGCCGCCGCTCCTGGGGCAGCACCACACTCCCTACAAGTGTTCCCCGTGCCCTCCCATGGGGACACGCTGCTCCAAATGCCCCGTGTGGCTCCATCCGTCCCCCGCAGGGACATCCCAGAGGACTCACGGAGGGTGCCCTCAGGTGTAGCTTGGTGAAAATGCCCACGTGGTGTTCACCAGTGGGAGAGAGGCATGTGGGAAGCAGGAGAGAGCACGCGTGTTGTGTCGGTGGGCCTTGCCAAAATGCTGTTGTCAAACGCTTCCCTTTCCTCCCCTCAACCCAGGAATCGGGCTGGCACTGGTAGCTGCAGTGAAAGGTTACCGCTGCATCGTCGTCTTGCCGGAGAAGATGAGCATGGAAAAGGTCAGAGCTCTGTAGGGTACTACAAAAAAGCACGCTGAGATGCTCTCCATCATGCTACAATTTCCCTTAACTGAGAGACATTTAAGGTTCTCTGAGATGCGCTCTCAAGCTGGTGGACATAAGTCCTTTTTGCACAAGAGCTGATGATCAGGTGAAACTGCTGCCCTGGGGATGGCAGAAATCACCACTGTGGGGAGCAAAAGTCTCACAAACTGTTCAGCTGAGCTCATAAAATCACAGAACCATTACGGTTGGAAAAGACCTCCAGCATCACCTGGTCCAACTGTCCCCCAACTACCAGTGAAGCCAGCCCTGGCCCCTAACTTGGCTCAGAACAGAGCCCTTCTCCAAAGCACCGCCCTCATTTCAACCTAAATCTCACTTAAGCTCGCTCTGGATCAGATGCCACGTGCAGCTGCCGTGGGCTTTGCCTCCAGGAGTGGTGGCACTCAGCCCCCCTTCTCCTTTGACACCCTCTCGCCCCAGCAGCCACACCTCTCAGTGTATTAATACCCGCAGATTTATGGGAGTTGCTCCTTCCCACAAGGGGACTCGGGGCAAGGAGAGCTTTGAGACCTCCTCCTTGCCCACTTAGACCACAGCACATACAAAAGCTGCTTCCCCGATACTGCTCCCTGCCCTGCTTCCCTCTGCCCCTTCCCCAGGTGCCATGGAGCAGAGCAGCACAGTGTCACCTACCTCCTCCGTGTCCCCAGCCTGTCCCCAAGTAGGACAGGGCACGAGGCCAGGCTGGAACCCGTGTGCCAGCTCCAGCCAGGAGGCGCTGGGTGCCAGAAGGATGTCAGAGGTGGTACATAACCGAGTGCTGGGCATTGCAGCTCCAAATGCTAAATGTCTCCCGCATGCAAAGCTGCTCTGGCATCTAACGCTGCCATGGGTGCGTGGGTTCGGATTACCAGCGCCACACGGGATCGGTTGCCCTACATCTCCTTTCTTCCCTCCAAAAGGTCGATATCCTGAAGGCGCTGGGCGTTGAAATCGTGAGGACCCCCTGCACCCGCTTCGATGCCCCGGAGTCCAACATTCGCGTTGCCTGGAAGCTGAAAAGTGAAATCCCAAACTCGCACATTCTGGACCAGGTAAACGCAGCTGCCCCGCAGACTCCCTTCCCAAACACATCTGGCAGCGTGTGCTCCGAGTCTGCCCGTGTTGGGGGGCTTTGCTCAAACTGGCAGCGGAGGCAGATTTCATCATTGTGGGGTCACCATTTTATGGCACGTGAAACTTAATCGCTGCTCTGTAAGGCACAGGGTAGCAGAAACAAAATCAGGGGCACCTCAAAACCTGTAACGCTTCTGCCTAAGCCAGGAGGTGGGGGAGGCTGGGTTTTCTTGCACACCTGAAAGGCTCCTCATATTGCTTCAGATTTAACTTTGACCTGGAAAATCGCTTTTTACACCAGCCTAGCAGCCTCCCTCCTGCCTCAGAAATAAGCTCCCTACCCAAAAGGGCAAACCCTGGTGACTCACGGCATCAGTTCCTGCAGCACTGCTCTTGCAGAGGAACATGCTTCTCCCTTTGGCCTCACCCCATTGCAGAAAAGATCCCTACAGTGAGCAGGGAACCCCCGCAATGTCTAAAAAACATTCCTCCCTGGTAACAAAAAGGGAGCTCAATCCCTGAATACGCTTTCCAGAAGCATCCTCCCCAGCCTACAGGTGTGAACGTGGGGCTGCACACCCTTCAGCGCCCTACCTGGGTTCCCACTGCAGCAAATCCCCCTGGAAATGTAGGACAACTGCTCTGGCCCACATTGCCCGGACACTTCACTGGCTGCACTGCCAGCCACCAATGCCACAAATGACAAAGCTGCTCTCAAAATCATAGATATGATATTTGAAAAAAATAATAATTACATTTGAGGGGGGAGGTTTTTTTATTTTCTGAGCTTTTTGGGAGCATTGTGCAGCTGTGTTTTCAGCTTCTTCTAGGCATCAGAGAAGGCTAATAATGCTTCTTTCTAAGCAATAGCTGAAATGTTGAAGGACTGTCTTGCCTCCAGCAGCTAGGCCTTTAAAACCCCTCCAGGTCCCACAAAATGCAGAATATGGGACACCACATGAGCACTGTGTACCAGAGGCTGGATGTCTGTGGGCACGTTCAGCCTTCCAGGCCTTTTGCGCGGCCAAATCCTCAATGTCCTCAGGAAACTGTTCCAAGGTGACAGAGGAGGCATTACCTGTGACCTGGCAGCCCTTGCCAGGGAGAGGAGGGGGGCGGCTGGATGCTTTGGGCAGGGCTTGTCAGGAGCTATTGCTAGTTCGGTATTTGACCTAGGCTTTCCCCAGTAACTCGTGCTGTTCTCTGTTGAAATAAACAGTACCGAAATCCAAGCAACCCCCTGGCTCATTACGACACCACCGCCGAGGAGATCCTGGAGCAGTGCGAAGGTACCGCTTGCGCTGCTGCTTCTACGTGCCGAGGGTGTGCAGAGGGCTGGAGCCCTCTACGAGAGGCTTGTTTTACCTAGTTTGTTCATCTAAAGGTGTAGAAACGACAAAGAGGGCCTCTGTAAGGGAAGTAACCCTTGATAATGCTGGTGCACAGTGTGGCAACTTCACACAGGCCGCTCCTGATCCACCTAAGCCTGCAGGACTTTCCTGTTGTGGCCTCTGCTTTCAAAAGCCCAAGGGAGGAGACCAGAAACAAAACAGTGAACAAAACCCTGAAGGAGGAAGGGCCCATTGCTCAGCTGATCCATCTCCGTGACCTGTGAGCTGAAAGTACGAGGTGTCCCAGGAGGACCCACAGGGGAGTACATACCCATAAGGGCACTCAAGGTTGCATCTGATCCTGCAACCCCATTTGCAAATCAAATCGGATCATAACTTATGAGCCTTCCCACCACTACACCATTTAGATTTGCTCCTCCTGGCAGCCAGTAGTGAGTTGTGAGTCCTTTTCCCCCAGTGTAGTTGCATCGCAAGCCTCTGAAGGCCTGACTGATTCTGCTCCTACACCATTTCACCAAATTCAGTGAGGCTGCACCTGGCTGACACTTGTGCCGGTGCAGAGCCTTGCCATCTTCCCCTGCGGGTGCTAGCACCAGCTGCCAAGTTGTGTCTGCTACTGCTACGTGCCATTATTCATCTGCACGCTTTGCCTCAACATGGTGTGGTCTGAAAGGCCTGGAGGGGCTGAGATCCTCCCTCCCCCTTCAGCCAGCAGGTACCAAGCATGCAGGAATCGTGGAAACCACTGGGAGATCTGGAGGTCATCTTCAGCCCCCTGTGCTGAGGAAGGGCCAGCTGCCTGTTGTAGCAGCTGAGGGACGTGAGGCTTGGACAACAGGGAGACAGTGCTGGAGGCCGTGCTGACTCTCACATCTCTCTTCTCTGGCCTGCAGGCAAGGTCCACATGGTGGTGATTGGATCTGGCACAGGAGGCACCGTCACCGGCGTTGCCAGGAAGCTGAAGGAGAAGTGCCCAGAGTGCAAAGTAAGCTGGAGGAGGCAGGGCTGCCCACTGGGAACAGTGGCTCCCCTGGGTTTTCCTGCCTCTGCTTTCAGTCAAGACTAACCTTACGGTCACTCTCACTCGTAAGGGCTGAGCTTTGGAAGTAGCAGCCCCTGCCAACGGGGTGATGACAAACACCTGGGGTGTGATAACGTTTTAAGCCACCACAGCCACTTCCGCAGCAGCTGAACACTATCTGTTTAAAAAGCTAGTGGGGAACTGTACTTTTTTTTTGTCCTAGAGATCTCCACGCTGCCAGTGGGTAGGCGTATTAGTGAATTTCGCAGGGAGAAAAATGGTGCTGATAAGGGCATTGGTAATTTTTTGGTTTGAGTCACGAGATTATTTCTGAACTCCCTTTGTGGTTAACCAAGCTTCCTTCCCTCGAAGATCATCGGCGTAGACCCCGACGGCTCCATCGTCGCTCTGCCCTGTGAGCTGAACAGGACGAACAACACCACCATAGAGGTGGAGGGCATTGGCCATGACTTCATCCCTACTGTCCTGGACAGATCTGTAAGTAGCTGCGTGGGGAGAGGCTTCTGCCTGAGCTTTGTCTTTGCATCCAGCCTACTCCTTTCTCTCCCCGAGGAAAGGATGCTGGCTGGACAGGCTGGAGGAGCTGCCCACAAACAAAGCCTCCAGATTCGGGATGCCCTGACAGATGCATTTGTTTTCATCAAGTGCTCAGAGTAGCTCAGAGCTGCCAGATGTTGTAGGCGGCAGCACCACTGCGTTCGTCAGGGGGTCACAACCTGAAATAGCACTTCCAGGTCTCGCTTTCTGCCTTGCTTACTTGCTTACTGTCTTGCTCTCTCTTCAGGTGGTTGATCAGTGGTATAAATGCAACGACAGAGACTCGTTCCTCATGGCTCGCAGGCTGATCAGAGAGGAGGGATTACTGTGCGGTAAGCATCAATGACAGCAGCTTCTTCTTCACTCGACAAACTTTTTAACCTCGTTGTTTAATTGCTTTGGGAGCAAAACACTTCAGGGGTAGGTGCTCTCTGCATTTTGTGCCTGCTAGGCTAACGGGGCTGAACGGCTGAATCCAGAGCTGGTGTGTAGGCCGCTGTAGACTTCAGAGGTGTTGCAGTGAGTCAGTGGTCTGGGATCTGGCTCCTCGGCAACAATAATTATAGAAGCAATAACTCTCCTCTTGCTGTAACACTTTTGCACAGGGAACTGGATCTTCAGGCCTAATTCTGCCTGGTATAGTGTTACATGGACTGAAGAGAAGGATTAATAGGATTCAGGACAGGACAGGTGGACTAGAACTGTCCCACCACTAACAACTCTGTGAGGCTGTACTCTCTGTCTTTGAACTATTGCCACACTAGAGGTGCCAGGTTTGGACCGGGAAAGTTTGTAAGTAAAGTAAGTGTAAGATGTTCTTACCGAGTATTTCTCCCCGTGCCAACAAGCTGTAAGTGATCCCCAGGGCTTTCCAAAATGAACAGGTGCCCTCAGGCAAACCCTGCCTATACCCAAAGAGCCTCTACACGGCATCAGTGTCCCGGAGCAGATAGTTACGTGTTTGTGTCCAGGGCCAGACAATACGCAGCTACGGGCCTGTGGTTACAGCTGGGAAAACTCCTGAGCACTCCCATCCAGGGAGTTTTGAGGAAGATCAGGCAGTTTGTTGTGTTGATTTAACCTAGCAGGCTCAGACTCACCGTGTTTCAATGGAAACCGCTCGCTGAACTCAGCTATAACTGGTGAATAGCTTCATGCTCCCAGAACTGCATTTTTCAGGGACTTTCATCATGGGTTTGAAAAACGTGACCCGGTGCTAATTAACCTGCTGTAAAATACGTGATGCCTTGAGTGCAGTGCGTAATTGGCACACAGATAGGGGAATGTCTCTCACTTCCAGCACTCGAGTGGGAGAATTGCCTCTGTAAAGCAGGGCCCTGCTGCCCCTACGTGCAGCACACCACATGCGTGCACACACACACACATGCAGGGAGGGTTTAGATCTTCCCATCACGTTGGCCTGGTATTCCAAGCATGAATGTAATGTTCATGGTTTGTTTTTTTCACTCTTTACAATGCATGTAAAGCAAACCTTTGACGGCCAAACACGCTGGCCAGAAGCTCTAGATTTGGCGTAGCGTCTCCTCACCTGAAGGTGTGGGCAGCATTTGGATGGATGTCCCCGTATTGCACCTCTCAGCCCTTGTCCTGTTGCCACAAGCCATCACATAGACGTGTCCCTTTAGTCTCCACCTGGTCTTTTCGTGTCCCAAAAACCTACAAGGCCCTGAGGCCAGCAGTCCTCCCTCTCCCAACATTTTTCTCTCTCCTCTGGGTACCCATCCAGGCGGCAGCTCGGGCAGCGCCATGTCCGTCGCCGTGCGGGCAGCCAAAGACCTGAAGGAGGGTCAGCGCTGCGTCGTCATCCTGCCCGACTCCGTCAGGAACTACATGTGAGTTTCTTGTTTTCCCCTCAAACAGCTCACGGGAAAAAAAAAAAAAAAAAAAAGTAAACAAACAACATGGAGAAACGTCGTGCTGTGGTGATAAGCAACAGGGGCTGGCTGTTGGGACGCCCGGGTTTATTTCCTCTCGTTGCTGACCGACTGCACGGAGCAGGAGTCAGTCAAGCCGAGTTAGGAAAGCAAATAGCTGGCGTGCTTCGAGCAGGCCCTGAGCACTCGCAGCTCCCGTTGACCTTAAAAGGGGTTAAGAGCAGCCAGCTGCAAAAATCATGGGAGCCCCGAGGCAGTGCTGCGGTCTGGGGCACGGAGCAAAGCACGGCTGCGTGCGGAAGGCTCACAGACCCGTCCTTTGTTGGTGATTTCTAGGTCCAAGTTCGTGAATGATAAATGGATGATAAAAAACGGGTTCCTAAATGATGTCCAGGAGCATAAGCCTTGGTAAGACAACTTCCGCCGGTATGAGCTGCGTTAAGGAAATCAGCTTCCCGAGTCTGGGAACGATTATCTTCAAAGGGAAGTATTATCTTCTATTGCTGAAAAAATGCAGTCGAGTCCAGATCCCTCTGAGAAGGCTGGAAGCTCAGCTCCTCTCTCCTGAGTGGCGAGATATCCCTCTTCTCTGCTCAAAGTCAATTCAGTTTCTGTCCTGAAGATCCATCTTGCACACCATGGGGAAAATGTCCCCTCAAGGCAGGGAACCACAGACTGCTGATGGCAGCTAACGTGTAACTGGGCGAACGGCGCTTGTTGAGAAAGCACCTAGGCTTACTGAGGGACTGCAGGTGTTCCTCGTGTCACCTTTTATTTTGGGTTACTCTAACCAAAGGTTTCTGCACAATATTTCCTAAAAGCTTTATATATTTCCAAGGCCTCTAACACCTGGTTAGGATGGTTCTTGGCCCCTCCAGCCTCTCACATTGCCCTGCATTTTCTGCAAGGGCTGAGATATTGTGAGTTTCCTGTGGTCCCCAGCAAACAAGTGTAGCTCATCCCTCCTAACTCACACCAGCATTTCTGTCAGGCTCTCTCCTTGAGGAACAGCAAATCCATTTTGAGGCTCCAGGCTACAAACCAAAGAGGTAAAACTGGTCGGCCTCTGCTTTAAGCTTACAGGCTTAAAGTGTGAGCTCTGCAGGCAGGCAGAAAGGATATCCCCGCACAGTTGCTCTTATTTCCACTGGCCTCGCCTCCCTGAGCAAGGCCCGCAGCCACGCAGCCGCGAGTAACAGCTTGGCGCTGCCATTTGTCTTCCAACAGGTGGTGGAACATCAAGGTGCAGAAACTGAATCTCTCAGCCCCTCTCATTCTTCTCCCAGAAGTCAGCTGCCAAAAGGCGATTGAAATCCTGCAGGAGAAGGGATACGACCAGGCTCCCGTCGTTGCTGAATCAGGGTAACTATTTTTACTCGTCACATGGACGGCCGTTCAAATGGGAAAAAGTTGTTCAAACATGATTTAAAAAAAAAAAAAAAGCAGCTCAGCCCCTACATAAAATGTGTGCCTGACCTCAGGCCTGGCTTTTTGCAAAACTCCCTGTTCCCTCGCAGACTCATTTTGGGAATGGTGACCCTCAGCAACACCCTCACCTCGGTGCGGGCTGGAAACGCACAGTTCTCAGACCCCGTTACGAAAGTCATCTACGACCAGTTCTCAAAGGTACCGCTGGGGCCAAGCCATGCCTGGGGAAGGGGAGGAGATGCACGTCCCTGGAGGTGCTCGAGGCCAGGCTGGATAGGGCTTTGGGCAGCCTGGGCTGGAGGGAGGTGTCCCTGCCCATGGCAGGGGGGTTGGAATTAGATGGTCTTTGAGGTTTCTTCCAACCCGAGCCATTCTGTGATCCTATGCACCACCACCTGCGAAAATGCTGCCTGTGGGGTTCACACAGCAGCTTTGTGTCTTGCCCACAGACCCTCCCATCGCCCCAGAACAGATGGACCCAGATCCTGGTCCATCCTGCCCACCCAGGGCCAGGATCAGAGGCAGGAGGCAGGCTCCTCGCTGTTGTCCTCTAAGTGTGAAGTGAAACATAAACTGTCTTTTTCTGTCCTGTTTAGATTGGCCTAGAAGACAGCCTTGGGAAGCTTTCCAGCATCCTGGAGAATGACCACTTTGCTATCGTTGTGCACACGCAAATGCAGTGTAGGTATCTGCGAGGAGAGGAAGCGCTGTGTGGGCTCTGCACAAGTGGCTGAGATGGGAGAGGGAAATTCCCCAACCGAGCTTGGGAGGGATCAGTGCAGCTGCTCCACATGTGCAGCCCCTCTGCCTTTGCAGCGAGGATTTCTGCCCCGCAGCTCTGCAAAGCTCTGAAGCTGCCAGCTATTCATTCACCCCTCTCCTTTCCTGGCCCCATTGCCACGTCAGCCCCATTGCCTCCCCTCATCTCGTGGTTTCCCAGGTAAACCCAACCGGGGAGGTGGGAAGGTGTTCACCTGCCCTGACACCAAGGTGGACACGGGCTGCAGGCAGCAGCTCGGGGCGCTTTGTGCTTTTGGTTGTGCTTTTGTAGCCCCAGGCTTTTCGTACCCACTTAGGCTCTTGACCTTGAATTCAAATCATCGCCGTGCTGGTTGTGGGCAGCAGAGGAAACAAGGGGGAAGTTACGGAGACCTGCAGAATTAGCAGCCCGAGGGCAGGGGCAGAGGAGCATTTGGGCAGGTTAGATAAAGCCAAGGTGGAATTCGGGCCTGTAAGTGCAAGGGGAGAAACCACACTTTCTGCATCCCACTTCTTAAAGACCCTCTGCTGTGTATGCCTGGAGGCTCTGCCGTCTTCTCCAAACACCTCTGCTCCCACTTCTACCCCAGGGGATGCAGCCAAGAGATGTCCTCCTCCCTCTGTGCCCTGAAGGCCTGGGCAAATCTCTTTGCTAAGGGGCTAGGTGCTCTCAGACACCTCTGGTGGGCCAGGGGAAGTCAAGAAATCTGAAAACAGATGTCTTGGACCGTGAACAAAGCCTGGGCACCTGAGCTGGGAGTCAGGGGTAAAATGCCCAGTGATGTACACAGCCTGAAGCATGCATGTATGAGCCCTGCCTGGGGTGGGAAGGGGCACAGGGCTGCTCTGCCCATGAGACCAGCCCCATAAAGCAGCTGTACCCGCAGCTTTGATTGACTCTCACACCCGTGCACAGCCACCCCGTCCCAGGTGGAGCCATCCAGCTCAGTAGGACCACGTGTAGTAGGAGCACGTCAGCACGAAGGCTGCTGACACACCGATGGCAGCAGGGCTCCCGCCGTGTTGCTCCCCCGACCCAAACATGTACGGTGGCAGCCGCTGTTCTGCAAACCTAACACACCTCTCCAGTGCAATCACACCGTAAAACTTCCCGAGGTACAGATTTGGCTTTGCCTCGAGGGGGTTGCTTTGTTTAAAACGGTAGCAAGACGAAAAAGCGGTCAGAAGACCCGTGTTTAGAGTGACACGAGAGCTGAAGGGCGCAATTATCCTGATTTTATGGGTTTACGCATTGAACACGCAAAGCATTCCTGTGGTGAGCAACATCTGAGCAACGTGCAACGTCGTGCTGCGCTGGCTGCCAGCAAAGGGCTGTCCCCTGAACTCGCAGCCTCCAAAACTACTGCGTGGCTTCAGCCCAGCCCCACTGCTTGCATCTCTGTGGCCTGCTGCCCCGAAGCCCCCAGCAGCTCACGTCCCTACAAAATGCTCCAAACGAGTTTCCTTCAAAACTGCTTTTGGTGCACGCTTCCAATTCTTTCACCAAAAACCAACCCTCGTAGGCAGAATTTCCATTCTCAGCTCTGTTGTCATAAGAAGACAGAAGTCTCTTTTGTATGACATTTTGATACACATTAAATGGCATCCACCAAACAGTATCAGCCAGCTGTACGCGGTGCCTTTTGCTCTGGCTTGCACACAACACCCATTTTTTTCCTCCAGAGCTGCTGTTTTAATGCCCTCACGGTTAGCCCTGTATTTCTTACTTTCTTCCCACACTTTCACAGCTTGGTTTTTGTCTTGTGTGTGGACTCTGGTGGCTAATTGTATTGTCATTTAAGAAAAGATTTATCGGATAGTTAAAGTAATTGTTGCAATGTTATTTTATTAATGATATCAGAGGACGTTATGAGAGCAGAGTAGAAAGTGTCTCCTTGCTGCTCTAAAGAGTCTCCTTAGTTTGGCCTGGAAAGTTTTGTGCTGACAGAAACAGAACCAGAACAGAGTCTGGGCAAAAACTACTGTGAAATCAAGGCTCCTGCGCAGGTAAGGACTGCGTTATTTGCAGCTGACACCTCCCTGACATGATCCCAGCAACGTGGCCAAGGCCACAGCAGTCATTTCAGTGAAGGTACAGCAGAGACAACAGCTACCCCAGTTATGGTTTGCTTCTTATTAAACTAATTTTATTAAGGCACAGCCCCTGCATGGCTGTGGGATCTGCTTTTCTTTCTTGCTTGCTTTCTTGCTTTCTTCCTTGCTTTCTTTCTTGCTGTCTTGCTTTCTTGCTTTCTTTCTCTTGCTTTCTTGCTTCGTTTTCTCACTAAATTGGCGTTTTCTGTGCTTACAGTTAACGGAAATGGCAGCTCCTTCATGAAGCAGATGGTGTTTGGTGTGGTCACCGCGATGGACCTCCTCACCTTCGTCAGCAGAAACGACAAGAAGTAGGGCAGCAGCCTGGCTGCCCCGAGCCCCGTGCCTCCGGCAGGGTCAGCTGCTCCTCCTGAGCCCGAAACACGCGGCTGAAGATATTTTGTGGTCTAATCCATCTGATAGTTTCTCAAAATCAGTGAAAATTGTAATGTAATAACCGCCTGTCCGCTAAATGCCACCCAGAGTATCACTAAAGAGAAGCTAACCAAAGAAATGCCGTTTGATAGCCATGTGTGGTTACACGGAGCTGCCCAGGGCTGACGAGGTAACGAGGGGGTAGGGATAGGGTGGGGGTTTATGGTTACCCAGATTTTGCCTGGTTTGGGGTTTTGCTGTGTCTGCTGGCAGTAGCACTGAGGCCTCACAGCTGCCACGAGGAGGAGGAGGTCCCACCAGGGCTGGAGCCCAGCTCCAACACGAGAAGCTCGAGCCCTCCTGAGGGCTGGGGACACCACATCACACCCTCCTGCCCCTCGCCACCTCTCATAGCAGGGACAAAACCCACACAGGGCTGCAGGAAACAGCAAAAAAACACCAAAACCCAGGTCCTGCTGTGTGGGCAAGGAGGGAGCTGCTTCCTCCTCATGGACAAGGAGGGACAGAGCCTGGAGGTGTAGTGGGGTGGGATGTGGACCCCCACTAAGCACGGGGAGGGAAGGGACATCCAGGGGCTGTGCCGGGCAGGGGATGGGGGGTGGAAAGAGGGGCGAGGGGCTGGGCAGGAGGGGAAGGAGAGCTCCTGGAGGACCTGCAGGCCCTCGGAAAGCTCCCAGCTAGGGCCTGGAGGGCTGGTGGCACTGGGGCCTGCCACACATCCCCTGAGAAGGGGAGGCTGGTTCTGAGGATGTGATAACAGGGCGGGGAGATACGGCCACGTCCCAATTTCCTGCGTTATTCATCTCATGAATATTCACCCCGCGAGCTCACTATCAAGGGAGCAAAGGGGAAGGAGAGGCTGATCTTCCTTTTGCTGTCGGAGTGTTGTGTTCCGGGAACTGATAACGAAGGTCAGGAGGGCCATTTGCCGCCGCAAAAAAATGTAAATGAAATCAGATGTGAAAGGAGCGCTGTGGGAACCGGCTGAATTGCTGGGGGAGTTGCTCTCAAAACATGCCAAGAGCTTCGCAGTCTTTCCGTAAGTCTTGGGAACTGCTACAAGGGGACAACAACCACTGCTAAGTGCTCAGTCCGTATTTTGGATCTAATCTAGTTTGTATGAGATTTTTATTAAATTATAGAATGCTCAAGCATGTATCGTTGGGAATGGTGTCCCTGCTGTCTTTTGTTCCCTGAGTTACACACACTAGATCGGATCTGCAAGTTTTTGGTTGAGTTAATCACCATATTTGTCTGGAAAAAAAAAAAAAAAAAGTATAGACTGATGGGATCAACCTTACTGTGTGTTTTATTTATTTTCTCAGCTGTGCTGCAAACTGAAGGACATTTGGTGCCCAGCGCCCGTACATGAGGCAGCGGGCACAAAGTGGAGCCCAGGAGGCTCCCCCTGAGCAGCAGGCAGCACTTCTGTGCTGTGCGGGTGAGGAGCCCTGGCACAGGCTGCCCAGAGAGCTGGGGGGGCTCCTCCTTGGGATCTCCAAAAGCCACCTGGGCACAGCCCTGGGCAGCTTGCTCTCTGAATCCCAGAGCATGCTAAGCCCTTCCTGATGTCTGTAAGTGTAATCGTTCCCCCTGTGTAGCAGACCTGGCTGCAAGAGGCATGGAGGTTTCCCTCCTTCCTTCAGCCAGGGCATGTCTCTTGGCAGGGATCTCCCCTTTATTGGCCTCTCCCCTACAACACCCAGACCCCCACCCCCTAAGCAAGCACCTCGTTGGCACGGCTGGCATCCCAAGGGGACTTCACAAGGACATGGTAGCAGCCCGGACTTTTGCTGCCCAGAAACTTTCAGCAACACACACACTCCCTGCAGCGGAGCCTGAGCAACGGCGGTGCCAGCAGCGGCCGTGCCGCTGTGTGCTGGCTGGCAGCTGTGCAGAGGCTACGTGAGAGGCAGCTGCACTTCAGCACGGGGTGAAGTAACCGCCGAGCGTCAGCCCCGGTTTTACAATGGCTCCTGTATGCTGACTGTGAGTGTGGGAACGAGTAAAGGTTAGCGCAAGCCCCGGTCATTTTGGGATTGCTCCACCTGGGCTGGAGCCAGCCCCTCCAAGGCGTTCCCAGGGCTCCCCTTTCCACCCGGCAGAAATCAAACGTGCTGGAGGAGATGACAAGCCACCGAGTGCCGGCATCGCCCTCAGGGTAGGAAGGGCAGAGCTGGCCACAGGACGCCAGAGCTGCCTCTGCTGGGGTTCGTCCTGTGCTGTGGCGCTGGGGATGCAGACGTGCCCTGCAGCAGAGAGCCTGGCTGCATGGGACTGGCTGCTGCTCTCCTGCCCGCTGCCGCCACGGGGTGAAAAGAGCCTCAGCCTGCAGGGGAGGGTTTGTTTGCCTTGTCTGCAGAAAGCCCTATGGGACCTGGCTGCCCTGGGCAGCTGAGTGATGTGTGCTTGGACACCTGGGCTGGGATGGAGAGGACTGCATGGCCAGCTTTAGCAGGGTACGAGGCACTGCTGACAGCTAGCAGAGGAATGGGGATTTGCAGGCTTTAGGAGCCTTGGGAGGTCAGTGAGGACAGTGCAGGGGAACAGACCCTGGTCCTGCAGCACGAGCACACCCTCTTCACCCCATGCCCTCTGCTCCAGCAGTGTCTGGGAGCAGTGTCCAAACACTCCTTCAACTCTGGCAGGCTTGGGGCTATGACCACTGCCCCGGGGAGCCTGTCCCAGTGCCCGACCCCCCTCTGTGTGCAGACCCTTTCCCTAACCCCCAGCCTGACCCTCCCCTGTCCCAGCTCCATGCCGTCCCCTCGGGTCCTGTCGCTGTCCCCAGAGAGCAGAGCTCAGCGCCTGCCCCTCCGCTCCCCTCGTGAGGGAGCTGCAGGCCGCCATGAGGCCTCCCCTCAGCCTGCTCTGCTCGGGGCTGAGCAAACCAAGGGACCTCAGCCGCTCCTCATACATTGTGCCCTCCAGACCCTTCACCATCCTTGCAGCCCTCCTTTGGACACTCTCCAATAGTTTTATGTCCTTATATTGTGGTGCCCAAAACTGCGCACAGTACTTGAGGCGAGGCCCCAGCAGGCAGAGCAGCGCAGGCCAACCCTTCCCTTCAGGCAGTGCCATGATTGATGCACCGCAGGACACGGCTGGCCCTCCTGGCTGCCAGGGCACGTGCCTGGCTCATGTTCAATGTGCCATCAGCCAGAACCCCCAGATCCCTCTCTGCGGGGCTGCTCCCCAGTGTTTCACCCCCCAGTCTGTACATACAGCCACAGTCGCCCCATCCCAGGTGCAGGATCTGCCACTTGCTCTTACTAAACTCCACGTTCCCCTGCTCCTCACCCCATTGCTCTGCAAGGTGGGAGCACAAGCCCATTAGCACATCGTGCTAAAAAGCCAGCGTGATAAACATCTCCCCAGCCCTGCCCAGCCACCTTTTGTGCTGTGGAGGCTTCCCCGCCTCCCTCACCGGGTCTCACCACATAAATAGAGGGCCGGGTGCTGCTGGCCAGCACTGTGGCTCCTGCTCAGGGTCTGCAACACCTCGCACCCCAGCACCCATCCCGGCTGTGCTGCAGGTACCCAGAATTGGGGGGGGGACAGGGCAGGGGGTCTCTGAGTGGTATCACTGAGAAAGGGGGCTTGGGGTAAGCAAGAGGCTGTCGTCTCTGCATCCAGCAAACGGGAAATGCGATGTTTTGGTTTGGCTGGAAGTGGCCTCCGTAGAGGAAACCTAGGTAGAGTCTGAGTGAAACAAAAATGAAGTATTTTTGTTTAGAAGAAAAGTTGAGAAGTAATTGCAAGTAGTTGTATGTTTGCAAGAGGAGGCTCTCAGCTGCAGAGGACAGAGATAAGGACACAACCTTATTATTAACGTAATCAGAGGAGGCACTGGGGTGGTCAGAGGTGCCAGCCGTGTGGGCAGGTCATGGTGCAGCGGGATGCAAGGTCACTCCATTAGGGGCAGAAGAGATGGAAGTGCAGGCTGTACTTATAGAAATTTGTCTTGAAAATCTGTTGGTCTGAAAAAAAAAGGCCTAAAAAAATGCAAGAGCGTCAGTGTGAGCTGCCTGGCGGTGCCCTGCCCTCGGCAGTGATGGTGCCCAGGAGGAGAAAGCAAGCATGGGGATGGGATTTCACTGCTGTTAAGAGATCCCCATTTGAAAATGTAAAGCTGAAAACTGGAGGAGGCAGAGAAAGGAGTGCCAGAGAAGTGTCTGAGGCCTGAAAAATCTTCCATACAAAGTGAAGGCTTCAAAAAATTGAAACGAGGAGACTGGGTGAAGGAGCGAGTTGGATAGAAAACATGGGCTGAAAGCTTCCAGGTGGCTAAGGGCACAGCACAAGGGGTCAGGAACTAAAAGCTTGGCACATTTAGTGGAGAAACACAGTCCACAGTTATGGCAGTGTTTCCTCATATGTCCAAGACCAAATATCTCCCAGGAAAAAGTAGCCATTAGGGTGTTAATTACCTGGACATCAGGGGCTTGGTGTGCCCATGCCTAGTGTGATGCCTGCACTGATTTTTTTATTTATTTTTTAATTTATTTTTTCTCCCCAACAGCATGACTCCTGCTGGTATACTCTGCCTGTGGCTGGGCTGCCTCCTGCTCTGTGGCGCTGCCTCAACACCTATCTGTGACCCCAGCACCTGCTCACCCTGCTCTGAGCCCACCCCTGTGGGCTGCTGCCCACCCTGCACCCCTCCCTGCGCCTGCCCCCCCTACCTGGAGGATGACTGCGAGATGCAAGGCTTCACTGACAACCGTGTCCCCGCCGGCCTCTCCTTCTACATCGACTTTGCCCGCAAGCTGTGCACCTGCCAGCCCAGCGGGGACATCACCTGCGCCCCGCACTGCCCCTCAGTGCCCCCCACCTGCCAGGCTGTGGGCAGCCTGGTGGCCGATGGCTGTCCCCTCTGTGTTTGCTATGACAAGGAGGAGGTGGCAGTGCCTGCTGGCACCGTGGTCTCCCGGGGTGCCCAGCTCTGCAGCTGCCCTCCTGAGGGGGGACGGCTGCAGTGCGGTGATGGGGTAGAGGTGTGAGATGCCCACGCTCTGCCAGCCGAGGGCAGAGGGATGGGAAAGCCTCCTGGGGAGCAGGCAGCTTTCTGCTCCTCAGGGCATCCCTGCTGGAAGGCGTTCAATGCGTCAAACAGCCCTAGAGGGGCTGGCATTGAGTGTGTCCCTGCCATCGGCTGTGGGGAGATGCCATCCTGTATAAACCAGGGTGCAGTGCCTGTACTTGGCAACGTTTCCTTGCGGCTTGGTCTGCTCCACGGTGGCTGGCAGATTGGCTGGGGTGACTGCAGCCAGCACGCAACTGAAACAAATTGCAGCTATTTATTTATTTGTGAGATGATTGTGCTTTTTTGCGTGTGTTTGTTTATATAGTGTGTCTTGAGTCAACATGCTGGATAAACTTCCTTGCAGGATCCAGCTTCTCCCTTTCTGTAACTCCATCAAATTCAAAGTGGTGGGACCACAATCAGGAGATTTGTTGACATTCCCTTCTCCCAGGTGTTCCTCCTCTTCCTCACACCAGAGTGAGGTTGTGGGGATTAGGAGGGTTGGTGCGTGGCAGTGTCCTTAGGAGGTGGCAAACCTCCAGCCTCCAGAGCAAAGACATGAAGAATCACGCTGAGGACGTCAGCAGCCATGGAGCAATCCTTTGTGGCCACCTCTGTGAAGCAGCTCCCTGGCTCTGAGCCCATCACCAGTCCTGTCTCTGTCCTGGTTCAGCACAAATACCCCAAATTGTGCCCTCCTCACTCACACTCTCTCCTTCCCACTGCTGGAAACAGCAGAAGAGTGTTCTCTGAATGCTTCAGAGCATCTGTTTAGATATGTTTATGTACATATATCTATATATATGCAGGAAAACTGTAATCAAACGCAGCTTCATCAGGCTGAGCTGTTAACAAATGTCAGTTGTGTTTCTTTGAGGGTTGAATAAAAACCGTTTCACTAACAAACTTTGTGAAATCTTTGTTGATAAACACACGCATACCTAATGCCTTAAGCATTAGCTGATGTTACTGTGTCGAGACAAGCCTCCCTCCAGCCACCTGTGCCCCAGGTACACCTGGAACATGAAGCATGCCTCCCCACCCCTGTTTCCTAACCTTGCGGGTTAGGAAACAACAGCTCTTGCTTTCCTGTGGGTTTCTGAGGCAGGCATTGTGAGAGAAGTTAGAAGGCGATGTGCTGAACTTTGCCAGACACCATGAATCATGCAGTCAGCACATACCTCTTCCCCTACTGATTTCATCACAGCTGAGCTGTGGGAAGGGTGACAGAAATAACTCTCTCCACTCACGGAGTAAGAGAAGACCCCGCAGACAGCTAACCCCTGAAAGATAAAAACAGAAAGCTGGGGTGCGCCTGTGTCTCCACAGCATGGCTGAGGCTGGCAGGGACCCCCGGAGGCCACCTGCTCCAAGCCCTGCCCAAACAGGGCCACCCAGAGCAGGCTGCCCAGGGCCAGGCCCAGGCAGAGATCCCCAAGGAGGAGCCACCCCAGCTCTCTGGGCAGCCTGTGCCAGGGCTCCTCACCCGCACAGCACAGAAGTGCTGCCTGCTGCTCAGGGGGAGCCTCCTGGGCTCCATTTTGTGCCCACTGCCTCTTGTCCTGGCACTGGGCACCACTGAAAAGGGCCTGGCTCCATCCTTGAACCCTCCCTTTGGGTATTTATGGACACTGATGAGATCCACCTGAGCCTTCCCTTCTACAGGCTGAACAGCCCCGGCTCTCTCAGCCTCTCCTCACAGGATAGGTGCTCCTGCCCCTCGATTACCTTAATGGGGGCCCGTGACAGGATTCTTTCTGCTATGTCCATGTCTTTCCTGTACTGGGGAGCCCTGAACAAGAGAGGCGGACATACTGTAGCGTCCTCCTTGCGCCAAACCCTCCTCCAGCAGAGGGTAGCGCAGCACACACACGTGTGGGAAGTGACAGTGCAAAATGTTAGAGCCCTGGGCAGCAAACAGCCCCGTCCGAACACCAGCTGGGGAGGATGAACCTCTGGATTCATGCATGTCCTTCCCGTGGTCACAGTGTGCTCTGTCATGGGGAATGGTATTTCACCCAGCGCCCCTTCCCCTCCCCAGCTCTTCTCTGTTGGCTGGAAGGTCTCTCTGAGTAAAGACAAAGCTCAGCAGTGCCTGGTGGAGCAGGCAGCAATGTGAACATGGCAGCGAGGCCAAGCTCTGGGCTCACCCATTGCAGGGTGGGTGAGCGCGGCCTGGTCTGCTGCTGAGCCCAGGAGCGCGAGGAATGCCGTGCGTGGCAGGCTTTAACCCTGTGCTATGCCAGTATTTAGAAATACCCGAATGAATTCACACCCTGGACATGTTTTTAAGTTGTGACTTTTTCAGTCCATGGGGTTAGCTGGCTGTCTTTCTCGTTTGCCAAAGGTTTACAGAAATCGGGGTCAGTCCACAAGTGCAGCGTCACGAGCGGTCTCTGCAGGCACGAATTTCTCCTCCTGGGGCGGGTGGCAGTCTGCTGAGCTTGGCTTGGTCTTTGCCTCGCATCTTATCTGCCCCTCGTGCGAGACTGATAACCTTTTCAAAGCAAAGACTGACGGCAAGGACTGGATAACACGGCTCTTGTGCCTGTCTGCGTAAACACCAGGGGCGGCACAGGAACAAAGAGCAGCCCCTCTTCAAACAGCTGTGGCAAAATTAGCCCTGAAAACTGCAACTCCTGGAAAGAATTGATGTTGCACGTAATGCAATCAAGTCTGAGGGGTTGTTTGTGCCCTTTGGCATCCCGCAACTTTGTGAAGGATCATCACTGCTGCTTAGGTGTTTGTGAAACCAGTGAGGCCTTTCTTCACCGCGTTACAACGATTTGAATAGCACCGTGTTTGGGGCTTAAGTCCTTTCAGCATGCCCTCTCAATTCCTGCCTCAAGAAGCTGTAAAACATTAGAGAAAAACAATATTCATGCATGAAAGCTGATTAGGAGGTGTCCTTTTGGCACCACACCACCCAGTGCCAAGAAACTAAGGTATTTGCCCAGGTCCTTCCACCTTTTTGGGCAGCAGGTCAGGACAAACTGCTCTCTGTGTGGGTATTGCACAGGCTGGCATCCCTGCTGCTCTGCTCCCCCAGCTGCCTCTGTAAAACCAGAGGAGCCGACACGGGGATTATGTTGGCCGAAACTGCAGAGCAGCAGGTGAGGGGATACATGAGCAGAGGGATTTAGCAGGCAGGAGTTTCAGGGCAAAACCAATATGCACTCAATACAGCATGTATTTTACTTCTGAAATTCAAAATGGAAATGGATTTTTTTCTGATCATTTTTTAAATGTAATTTCTTTAAAGATTTGCATGATTTACTATTTTGTAAATCATGTAAACCATGTTTCCCTAACCAGTGCATAGTTTGTGATGCAGAGTATTAAAATATGCATATTTCTACACCTAAGACTTTTAATGGGGGAGAAGCAAACATCATTAAAAAAATGCCCTATCACTACACTCCATGACAGAGTCCATCCCCAGCTTTTCTGCAGGCCCCTTTAGGCACTGGAAGGCTTCTGTAAGGTCTCCCTGGAGCCTTCTCATCTGCAGGCTGGCTTCATGGGAGAGGTGCTCCAGCACTTCGATCAACTTTGTGGCCCTCCTCCAGACTTGTTCTAATATTTCAATTTCCTTCTTGTGCTGAGGGCCCCAGAGCTGAATGCAGTGCCCCAGGTGGGGTCTCAGGAGAGCAGAGCAGAGCAGAGGGGGAAAATCCCCTCCCTCACTGCTGGCCATGCTGCTTTTGATGCAGCCCAGGATGCGGTTGGCTTTCTGGGCTGCAAGCACACGTTGCTGGCTCACATCAAGCTTCTTGTCAACCAACACCCAACACCCCCAGGGCCTTCTCCTCAGGGCTCTCTTCAATCCACTGAGCTGTTGCTCTTTGAGTGTGACCATCCAGCCGATTCCTCATTCACCGAGTGGTCAGTCTGTCAAACCCAGATCTCTGCAATTTAGAGACAAGGATATTGCGGAGACAGTATCAAATGCTTTGCCCAAGTCCAGGTAGATGGTGTCAGTTGCTCTTCCCCTGTCCACCACTGCTGTAATCCCATCACAGAAGGCCACCAGATTTGTGGTCAAGCACTCTTGTTCCAGTACAAAAATTCAGAGAGACTCCAGTAACAGAATACCCTCTAGAAATTTTCTTTCTGGCCTCAATTTGGATCTTACGCATGGAAACATATGTACTCATCCATGTCTTTGAAAAAGCTACCAGAACACTAATCAATGTTGTTTATGGAATCACACACATAATTAAGTCTCCTTGCCTGAAATTAAAAGCGGCCTAAATCTTAACGATGAAACAAACTTCCAAACTGAGCTATGCAGAAATGTATAACATAACTTGATGGACACTAAAGTATTGAGAGTCTCTGAAGTTAGCAGCTCACAGTGAAAGGCTGCAGGTGGAAGAAGGCACAGGAAAGGTTAAGTGGCAAAGAAAAAACAGCATATAAGTGAACCTGTGATTTCTTATGTATGATCTGTATAGTTTTCATTACTATGGAAAATCTAGTCTTAAAAAGGTTTGGATCTTAACAAAAATTGTCTCTGAATTCAATTTTATTACAACATTTACATTTAGTATATGCATCAGTCTGTATTTAGGGTACAGTGATAGATTTAGCAAAAAAAAAGCATGCTAGGAATACTGGCCAGGAGAAGGCCGTCAGACCGAACCTTCTGCCTTGTGCTGGTGGTGACACAGAAGTCGGAAGACCAACAGAGAGATAAGTATTCATGTTTTTTTCCCCCCCCAATTTCCTCCATAAGCTTTAGATGGCATCTCAGTTGCAGCAGGAAGATGAGCCATGCCTGACCTAGGAAGGACGCATTGCCCTTAGAATTTAGTGGGGTAGTAAAATGGTGGGGTTTTATTGATGTTTTGTTAATTTTTAAAATTATATTTATTTAATAGAGCACAGGTGTAATGCTGCATACCTTGTACACTCTGGCAATGCACAAATTTCAATCTAGATGTTGAATAAATAGTGCCTGGTGTGCCAACCTTCCCTGGTACTTTTTGCGGTATCCTCTATTTGCAGTGCACGTCTGGAGTTTATTTTTCTTCTTTTTGGCATTGAAGGTACTGCTCTGGTTTTCTACAAAGAGGGGCATTTAGAAGCAGCCCTAAGTTGGATAATAAAGGATTAGCATTTTGTAAACAGGTGCTCCATGAAAGCCAACACGCTAATCAGCTACTCATGATTACGCTTCCAATCCCTGTTGTGCCTTCATCTGGCAGGGGAATTTGAGACCAAGAGACCAGGAACATGCTCTTCTGGCTGTAACTCAGGTACAAGCATCTCCTCTTTTTTGGTTTTTGGTTTTGGTTTCCTTGAAAACAGTCAATTATGCCTAGAATCACATGCTCATCAGTGCAGGAAGACAGCTGTTGTGCAGTTGGTCATGGAGCAGATGGAGGCCCTGACCTGGTCACCTGAGCAGTTTTGACATGGCCCATGAGATCCCCAGGAATCTGTGAAGGTGCCCACACCCTGCCGTGACCTCCATCCTGCTGTCACCCAAGGGGACGGGTCTGCCAAGCAAGGCACAGCCACGCGAGGCAGGCTGTCTGTCTGCATCTGTGCTGAGTAAGACGTGCACATCACATGAGTTTGAGTTTCTTGCTAGAGGAGGTGCTATCTTATCTGTCATTAGGCTGCTGCTCCCTTCCTGACGATTCCTGACCTAGCAGGACATGATTTCAGGAACGTGTTACAGTCTACCCTGCTGAACAAGTCAGCAGACGGGGCTGGTACCGGAGAATTCTTTTCAAATAAGTATATATACCATATATGGTTGGAACCATTATTGGAAGTTTGATGTCCATGCCATTTTAATTAACAGTTTTGAAACAACAACAAAAAGAAACCCCAAAGTCACACACATTATGGACTATTTACCTGCTAATTCTCTTTCATCAAAGCTGCTCCTGCGTTACAAAAGCATAATAAAAATCCCCATACTGTTAAGGGCTAGTAAACATTTTTCTTCATTTGCATAAACAGGAAAACCCAAACAAACAAAAAGGCCCAAGACTGACTGCCCCTGGCCAAAAACTGGTTAAATAGTTTGAAACTCAGCTCAAGATTTCTCAAAACCGTGTCTTTCAGCCAAACAATACTGCTAAAGTAACGCGAATGCTTCACTTTAAAAATGTGCTTTTCCAGTTCACAGAGAACAGTAGTGTAAAAATAAGTCATCCTTGAAGCACATTCTGATTTTTAATTTTATCCTTCGAGAGATTGGTTGCTTCAAAAGTCTCTTAACAACTGAGGGCTAAAAAAAGTTACAGGTTTACATTTTAAAGATTGTCCATTGTGTAGACCAAACGTTGCCAACCCACTGGCAGATTTATGGGCCACTTCTGTCATGATCTGAAAACGCTGGATTCGATTTACACAAGGTAAGGATCTTTATAGTAGTCTACAAAGTTGGTAAGGCATTTCACTGCTTTCTCGCACATTGCTTTTCGCTGGCAAAAAACAGCTGTGATCACTCAGCAGGTCCTAAATAACCGAGTCACAGAAAAAAAAAAAAAGAAAGAAAAAGAAAGAACATTTTTATATTTCCAGGTGACAAGAACAAACAAGTAACATGATTTGGGCAATCACTTGAGAGCACATTAGTGCCAATTTCACTACACGTTACATTGGGTGACCGAGTTACTTCAGGACTTAAAATTAAACAACCCAGAACCGATTGAAAGCACTCAGCAAGCCCAGGAGGGGCGCGTGTGGAATCCGCACCGAGGGGGAGCTTGGCAAAAACCAGCCAGCTTTGCTCTCCAGCTACCCTGGACAGTAAAGAGCTGAGAGTACTCAGCCCACGGCTGATGATGTGACGTTACAATTAAACTTGCATTGTCATGGACGTGCTCTGGTTTTAGGAGGTGGTGACAGTTTCAATTTATTCTTAGGAAACCAAAACATTTCAGGTAATTGTTTCACATGCAAGGTTTTCATGGGGGAACCAAGTTCAGTTACATTTCCAACAGGATTCCAAAACTACATTTCTTGCCTATTCAACTCTGAAAACCAAGCTGAATATAAGGCTGAAAGGCTTAAAAGATCAGTCGAAGTAACAGAAGCCAGAAAGACAACAACGATATAGCACCTAAAAATGGGAGATTCACACAACGTTTTTGACATTCATGTCTTGCATAGACAAATGCTTATTAATTTTTTTTTTCCCCCTCAGGACAACTCAGCTTCAGAAAATAAATCTTAAATCAACTTTAATTACAGTTAAATGCGTGTGTTTCAGTTTTCCAAAATACATTATTTTCTTTTTAACTGCTGCTACAAGTGTAATAGTTTTATGAAGCTCTCCTCCCTTGGAAAGACTGTTTCACCCTTTGGGGCTGTCAAGTTCATGAAGCCAGGAAGCTGAACTGCTTTCTAATCCTCTTTCCCCACGTGATTAGAGAAACAAACAGCTCTATTATTCATGCAGTAAGTCTCCGTGGCCCTGCTCCAGAAGAAGATCCATAAACCTGAAGCTACTTTTAGAACAGAGGAACTGGGAACTCTCATCCTTCAGTGTGGGTCTGTCTTCTGGCCATGTTTCCACATCAAAACGATGCACTGTGCACAGCAGAACCACATGAAGTTCTTCCCTTCTAATCCCTTCACCCACAGGCTGGTTTCCTCTGCAAGAAAACCTAGGCATGCAGGCAGAAGCAAGCTGAAGGGCTTTCCAAGAGGTTCCCACTCATGATCAGGGACCAGAAGAGGGAAGCAATGCTTTTGCAGGTAAATGCAGCCCCACGTGCAGCCCTTACAGAGTTTCCCTGAGGTCAGCTGGACTCCACTTTGACCCAATATCCGGATCTAGGAAAGTCTCTGCAGAGCCAGAGCCATGCCTATCAATTATGTCTTCCAACATTTTTAATTTTTTTTTTTTGAACAGTCATTTAAAAATACATACTGACCAATTTGGAATTGATTTACTAAATAAAGTTGTTTCCAAAGATACAAAATAATGGGAAATCAGCTTGCTTGTCACAGAAGTCTTGGGAAAAGTGGACTGAAAACTCCGTTTTGGGTTAATGATCTAGATTACATTGGGAAAAAGTAAAGTTTCAATAATTATGTTTGCATAAGAATTGCAGTAATTTAAAAACCAAATTAGCTCTTCTCTTGCCTACCAATACAACTTTAATTGGGGGTAAGGGGTAATTATACATGGGTTTAATGTTAGGTTCTCTATGAAGACTTTGTACATAAGTGCCTAATGTAAACATTTTTTTCCAACTACCACAGAATAGTGATGCTTTGTTTAAACCAGCAGTCTTTCTTACACAGCAAAAAAGGAAGCACATTTTCTTCTAAATTGTGAAAAGACAGCTGCATGTCTAGGCAGCTCATACCCCTGCTCTCACCAAATTAAAAGACAGGGTTTGAGTTCCTCATGTTAAGTAATCTCTTGGATTATACTGGTAACTTTTCCAATTTTCATAATTGCGCACATTTGTGTTTCTAATTTGACAGGAGAACTACTCCATATTCTCCCTTTCATAGGGGCTTCCATCAGCTTCACTTTCCAGGTATTTACCAACCAGCTAAAGACAAGGTGACAAATGTGAGACAAATGATCTACGAACCCCAGTTTAGTTTGTGCTTCCCTTTGGTGCTGGCTGCTTGCTGCCCTCCTAGATCTGCTGCTGAGCCATTTCCTTGCCTACCTTCAAGCCGGTGAGGAAAGTGCTGCTGTTGTGCACTGATAACTGGTCAAGGAGGGAAAAGGCAGTGAGAAATGACTTGTTCTTCTAGCATAGGCTGATTTGGAAAAGCACAGATTTGACCATAGCCCTGCACATACCGAGAAGTCATTACTCGGCTGCCTACAAGATACAAAAATCACCACACTATTACATGTGGAGAAGGGTAGCTGAATAATCCCCCCAGGGAAATCAAAAAGCATAGCCAATTACACAATGGAAACTGTGAGGGTGATGAAGTACTTGCAGAGTTGTAAAAAAAATAAAAAAATAAAAATAAAAATCTGTCTCTCAGTTCTCGTCATCTTAGGTATCCTTTGTAGGAGCACTGGGTTGAATGTTTCCAGAGGAGCATGATTTGCACATGATAGCTTTCTTTTAAATGTATTTTCGGGTTGAATTGGATTTGACAATAGCTTTTGGGATAGTTATGCTTTGTCAAAGTCTTCCTAATTAAATCTTACATGAATCATTTCCAAGTTATGCTCTTTACAAACATGTCACATTAGTGGCAAAGTAGAGAACTTAGAAGAACAAAATTCTTTAGAAATTATCACTCCAGCAGGAACAGATCATTACAGTCTTTGAACTAGGAAGCAAAATCCTCAGTCATGAATAAACGAAAGCTATTGCAGAAACATCACTAGTGATGAGTAAAGCCCAATTTGTCAAAACAGCTACCAGTCACTTAAAACTAGTATCATTCTCCTTGTATGTGTACCAGTGTTATAGACATTTCTTTCTGAAGTTTTTCTTCATACCAACTTAAACATGACCTGTAAGACAGTCGTTAAAGACCTCCTTTCAAGCATTTAAGCATATAAAAAAGTACATGCTTGAAAATCCCACTGAAATCAATGGGACCTAAGCATATGCCTGAGTATTTTGTGAAACAGAAATTTAAGTATTCAATTAAATATTTGCATCTGCTAGAGAGTTCTGCTCAAATACAATGTCTAAAGCTTCCATAAGCTAACATCCTTTTCCCTGTCATGTTAGAAATGCAACTAGATTTGATCTAAACAAGAGATTTCTGGCTTTGTTCTAATCCAACAGAGGGACAAAGGGACAGGGGAAAAGAGGATGCTGATCATACTGTGAAGACTCTTGGCGTCTGTTATTTCTATTTAACAATGGGAAATATGAAGTTCCAAGAGTGAGCGTTCATGGATGAACAGAAAGACTCCAAACTTTGGGGGAAAAAATAAAAGGACTATTACCACAAAAAGTGTTTTCATCATTAGCTCTTAGATTTTAAATGACAATAGGATTTTCTACTCTAATAAAGCCTGCTGTATACTCTTGTAGTGACCTTCAGATTTGAAATTTTTTTTACAGAAATCCATAAATTATATGTCTTTTTGTATTGGGGGAAAATATTTCAAATGCAATGAAATAGTGATAGCAGAATTCATGACTGTATAGTACATATCTTTTCACTTTTCAGAATCAGATGTACAAACTATAAACTCTTAAATTTCTCTAATAACCGGAAGTGTCGTAGGCATTTCAGTTTACTTACCTGAATACTCATTTAGCAAATATCTTCAGATACAAGTCTAGATACAGAGTTAATGTAATTTGAATATTAGTTTACACATAATATAAATCAATGTTTGACAATATCAAAATCCCATCAAACAGTGGGCCCCTTCTTATGCTATTATCAAATATACTATATCACTGTGGGATAGCTGAGAATCATAGAACGCTAGTATAGGTTTGTTTATTAAATTTGGTCAGTTTTCAGACCTTCCAAATAGGAATACTAAACATTTATTTTTCCCCTCTGGAAATTCTTTTTTTTTTTTTTTCCCTCCTGCGTAATACAGTCGTCATCCCAATTCCTAATGAATTTATAAAAATATTTTTTATCCAATAACCCCGGCAAGGTAAAAATAGGAGTTTTTATAGCAAATGATAAACAGGCTCACGGACTATGAGAGAAACTAAACTTATTTAAGTTGCCATACATTCGCTACCGAATCACACATCACCATTTTCTTTTTGTGTGTGTTGCTGTCCACCTCAGACTAGCAGTTTTTAAGGTGCAGAAGCATCTTTCAAATATATGCATCAAACTTAATGATCAATTTCCACACACTAGTGTCACATGCTTTAAATTTACATCACCTGCCCATCAAGAGCTGTGTTAAATAACAGCACTAATTGAAACTGCATAATTCTTTAGAAACTGCAGCACTTCCAATTCAGAGAATAAAGGGGTGCTAACATGGTTCTTTATATTACTAGATATAATTTTCTGAAATAAGAAAATTAAAAGAAATGAAAAAACACATTTGAAAGAAGTTGCTGCACCTGCAAAAACACTCTTTAAGCTTACTATGAAATACAAAAAAGTGCACCCTTCTATATCTACATATAAAACATATTAGAAATAAAACTTGTGTAAAATGTTTGCTGTGCAAACTATAAAAACAGTCAGTCAGTCCATTCTTTTTCCTAAACGTTTTGTCACACTCTCTTGCTTCCTACTGCAGAGAATCGCTGTTATCCAAAACCAGCCCACTGATATTTGTCGTTGAGAGATCTCCTCCATCATCTTCACCGCTGTCTACAGACTCATCCTCACTCTGCCCTGCCATCATAACTTGCTGAACAGCCAAAGTAGCACCATCAGATGACAAGGACTGGAGACTGTCTACATTCATGTTGACTGGAGCTGTAATTGTTACAACAGCACCTGCAGAAGCACAATCGTAAAAGTTTAGCATCTTTCTTGGTTTCTCAGTTTAAGCTATACATATGTATATGTAACAGATTTTGTTTCTAATTGACAGGAAGGAAAGCTAAAGAATGAAATTAGAATAAAAGCTAAACAGATTGTTTTACACTTAAATGTTAGGAAATGCCAGAATTAAGTTGGCCAAGAATCTTAAAGGTAGCTGTGTTCTGGACACTCATTACAGGAATTCTCCAATCTAGTCATCACAAGAGCATTTCTGCAGAGTATTACAGATTAATTAATTGCAGAAAAGTGGGAGTGTTCATAAAGATCCAAGGTGACTTAAATGGATAAAGCTGTTGTCAGATTCAGCAAAGACTGTGGGAAAGGCTGCTACAAGATTGTGACAAATAAAGCAGCAGGCTGCAGGAGAGAAAGGATGGTCCTGAGATTAAAGCAGTTAGATTCAATTTAAGAAAGAGAAGTATTTGTTTGATCTGATGCTAGGGAAGTTACTTCAGTCAAATTCTTTGGAAACTATTGTATGTCTCTGCTTCCCAATGCTCAACTTGAAACACATGAGGCATATATAGAACTGCAGATGCTCAGCCCCTCTAGCAATAGCGAAAGGAATGCAAACTGTATGGGGAGTCATGAAGCTGAAAGAGAAGTCCTGCTAGTCAAACAGAATGCTAGCGATGTACCTAACACTTACTGAGAGAACTTATGTGAGCATCTAACCTTTACTCTGTCATTTCATAACTTTTGAAATAAAAGCAACAGTCTCAGAACATAGATTCTAATAAAATACACCCCAAACCCAGAAAAAAACAAAGGATGGAAAAAAGATCACACTTTTTGTTATGCTTTTCCAGATTAAAAACGTAGTCATGCTGAAATATCAAGAAGCTCTCCCGCCAGATGTATCAACCCCTTTGTTTGCCTGGTACAGAGGAATTAACTCTATTATCTGTGTTCTTGCCAGTTCTCCTTACCGTCTGACATTGTGAGCTCATTAGATTGCTGCTGAGCAACTCCTGAGGCAATGGAGTCAGGCCAGAACCTCTGAACCGGTCTGTTCTGAGCTGTTTTCTTCTTTGTTTTTGGAGTTTCAGAACAACTGGAATCCAGCATTGGCTGAAGAATTCGCCTTCTAGCATTGATAAACCTAAACACAATCAAAAGTAAGAAGTACTTATAACCTGAAGGCAGTGGATGTTCTCTCTCTCTCTTGGATTCACAAAGTATGAAGTAGAAAAAAATGGAAATAAAAAACAAAACAAAACACAAAACAGAAGTATGAAACCTGCAGAGTGTCAATTCTCCCTCCCAGCTCCACTTGACATTCTTTTTTTAGCATGTAAAACTTGAACTCCTAGAGCACTGGCATCATTCGATATTGGCAAACTAGCTAAGCAAGTACTTCTGTTGTTTTGCTGCTAGCAGCATTTTCCCCCAGACCTCAGCTACGGAAACTCTCCAGACAGCATGACAGACATAAGTTTCAAGATCTTATTAAAAGCTAAGCACCAGAAAAGTTGCTGACAGCACAATTCAGAAAGCTGATACTCTACTAATGATACTCTCATTAGGGTTCACCTAAAATCTATCCCCATTCTAACCTAGTTTGTTTGGTCTGGTTTCATTTACTTCCCTAAGCTCCAGACTTAATTATTTTATAGGCTCACTAGCTTTCCCAGGCCTGGTTCCTGATCCAGAAGACAATACTAAACACATTTTTCAGATCTCATCCAATTCCTTTTCATTCCCCAATTTCCACTTGTTCACTCCAGCATGCTAATTATCACTCTTTCCCCTTTCTGCTAGTGAACAAGACGGTATTTAATCTGCATTTCACTTGGCTACTAGCAGTTAAGCAAATTAATTTTGCTGTAGGTAGCTGTGGCAAGAAGGAGCTGTGACTGAGGACAGCATTTCCCACTAAGTCTGACAAAACACATCCAGGACCCATCTTTACCTGCAGTGGGAGGAAGCCGAGTGCAGCTGGCAGGTCCACCTAGCGAGCTCAATGCTTTGTGGAGACTTTAGCCCAGAGCTCCGTTACTACTACGCCATGCAGACACAATTACACTGATCCACTCCTGGAGCCACTGCACTGCCACTAGCACGTGTATTTCCCCACTGAACCCCTCTGCAGCCATGCAGCCAGCATCAGCTTTGAAACCTGAGGAAGATCCCTCCTGGACTTTGCTGCAATGATTTTAGGAACCAACACCGTAGGCAGAATAGGATGCATGTTGGCACCCTCACTCCTCTTCTGCAAGGGCAGGCATGTTATCTTAAGCCTGTAGTGCACTTCAGACAGACTAAAACATATTGAGCCACGAAACAGAGTAGTTGAGACAGCAGTTGACACTTTCCATTCACCACTGTTTAGGGGATAGCATCATTTGATAGAAGAGCAGAATGAAGATCTGTTGACAGTAATATGCAGCCATAATTACCAGGAACACTTTTCAGAGCCTCAAGTCACCAAATCCCTTTAAAATTGAAATTTGTTACTTGCAGAGGAGATGTGAGAGTACTTCCATCTCTTTCAGCGGTAGAACAGAATGTAATTCTTAACGTTGCAAATTTTTCTCAAGTCCTTACATAACTTAAGTGGCACAAGCATTATTTTACCTTATAAAAAAAATAAGGTGCCTGTGTATCAATACATAATTCCTGTATTTTTATATACCTATTAGTCTTTACATATATGTAGTGCAGAACAACAAATTCAAACCCTGATGCCTAAGTCACACTCGTAAGTATTTCTGTCTTGCAAGGATGTGGAGACAGCAACTGACATTAAGGAAGAGTTTTTGCTCTTACCAGTTGTTAACCTGGAGTAGTGTCAGATTTGTTTGTGCTGCAATCTGTTTCTTCTCATCTTCTGTTGGATATGGATGCTAAACAGGACAGAAAGAGGGAAAAAAAAAAAGCACAACCTTCTGTTTTATTTTGCCATCAAAAATAAGGACTCCTTTATTACAACTGACTAAAGCTATCTCATTCATTGCCAGCAACCTTAAGAAACCTCACAAACTTTTATAGATAAAAATCATTTAACAAAATGGGCTTTACTACACAAAACTGTTTTTACCCTTGAAAGAATATATCATACCATCAAACTGTTGATGTCTAAATCGGAAGAAAAAGATTTTCATGGATGCCAACCTTTATTCAACAATGTGATCTCTGGGCATCAGGCATGTGATATGATCCAATTAGTTATGCAGTCTAAGGGCAATGTCATATGAGAGTTCTGACAAGCCTTTCTAGTTAAAATAAGCTTCCATTAGCTCAATGGGCGAAAATAGTGTACGTAACGTAAGAAATGTGCATGAACTTTCCCTGTTTCAATTTTTCTGTTTGAAATAGTTTTAAAGACTGAAAATATCAACCTACAAAACACTGGAATATAACTTGAGAGCTGTTTATCCTTTGAGAATAAATATTTATACAAAAAAAAGACATTCTACTGTATGCACAAGTAGATAGTAACACATTTGGTACATATTAGGAGGGTTCTTGAAAAGGAGAGACAGTCAGAAAACTCGAAATTCTCCTCCAGAAACAAAAAACAGCAGCAGCAGCAACAAAACAAACAAGCAAAAACATAAAACCACAGCCACAGATGGAACTATTTTTCCTTGTACTATGGACCAGGGTGTTGAGAGCAGTAAGTTCTCAACACAATGAAATGAAGAAAGATCCCTTTTACAAACATTTGAGCTCACAGGGTACAAATGTAACATACTGATTAAAATAATAAAATCAACTGACATTAGGCTCTGTGGAACTACTGCAAATGACTTCAGGAGAAATTGAACTGGGATTATGCAAACAACACCAACAAGTTCACCTTCCTTATGAAGCAATATCATAAGAGGCTGCATAAAAAGAGTTACATAAAAACCCACGACCATGTTCAGTCCTTACCCCTATGTGCTGAAAAAGCCAAGATCTCATCACATTTGTAGCGTGCTTGGGAAGAACTCCTCTTTTATTTTTTGATGAGCCATCATCTTGATGCAAGATGCCTAGATCTTGGTTTAATTGCAACTGAAGCTGCATATACAATTTTAAAAGAAATAAGAAAGTTAGCATAGTAATAGCAGTATTGTGTATCAATATGGGAATAAGTCATTTAGATAAGGAATGAAAAGAAATTGGGCTGTAGGCATACTTATTATAAAAAAGTTTTAAAAGTTCCAAAATGTCTTTATCGAGGGAAAATGATGTATCAGGTTTCTGTAGTTCTCACATTTTCTGTAACTTTCCTGTTTTAAGAATTGCAACTGTTATCAGGGTGTGTACCTGATCTTGTGGCAAGAGCCAGTGATTTTCTGTAATTAAGAATAAAGCCCACCCACGTGCTAGATGTCAGGTTAATGATCCTCTTTACTGATTTGTGCTACGTTAGGGTTTCAATTGACTTTTCACCCTACCAAGTCATTTGTACAAATGAAGAACACATGAAAAATGTTATGCTGAATATACCCACTATGTGCAAGCATAAGCAACTATAGAGGCTGTAAAATAATAAAGATTTACGACTTAAGCTAAGGGCTTAAAGTAAAATTAATTATAACACTTGAGTTGCAAACAAAGGTGCTTAAGGTCCTGCTAAATAAATGAATCTAATTCTCAAGGAGCAAGAAAATAAACGTCAAAGACTAACAAGGGGAACAGGTTCCAGCTACTTTAGAACTCTTAATTCATTTTAGGAAAACAGTAGGAGCGCTGTGAAGTTTCGTAGTTTTGCTTTCTTTTTCGCTTTCTGTTGATATATCAAGTTGTTTGCCTATTGGTTATCTGAACATTAGGGGATATGTTCTTAAGTGCTTAGGCAGAGATAATGAGAAACACAAACCTCATATGCAATTTATATTCTATTTCAGACAATTATAACTCATATCATTCTAAATCAGGTTTTCCAAACAACAGGGAGCAATTTCTTCAGGCCAGTCATTATGTCTACATCCTGTATGAAACAAACCTAGCTCAGAAATGACATTTAAAACTTAAGTCATCCAATTACCACAAATACATATTTGGAACATAGTTTTATTTGCAAAGTAATGTTTTACTTTCTAAATAATCTGTCTGCATATGGAGGCTTTATAATGAACTTTCAAATAAGCCTCTCCTGTTATTTCTTGTCTACATCCACAGCACTGTGGAACACTGAAAAAGAACTTCAGGAGGTATTTCCTGTGGGTGAGAAGGCATACAGGCCCAAAGTTACGTATAGGTGGGTTTGGAGATTCTAGCTAACACTGAGAGAAGCCACAGATCCATACAGAAGTGCAAACCTACGCTTTGTTTGATTTATTATTTGTAGACTTTTTTTTAAACCTCCAGGGAAAAAAAAAAAAAAAAAAAAAAAAAAAAGATGCTGAGTTGGAAATAGAGGCATTTTTCTTCACAAACACTTCAGTCTAGGAAAGTAATTTCAGACATATTTCTGAAAGGTATCTGAGGACAGAATTGCAAGTATTCTAGGGCAAAAAAATGGGTAAATACATACTCGCTACTACCAATAAAAACAAGATAGAAGTATTTTAAACATATTTTTTTAGTTGGAAGGTCAGAAGAGGGAAGAAAAGACAACACCAAGTCCGTGATTACCAACAGACTTCATGCTGTGAAGAGGATAGCTCCTCATTCACATTTTTAATCATCTCCACATGCCTGGAAGATTTGATTTAACACCTTCTGCTCCAAGAGAAAGCTAGCAAGGTTTTCCTTAACTCAAAATGGTCTAGTTTTCATGTTTCCTTTTCCTCAGTTATTCCTTTGAGCTCTCCTGACCCAACTCTTAAGAGTCTCCCTAAAAAAATGAAGGAGAGCTGGCCCTTATCTTTCAAGGTGTAATATAAAGAGGCTAATGAGGTGGTGCCCTACAGCCTGAACTCAATATTTTGAAAGTTTTATGGCAAAATGCTTCTCAGCATAAATTCTGGAATACATAGTTTCACAGTGTCGGTGGTTGCCATCTTGTTAAAATGTCAAATTTCTGATGACAACAATAGCAAAACTTCACAAAGCAGTATTTAAATCTATCCTGCCAAAAACCTAGTTCAACAGTTAGGAAAGCTTTAATCATGGGAAAATTGTCTACTATTTAATTCAGAAGTGTTTTTTTTTTTTGGTACTGGTTGGTTTTGTTTAATCCATGTACAAGTAATCTTCAGTTAAAAAAAATAAAAAACATTTAACATGTAGTAACTATGATGACTTGATGTTGCAGAGAAGATCTGTCTGGGTCCTTATGCCATATTAGAAAACTTGTAAATCCTATAGCAGTGCTTCTGTTAATTTTACATTAGTTACTATGCGTGCACACATAGATTACGCTGACAATGCATCAAATTTAAATCAAAATTCTTGAAAACAATGACATGTACGTGGACCCATGAAACTGTTCTCTGAAGCCTGTGAAACACACCTGAGAATTCTGAATCCGAATAGTCCCAGGCGACAGTGCTTGTGTCACTACTTGACCTTGTGGAGTGACCACAGTGACTGGCTGATACACTGTCCCCCCTTAAAAAAAATAGAAATATACAGGTAAGTGAAAGCTCTTCAGATAGTCTCTTTCAACACAGAAACACATCATCACTATAGACAATACCACAGGTCTGACAACACATCAGTTATTCTATTCTAGTAGTTATGTTAGTGTAGCAGAGCACATCTCATATTTTTTTCTATTCACAAGAATCCACAAAACAAAATGAAAGAGTAAAACACTCCAGTCTCTGATATTATTTAACTAAAGTAGTGTTGTACAGAAAGATCCCTTAGTATGGTACTTAAACTGCTGCCTCCACTCACATGTACATACCTGGCATACACAGAAATTAAACCAACACAAAAACTGTTAAGGCACTCAGTTGTATTAAAACAACAACTTCTCAGGTATTAGAATTCAAACACATTTTATGAAGTATTTGTGTATTTTTTTTTTGGTAACAACTATAAAAGAAAACAAAATGAAGAGCAAGGTGCCAGTTTTTCTTTACTGTGCCATACCTGCCACTGTTGCCATAGTTACATTTCCCTGCTGCAATGCTGATGCTGGCACCATAATCCCTTGGGGACTGAGCGTGCCTGCAATGGCACTTGGAATTTGCTAGAAAAATAAAACAATTAGTTGGTTGATCTTTTTCTTTCTTTCCTTTTTTTTTTTTTTTTTTTTTTTTAAGGACATAAAGCATGCTTGTGTAATTTTGGCTCTAAAAAATACATTTGGAGCTTAAACACAGGATTAGCTTCAAAGAGAAAAAGACTTCATTAGAGGTTCATCATTACCTACATTAACTTTCTCATTATCACCAATCATTATCTTTGAAAACCCTCATGAAAGCAACGGTTAGAAAAGACATTAAACTATCTGGAGAAATTTTAGGAGAGAAATGATCCTGAGGTATATAAATACTAAGAGAAAAAATTTCCAAAGGCATGAGGGATAAAGGACAGATGAAATGGACCTTTGATGCTCTTATTACAAGCATCAAAGCTTTAGAATTTAGCTTTTTAATTATTACCTTAATTCCTTCCAATTCCAAAATAATGTATTACACATTCAAGGTAGCCAATATGTTTTATTCTGCTCAGGATAGTTCTTTCTCAACCCTGACCATGCTAACTCTTGCACATTCCTTAACATGTATGCAAAATCTCCATTGTTACCAAATGCAAAATTCAGTCCCTCCCGTCTCTACAGAAGTAAGGCTGTAACAGCCATATCAAAAACATCTTTTAAAAGATTTTTGTCAGACTGCAGGCTCTCCTTTCCACACTTCCAGGTACAAAAACTTTAGTAAGGAGCCCAGACAGTGAAGTTTAAGAGTCATCAAGACTTTTCAGAATACACAGCACCAAACACGTTCATAAATCTGAGAAGGACCATCCCTTGTGACTGTGTCCAGTACATAGCGGGACGGCAGGGCTCACATTTTCCAGCACATAAGAGCAGAAACATCAACCATAATGTAACAACTGTTGCTTTTCAAAGTACTACAAAATACAACTGGTTATTGCATTTTGGTATGTCTGTGGTATATAAACTGATACTCACAAGTACACATATGGGTACTGTTCATAACTACGAAGTTATCACAGGTGATATGCAAAGACATACGTCTGAATATCTGGTGGATTAGCTTTGTATTTATCTATTAATTTCCGAATACAGGCTGTTTATAAAAGTATCAGCCATCTCAATACTTTAGTGAAGCAGACAAGACTAGGGAGATCTTCCTACTAAGGTGTTTTTTTCTGCCCTCTGTCCATTCTGTTTCCCTGCATCTCTTCCCAACCAAACAGCAAATCCAGGCAATTCTGAGTATCTCATCTTCCTGTAGTGAGGGCAAATCATAAAAGGAAGACTGACTTAAAAAGTGGCTAATTTCTGGTATATTTTAACACATTTGTTCATCAGGCAGTGGCACACAAGTGCACACAAAAACAAACAGAACTACTTCTAATCTTAACAACAGATTTTTAAAATGAGAGAAACTGCAGAAATTGTTTGCAAACTAATAGTAATATAAATATAACTTCCTAAGGAAATCTAAGAAAAACATACTTAATAGTACTTGAAACATACCTGAGATTGCACAGGTGAATAAGGACTTCCAGGTTCTCCACTTAATAGAGTTTCACTATTCATTTTTGTCTTCAGGCAGGCAATGTAGCGACTACAGAAATCCTTGCAGAGTTCATTAACCTTTTCTAGCTCAAGCAGATGGATACGTAGAACTTGGATTGCTTTTACCATCTAGGGAGTGAATTGGGAAAAAAAAGGTACAAACGAAATGAAAATAACTTAAATTTTACATTGAAATATTTTTGAAATTAAGCAAACACTACTTTCCAGTAACAAAGACCACCAAATTAAAGCAGAGCTATTAATTACTGAGTGCTGACTAGAGTTGTCAAGCTCTGCTCCTGGAAAGTGAAAGGAATGTGTGTGCATGCAAAACCCATATCATTACATTGCTTAAGTAAACCATGATACAGGAGATACAACACATAAACCACACTATAATCTTTGCCTGTGTCACATGTGTCAGATTAGAAAGACAGAGCCCAATTAATAAAGAGATCTAAACATTTGTCATCTTGTTCAGCAAAGCTTAAAGTAATGAAATATTTTTTCAATCCTAGAGCTCTGAAGTTCCTTTGCAAATGTATGTCAACTATGAACGACAACCCTGGGGTAGAATCTCTTGAGAACTTTCAAGTGAAGAGACTGCTTCTGCAATATATGAAAGAGCACTAAAACCAACGAACAAATCCATGTTTAAACAAAGACTGAAGTAGAGGAGGTACATACGTGACGAGAATACTTATGCTTACTGCGAGAAAAAGACATGTAAGCTTGGAGAGCTAATGGTATTTCATACTGCATAAAAATAGCTTAGGTGATTGTAAGGGTCATGGCAGAAGATCAAAAGCTAAAGCCAAATCCAGATGGTCTGGATTTTGATGATGCAGTAGGAAATACAGGACATTCAAATACACACATAACATATCAGCAAAATAATTGCCTTTTTTTTTTTTTAATGCAATGTGCCATCTCCAACACTTACTTGCTACGCTAGATCTCCAAGAAAAATATCCTTCAGTTTTATGGATCTGAATAGGCTATAATCTTGAAACATAGTGCAGAGCTTGATTTTAGCATTATTTAGAAAAAATCTGTCATATGTAAAGGGTCATTTACCCGGCCAGAGCACTGAATGCAATGACCAGAAATGATAGCTTACTAAGTCATCCACTTATTTCTAGCTAAAGAAGCCAACTGGGAGCTGAAGTAGCCTTTATACAAAGCACCTGAAGGCGATCAAGGCAGGCAAACTTTCGGGTATGCTCCCCCCTCCTTCATGAGGGCTTTAGCTTTTATTATGACAGACTTTTTCCCTGTTTTTTTCAGTAGGAGGTATTCCAGCTGCGTGATGGCCACCCAATTAAGAAAATGGTATGTTAAAATAAACTAGAGAAAAAAACCTGAAATTATAACAAAACAGGAAATCTTATCCCTTCTAAGGGCTATAAATAAATATAACTTTAAAAGCCCAGCTGCAGGAAAAAAAATGAGCTGTAGACTTGAGGCAGTTAATTCAAATTAAAATCCAGTAACCCTTGCAATTAAAATCCAGTAACCCTTACGACCTTTGACACCAAAGCCCTTTGAAATCCTGCATACAGTGGCCCAGTGCTGAGGCCCAGCAGTCTTCTAGAGCAGCCCTCAACAGTGGTTGCCTTTAAAACTGTGTTTAAGCACAATCAAGTTAAACTATCCAAATTATCTAGATTTTAACCCAAACCAGGGGTTATCTACGTTTAAATACATTCTGCTCCTTTCAGCATTGTTAATGATTTTCCTGTCATGCTCCGATAGCCAAATAGTTTCAGAGACCAAAATCTTGAATTATAAAATTATTTACACAGGGCAGAACAACACAGAGAACACACGTTAGCCAGAAACAGATTTTGTTTTAGCCCATCTCATCTTCCCTTTGCTGGACTGAAACCGAGGCAATGTAATATTTGAGAGTATTAGTGATGAATTACTTCTGCTTAGTAAGATTTTTTTTTCTTTTCTTAAATCATCACCCATATGTATTATTTATGTATCAGGACTTGTTTACAGGGGAAAAAAAAAAAAAAGATTAGAACTTAAATAGAGTTTCAAACAGATGGTTGATGTCTGATGTGAGAACTGAATTCAAGTCAAACCTAACCATAAACCAAGGATTAAGCAACAACAGCCAGGTTTCTGCAGACACAGGCAGAACCACACCACTCTTAGAGGAAGCTGTACTACTGTGGTTAGAAAGGCAAACAGAAATTTGTAAATACACCATGCCTGTCACCAGGACTTATTTACAACGACACCAGCTCTGGCCATACGGCTCATTGTGCCTTGCAGCACGGGTGGAGAAAACTTACATTTGCTGCCTCAAGTTCACGTTTTCCTTGAAACGAAAAAAGAACCGCCGAAAACTTCTGATAGAACCACCCACGCTGAACAAAGCTAACAAAGGAATGCCTCCAGACACATCACAGCAGCAGCAATATTTCATTCTCATTTTCTAAGAAGAATGCATAGCTTCAAATTCTACAAAAAACACGCGTTTGTTGTGTAGTGCTACCGAGTAGAATCTGCTACAGCACTAAGGAATTGTAAAAGCCACTTGATTCAGCCTTTTCAGCTGAGAGAAAAAAAAAAAAAAAGGAACACCATTTCAGAGAAATGCAGAAATACGTAAGTAAACATTAGATACAGGGATATTGTCAATATTGTTGTAAATAAAGGCAGTGGTAAGCTACTAAGCAGAGAAAGAAAAAATTACTGAAAAATTCACAGTTCTTGGTAAAACTGCTATCAAGAGCATACTCACATATAAATATAACCTATCTGGAACATATTTAGTTCTAAAATGGTTTGGATTGTGCCTCTGTCCTGTCTTTTCAGTGCCTTAAGCACGTGGTACAAAGGGGCACAGAATATGCACTACATTAGTCATTATTCTCAACTCACCCTTGTTCAAGTACAACATATACCCACGACATTTTATGGATTTCAAGGGATACGGCACAGGCATATGGCAAATACATATGTAGACAACACATCTGAAAGATCCCATGTATACTGACAAACAACCTTCTCATTCAGTAACTGTTCTCATTTCACAAGCAATTAAAATATATCCATATGTCCATTCCTAGTTTATCTGCCTTCCCAAGTAAATCCTTATATAGGATTTAGGTTTTCAGGGGAAGAACACAAAGTCTGGGACAGGTGGCATTTGGTATTCATTTGTTTTGTTTTGATAACCTCTTGTCTGTTTTGAGTCCCCAGCTATGTGGCCAGGGGTCTGTGAAGCTTTACCAAAGTAATGTTTGATGAAGAAACTCAAAAACATGGCTTGTGCCCTCACAGAGAGGCTACCAAAGTGACATCCATTGGTTTCATCACCACTACAACTTTTCCTGACACAACTGAAAATGCAATAGCGTAGTCTTTAAGAACAGACTACTGAACCAAAAATCCTTACCCCAAATGAAACAAAAAACTCAGGGGTATTCAAAAAGGGCAGTGTCCTGTTCAAATACAAAAGTGAGAACATATGTAACACATCATATATTGTATAATTTCTTGGCTGATTAAAACTTTATGTAACCCACTCTGACCTCACAGCTGACCCTGTTTTGTGCAAGAGGTTGAACTACAGACCTCCTGAGTTCTTGAGCTCCTAATCTATCATGAATCATCCTATGGTCCTACGAATGTGGTGAAATTAAACAAAAAAACAAAATGAAACAAGATTAACACTCATATGGGAAGAGTTTACTCTGAACAGAAGTTACTCAAGAGATAGGAACCCTCCTGAAGCACTGTGATGTTTCTGCAATGGCTGGGTTAACAGCAAGCAACAAAAAAGTGTTAAGTTCTGAATGTCTTCTAACTGTAAAAAGCTCTAAAAACTATCTGCAAATATTCATGCTCAATAACTTCTTAGATATGGAGGAACCCATCCATGTTCATTGCAAAAACAGAAGAGGATTAAAGGAGAATAAAGGGAGGATGGTTCGTTGTCGTGTTAGCAAATCAAAGATCTTTTATATCTGTCAAAATGAGATGGAGATGCCAAGTGTCAGGAGCTTCAAGAGATGACACTCCAGAATACAAAGATACCTTTGAGCACTCTTTCAGAGAGAAGCAGGTGTTTCTAGACGTCTGTCTAGAAACACAGACCATCAAGATCTGATGTTCTTAATAACAAACATCTCTTCTGATGCTGGCACTTGACCTGAGGACTAAGGTGCAACACAGCAACAGTCCAATGATGATGAGGAAGTTAAAGCTCTGAGAGTGTGGGATTCCAGTCTAGCAAGTTAGATACAAACATGACCATCACCTTCTGCTTCTTTCCTGCTGGGACTAGGATTTGAAAAGAGAAGGTCTGCAGCACTTCACACAGATAATTGGCACTTAAATCAAATTCAGAGAAGACCGCTGAAGAAATGGTCAGAATGAGTGACCAAGAGTCAGAAAGAAAATCAGAACCATTGAAAATGTAAAGTCTGTCTAAAAGATATTTTCATATAGAGGATAATTCTGGCTTCAACAATATCATGTGCCACAGATGGATAGAAGAGCTAAATATTTATTGCATGAAACCGTAACCTTGTACTTCTCTCTCTTACCTCCCTGAGTAGTCTGACCTGTGTAGAGCCAATGAAAATGGAACTGAGAAGTTCTACTTGGGGCCAATAATTCTTGGAGAGCAAACACGCAAACCACCAAAGAAAAGCCACTTTCCTTACGTTTTCCAAAGAATCACAGAATCACAGAATTTCTAGGTTGGATGAGACCTCAAGATCATCGAGTCCAACCTCTGACCTAACACTAACCAGTCCTCCACTAAACCATATCCCTAAGCTCTACATCTAAACGTCTTTTAAAGACTTCCAGGGATGGTGACTCCACCACTTCCCTGGGCAGCCCGTTCCAATGCCTAACAACCCTTTTGGTAAAGAAGTTCTTCCTAACATCCAACCTAGAACTCCCCTGGTGCAACTTAAGCCCATTCCCCCTCGTCCTGTCACCAGGCACGGGGGAGAACAGGCCAACCCCCACCTCGCTACAGCCTCCTTTAAGGTACCTGTAGAGAGCAATAAGGTCGCCCCTGAGCCTCCTTTTCTCCAGGCTGAACAAGCCCAGCTCCCTCAGCCGCTCCTCGTAGGACTTGTTCTCCAGGCCCCTCA